TACTGTGCAATACCTCTGGTGTGGAATAGTTGCTTCAAGCGCCGTGGCAGGCGGGCAGCCAGCGTGAAACACGCATTGGCGCCTACAAACCTAACAGGGGTACTTCACGCGTTACGCAATGCGTGAAGTATCCCTGTTAGGGTTGTAGGCGCCGGTGCGCCGCCGCTCCGCTTTGTGTGAGGCTCTAATATTTAATCTCGTGGAATCAGCGTTTTTCAACTCATGACTTTGAAATGTTTGCACACTCTGTATGGCTTATTCTCATTTAATTGATGAAAAAAAATACGTAGTAAAGGAAAATATGATGTGCGTTTTGTAAATATTAAGGTGATTCCGTACAAACTGAAGGATTTACAAAGCACACGAATTTCTACACAATTTCTTATAGCCTTTTATAGCCGATGGCGATAAAGTGTAAAGCCCGGCGATAGGAAATATGTATAGCCCGGCTGTATAATTTTATATCGCTTCGTGTAGCCCGGCCGTATGATTTTTTCCACTTTCTACAGCCAGCTATATGATTTTCTATCGCCTTCTTCAGTCGGCTATAAGAACTCCTATGGTATTTTGAAACGCAGCTATTATCGCCAATTTTTACCAGGGGAACTCCGAGTCAAAACTTTAAGTCATAATTTGAATTGTAAAGGATATTATCAAAACCGTTTGCAATGAATCGCTCGTGAAGATACAATAGCGTCCGATCCGGAAACTAGGCCGAGTTTTTCTCGAATTCGCTGTTTATCGTTTTCTATTTTTGTTATACTTTCGCAAGGTCAATTTTGGGCAGCTTTTAGCGTAATACGAGGCAGGATTACCCCATCTAAGCATTATTACATTTAATCCCCTTTTTCCCCTTTGGTACCCACCTTACGGCCCTTTTTGTTTGACCATCACAATTAGAAAGATGCGAATGAATTGAACGATGAACTGGAGACACCCTGAAGGATAGGTACACCTAGATTTTAGCTTTGATGATCTAATGATCTACCATCTCGATTCTCAGTCGATCTAGCAGTGAACTTGGTGGGTCAATCGACTATCCAAGCTGGAAGAGAGCGAGGACAAGGCAGGGACCAAGCGTTGTGCGATGAACACGATTTAAGTCATCTATACAGGATGATCCTAAAGTCCCGCACCGTTATTACAACCTCTAGGTTCCTTGCTCCTTTTCAACATGGTTGCTTTGAAATTCCGGGGATGCCCCAAAAATCGTTTCCTTCGACCTACACTGAGAAAAAACTATGGCTTATAAACCTATTAGAGGTAAATATGGAACACCACTAATAGTAGTACCTCTACATATAATAATAGCACATATACCTTAGTTATGGTACGGGGTACCTTAATTAGGTACACAGACCTTAGTATGGTTCACAGACCGAGAATCATTAGTTTATTTACGACTATTATAGGTGTTCCATATTTACCTCTAATAGGTTTATAAACCATAGTCTTTTCTCAGTGTAGGAGAACTTACAAAATTTCAGTTTTTACCTGAATTGGTTCAAAAGTTACGACAGGGGCGATGATGCACTGATGCGTTAGGGCGTGGGGCTTTCGGATCACCCTGTATATACCGCATCCGCAGCCTGTCAGCACGGTCGTCGCGCCGTCGCGACGCTATTGTGCTTACTCACGCAGAAAATCTGTCTTTTGTCGAAGTCATCAATTAATTGCTTAACATGATCTCTCAATTAGTAACGACACACTAGCTTCGGGGGCGCTTACGATGCGGCGCTAAGTCTCTCGGATAAATGGTTACAAATATTTTAACAATAATTTTTTTCTTTTCATGTTCCATGCTAACTGTCAGAGAATTTCGTGCGGGCTCTTCCAGAATGATAATTTACTTAAAAAAAAAGTTAAATCTATTTTGAAATGTTTATAGATCTATACTTAACAAGTTTACAGTCAAGCATGATTTTTCCCATAAAAATTAAGTATTTTCTAGCAAATTTTAACTCGGATGCTTATACGCCCCTCTTCTTTCACGTGGAAGGACGCACCTTACATATTTCCTTGAAGCGACAGAAACGTAAGAGAAAACGAGGAATGACGACGCGACATTGCATCTCAGTCAAAGACCGTTAGACAAGTCTATTGTTGCCAGATAGTGCTGAAAATTTAGCACATTTCCCAATTGACTTAGTGTAAAATATCCGTGCTTTTCACTCAATCTGGCAACATTGGAAAAGTTTCAGGGTTGCCGCAGTCAGGGCAGACCGGAAATTGTCAGGGAAAATCGGGAAATGTCAGGAAAAATTACGAAAATGTCAGGGACATCAACAAGTCACCTTTATATGCTTTCTCGAGCGGGTTTAACGTTCCTAGCAACAAATTTTGCCTAAAAACTATGTCTAACCTGTCTTTTTAACGATCTGGCATTTGTTCTATTGTCAGAGAAATTCACCATAATACGTCAGGGAAATCAGGAAAATGTCAGGGAATTTTAATTCCCGAATTCTGTGGCAACCCTGAAGTCTACACGCTAGATCAGATAGGAGGTTGACCGAGTGTGCTTTGACGTTCCGTGAAAAAACTCCCGGTTTTCCAGCTTTGCGGACCATGAAGAGAAAGCTCCGCCGCCTTCATCAGGGAGACAGTAGTAAGTGCGTCACGACGCGTGAGCCTTGAAATGCATGAAAAAAGTGCTGATTGCGGCTCACGGTGAATCGCATTCAAGCACTGTTTTCTCTCGAAACACGGCAGTTGACCGTTGAAAATCATAACGCAGAAGCGGGTCGTCATTATTCAAGCCACGAGGCATGAACAATACTCACCTCGAGCTCTCAAGCATCAGGACGTAATGCTCCTGAACATGACAAACTTGCCCGGTTAAAAAGTGTCTTTTCTTTGCTTAAGCAGCAAATTATACCGGGAGAAAGTCTCGCCGTTAAAGGAATAGATCAGAGTTTCAATATTTCTTCATTTTCCGATATCCTGACTTTTTCGGCTTTTTTTCTGGCTCCGCAATTTCCGAATTCCCTGACTTTTCTCTCGCTGTCAAAGAAATTTGAAATTAACTTCCACTTAGATTTTTTTCTTCCAATTACGCAAATTTTTGCTGAGCATTGGACGAAATTTCCACCTCTAGAGAATTAGATTATGGAGAAGGCACTCAGAAATTGTTCGTGCTCTCTAAAATGGCACTAGCTGAAGTTGCTGGAATGACGCGCTAATAATCGCAAATTTCTTAACTTTTATATGAACTCCCTAAATTTCCCAGGTCGCCTTATTATTCCCGACTTTCCAGGTTTTCCAGACCGCTGGAGACCCTGAACAAAGGAATTGCTATTCCAGGTGGAGGGTACAGCGGTAGAGATGGGTGCCGCGATATTATTTCAGAAACATCCCTTAAGTGCTGTCAATTAATATATCGCCTGACTGTAACTGTGACTCCTCACGATTATTGCCACAATGATCAAATTCATTATGACGCCTAGATACAACTATTCGAACTCCGCGGATGTCCTGGTTGCATACGGCCGGGGATGAAGGCGTTTTTGACTCTTCAGGGACTTGCCGCTTTACCCGCGGCGCCGGAAGTACGCCGAGGATCCGAAGGGAAAGAGCGCCATCGACGGTGAAACGATCAAACCATGTATCTCGTTCGCTGTGATTAAAAATCTCCGCTCTCATTTTAATTTTTTGAAGGAGAACAGGGCAATATCATTCCTTGAAGATTCCACATAATTTTCTTCGCTCTGAGAAAAAAATATCACGGAAGTTTTTAAGAATGGACGTGGGGTAGTTTCCCATTTATGAATTGAAGTATGACAGGGAGTCTACAATGTCGCAAACCGAGAGGCAAGGTCTGGTAGTTTCGCCGTCGTTATACCACAAGGACATCACTTAGGTACCAATGATTGCTCTAAAAATCATGCTCAGCACATCTCGATATCAGAACTGATCGTGAGACGCAAAAGATACTCACACCTTACGCCTCTGTGCCAAAATTCACGCCCAAGAAATATCTATTTAGTTAAAACAAAGAAAGTTAAAAAAAAGAAGAAAAAGAGAAAAAAAGAAAAAAAAAGAAAAAAGAAGAAAAAAAGAAGGCACTCTGTCGTTTTGGATCCTCGCAGTGCTGCCCGCCACGGCTGTCGCGATGCGTCGCGGGTGAAGAGAAGTGATGAGTGCCTGGCGAGGTAAAACGCCTTCACTCCCGTGCGTATGTAACACGCCCATCCGTAAAGCTCGAATAGTTGCATCCTAATAATATTATGAAATCCGTTTCGCGTGCGAGCGTGCGGTTGTGCGTGCGTTGTACTTGGTTGACTTTATAACACCTCAACTTAATTCCAGCGTTGCCTTGGGCCAATGAAGTATACTATTACTGAATTTCATTGTACCACAGTCACAAAAAAAAAAAAATCGAAAAATGCATTGGTTGTTGAAATGTATCACAACGTTGCCCACCTTACATTGATTGTTTTCGGTGTCGTTTTGGCAAATAAGTCCTCACTTTCCGAAAGATTTCCTTACCGATCACGCAATCTGAGGATCGCATGATCAGGCAGATTTTGCACCCCTGTAATCAATGTCGAAGTTATGAACCGAAATGTGTGGAAAGAACTGCATCGAAATGCTGGCACAGCAAGAAAAGAAGGTTTGCCACCATTTTTTTGTTGTTAATGTTCCTCCACGAAAAGACTGACAAACTTGTGCTAGTTTTTTTCTGTTCATTGCGCCCTGGAAAATTACAGACAACATCGTAGCACTGTCACAAGTAAATTTGCGTGGGTCGAACAAGAAATGATATTCGGCATTGCTGGCAATACTGCACCAATACTATTTCAATATTATTAGGGAGACGTAAAGGGTAGAGGGCATCAATATGGAAAACTTCAAAAGCCACAAAACAATGCCAATGGCACTATGAATTTTACTCGCAATGTTTTACTTCAACTAAAATTTCAAATTTTGGCTGATGAGAAATTAGACAACCATGATAGAAAAAAAGAGCACAATTTAATTAAAATGTATTCTTTTTGTTGCAGATTTTATATACCGAGAGCGCAGAAAGTCCTGTGGAGGCACAGTTTGCGATAGTCTGTACTCCAGAAAGTGAGATGGCAAAAACATGGCAGAACACAGACTTTGTCTTCCGCCGAGTACTCAATCCAGTTTTCCACACTATTGCAATGGTGTGCTTCCTCATAGTAGCCATCGTTCATTTTGTCTTTCCCCAACTGCGTGACTTGGTTGGCAACATCATTACGACAATATCGGTTTGCTTCTTTGTATCAAATGCAGCAGAAGTGGTTAAAATATTCACAGAATTCCACAATGAACTCAGCTACCTCGTTGCAGGTGAATTAAGTTTATTTAACATTTCTTTCTTAGTTCCTTTGTAGGCCTTAAGATGATTCGTACGATGTCATCAATTTTTCAAGGAAGTAAATGATGATATTCTTAGAGACAGTATTTGGAAGCAAATATTTTGATGAGTAAAGAAGGATTGGGGGCTGAGGGAATCTACCTATAGCTAAAGACGTGTTTCTACTTTTTTCAAAATGTGAAATGATGAATAATATGTTCTTTAAAATAGGTCACTTATCAAACTGAGTTTTAAAATTTCCAACTGGTTTTTAAACTGAGTGATGAAATCTACGACCTAGCTCCTTGACCCTAATCAGGTTTTTTTTTTCTTTTTTTTTTTTTTTTTTTTTTTTTTTTTTTTTTTTTTTTTCTTTTTATTTTTCAAAAAATAACTGAATTTTTTTTTAAAAGAAATGAGACGATATGGTGCCTGCTTAAATTTACTTTTAACTGCAGAAAGTGCAATTCCCAGATGAATTTAATGTATTTACCTTAACATGAAATTTTCTGTTACAGATGCTTTGGGTTACTTCAGTCTTTTAGGTGCATTTTTTTGGCTGAATGGTTTGGGGTACTACATATGGAAAACTTTCAGGTATGAATGATTCTAAAAATCAATTCAATATTCAGTTTGGTTTTTCCTCAATTATATTTTATGTGATAGTATTTACTTGTAATTAAATTACTCTTGGTCAGTAAGACAAATTGCCTTGATCATTGTGCAAAATTAGATGACTATCTGACTGTAGATCTATGAAGCAACTGAATAAGTTACTGGTGAGTTAGAATTAAGAATGATTCTGTTTCAATAAATTATTTTTTAAAGGAAAAAAAAATGTGAGTTTACATCTTTGAAAGTAAAAAACATTCTTGTAGTAATGAATTAGCGCTTCAACTACTTTGTATATTTCACTTCGTTGCAGATCTCGAAATGTATTTTTGCGAATCACAGATGGGCGAAAATATTGCTATTATTCCATTTACGTTTGGGGTTCAACCATTACAATGGCAGCAGTTGCCATATTCGCCCACCTAATGTTAGACACAGAACAAAACACTGATAGTCTGGCTCCATCTGCATTCCCTGCGGGTGCAATCAGTAAGTATCCATCAAATTATGATGTCCTATGAAATACTTTGCACCAACAAATTAGAATGTGACAAATAGTGTGTGGAATTATGTTGCATAAAGTACGGCAGAACATCAGGCATAATTCAGAGCAAACGGACTTATTTCATTTAAAAGATATTAACATTACATCGTGGCTATTTATGCTTGTTTCTGCAAAATAGAGATACTCATTAAAATAAGTAGAAACTCATTAAGAGCAAATTTTCCTCTTTATAACTACGCTGTTTGAGTCTAAAATTAGGGCAAGGAAGTCTCCAGATTTCCTGCTGACAATATTTTGGCTTACATGTGTTGTGTCAAGTGAACTTACCGCTATCAAGCGAAACTTTAACAGAACAGCTGCACAGCACCCCTACTGGCTTAGCAAGTGCTCACTTGAACGAAGAGGTACAGAACACTTCTCAGATTAGAGACAAGGATGTTGCCTTTGACTCAAAGATACTGTTAATTAAACATCATTTAACTACACTTGTAGCCTCATACTAGAGAATCTAATTTTTCTTCAATGATTGAAAAACACCTTATCATCAGTTAGGAAGAAAACGTACAATTTTGCATGAGCTTCAGTATTTCAAATATGAAACACAAATGGGAAAGACACTTATCTCCTACTGATATTTTCCAACGAAAATCATATTTCTTTCTGTTTCAGGATGGTTAGGCATAGCAGTATTTTTTATGCCTATCGCTTGCACGATACTAGTCAACATATTTTTTTACGTCTCAACAGCACAAATAATCAACCGTATGCGAACATATGGAAGAATACACCATAAGATGAAATATAAGTAAGTTAACTGCAGGTGCATTTTTTAACCTTTATGTTTAAATTTAGACATAGCATTTTTGACTTAATATCTTAAGAATATTAGCAGATTCAGAAGTCATTGGTCGAAACACAATTTCAATCACTTAATTACTTCACTATTTTTCAATCTAAGAAATGTCTGAACTTAATTAAAGTGAATTCACTTACTTAACATTGTAATGCACCTCTTTTGATCGCAATACTAACAGAAAGAGGAACAGAAGAGTGAAAGAACTCAACTGTGAGCGACACACACTGAACTTTTAAAATTCTCAGAAAAGAAGAGTCAGCCCTAGAGTTGGCAGAATATGAAGTGCTCGGTGAAGGTAATAATTTTATCTTGGTTACAGAAACCTAAATTCAGCAGACATTAACTAATCATTGTTTGTTATTGATGTTTTTCAGTTTCCAAACTTTCATAAAGATGTTCCTTGTGATGACAATCGGTTGGATCTTCATGATTTTGTCATGGATGCACAATAATCTCCTCTCTTACTTGTACATCATCATGGGCCTCTTACATGCCTTGTCCATATTTTACATTAGTATAGTTAGTCCTAAAAAAGTACGTTTCCTCCTTCGGAAGGCTTGTTGTTATGAAAAGTGCATCTTTCCTTGTTGTCGACCTGGAGATGATGCTCAAACAACCGACTGGGGAGAGGAAATGATGGCGATGAATGTGTCACCCTACTAGATTTAGTAAATTTTGAGGTTGTCATCTTTTTGACTTGATGTGTAGATGAGTGTTGAAACCCATCAATGCGAGGGATTCTTCATTATGAAAAGCCTTCCAAGCCAATATTTTGAGTGATCCTTGATGAATACACTTGTAGAATGTCAAATTCATGTCAATACCAGTTCTTAATAAATGCTCATTTAAGTGATGAAAATTCCTGAACGCAGCTTTGATAAAAGGAATCTAAACAAGGATTAAGAAAAATCACATTTCCTTGTTTTTCCTCCCTCCTAGAATGTTTTTCACAAATAAAACTTGTGAAATCTAAAATCAGTTTATTAAACTAAAGATTGTACTGCAATGGAGGGTGAAAAGGAAACCATAAATATCGTTAATTTAAACAACGAGTACTGTAAATGACAGATGCAGTTTGCTCGTTGAATAAACAAAGTGTTTTTTTGACTAGGAGTAAGGTAGATGATACAAGTAATATCCTAAAATACGTAAAATCTAATGAGTTCATCCAATATTCCTTGTAACACTTTTTAGTATCAAGAGAGAGAGGATGAAAATTGATCGGGATCTTGATGATTTATTGACTTGAACAGCTAAAATTGCTGTATTTCTCCTCCACTTACTGTCTTAAAATAACTTTTTTTTTTCTTTGATACCGGTAAATAATTACCAGGACACAGGACTCAAAGGACTCAATGTGTCAACTGGCATGAAAAGCAAATTTTAGAAAATTAAAATTGAATCCATCCGTTAGGAATTGCAGAGAAGGCTCTGGTTGGAACATATGCTTTCTTCTCTCTTTTTTAAATCCACTTTTTGTGAAAATTATAAAACTATCTAATTGAACTGATAGAGACAAGATTTTTTCCCAGGAAGTTCTATTTTGTAGTTGGAAGCCAGGGATATAGGCAAAATCTTTTAGGAAAATCAAGTTGCGTCCATTCTTAAAATACTTCTTGAAAAGAGCTCCGGGCAAAGTAAAATTTTAGTAGCAATATCCTGCACCTGGTGCCAGATACCTGGTCTCAGAGATTGCAAGTTAAGCTACTCATGTTGGAGTCGCTGCACAATTTCCTTCTGATCTCAACTCTGTGAAAAAGTGATTAAGATTCAATGGCTTTTAAAGGCTGGTAAAAATTGAGCTCAGTGTTTGGCTTATAACTTTTAAGGAAATTAATCCTAAAATTTTTACAAAAGAGGTTCAAGGTTTAGCTTTGTTTTTTTTTTTTATTATTATTTTTTTTTAAAAAATAACTGGATAAATGAATGTTTGTCTCAAATTCTGGCATTACCTTTGAATTGAGTTCTTTACTCAAAAAGCACACTATTGCAGTGATAAGTGACTACATGATATTAACTTCCATTATTTTAATCATCACTCATGGTGCTTAAAAGATTCTTTTACACAGAGAGGAACGGAAATAGTTCACAGTAGAATTTTCGACGCCTAATGTCATGTCATGATTAGGCTATCATTAATACTCAGAGATGTAATTTTGAATTTATAATTGTTTCCTAGATTTTTGTACCAAAAAGGAAATGGATTTATCTGTGATTTTCATTGCTTTAATAAGTTTTTGTCGAATAATCTGACACAGTCATCCAAGTTAGTTTTCCTAATGAGTGAGGGATAAATTACCTGAATAGAATGATCTGTCTTTTTTTGTACATTTTTATAAATAAATGATTTTTTTCTCTTTTTATTGAATAAAACCTTTATTTAATAATTAAATGTTTAATGTCCTCGGGTTGTGTAGATATATTCTCTTTTATTTTAAATGTAGGGGGTTCTAATTCAAATTTTGCTTCCCTTAAAGTTCCTTGAAGGAAACAGTAAAAGGACATGTTTCTTCCTCTTTCCTTTTCTTGAGAGCAGCTTCAAAAATTTCCCTGACTGTTTCCTAATGGGTAAATTGAGACTCAAAATCAAAGTATTAGTTAGAGGTCCATTTTAATGTTTCATTTGGATTTCTTAAATGTAATTCAGTTCTTAATATTATTGGAAAAAAACCCCTAAACTGTAATCCATCCTAAAATTCTATGAAAGGTCATATCATTCATTTACTTCCATGAGAAATTTAGCCAAGTTCTGAAGTCAACTAGTATGTGTCACAACAAAGAAATGACATAGAAAAAAATTGGAGAAGACATTGCTTCCATGATGAAAGCTCTTTGAAATAGAAAAAACTTTATACATCAATTCAGGGGTACAGAATCTATGCAATCTTGCGATTTGCGGATCGCATGATCGAAGAGGAAATTTTTGTCCGATGCGGCACTAAAAAAAACGGTTGGACAAATTCTGAAGATTTTCAAATCTTTTTGACTTTTTGGACTCATTAACACGAATTGGAGAAAAAAGAGAAAGTACACCCCTTGATCATGTATAGCGTTAGGAAATTTTCAAAATAGATAAGCAAAAAAAAAAAAAAATTCAGCATATTGAAAAATTCATGACAGAGAAGAAACTGTTCCGACAAGGAAAGAAAAAAAAGTCCCAGATCATGCAAAATTTTCAGCTGAATGGAGCTTTCTACAGCCTCTCGTCCATGAAAACCTGTGTATCGAATGAGTTGACCTTTGAAAAAAACTGAACAGCCTTGAAAAGTTTGATCATGCATAGCATAGATAAAGTGTCCAACATAAAATCTTACTCCAGTATTTGAACTCTTGTGATAATAATTGGAGCCTTTGTAGAACAGAGGAGGTAAATGAATTTTTTCTCAAACTAAAATCTACGTGATTTTGGACAAAATTTTGTTTAAAGGTGGACTTTATAAAAGAAAATTGGCTTAAAAAACTCTAATGTCAGCTTAACAACATCAGTCTAGACTTTGCGGGAGCCGTAAGGCTCAATATACTCATCAGACTTTAAGCTTGTTCTTGTTGAAATCACCAAAAAAATTAAATTGACCCCCTCCCTTCACCAAAGGCTTCAGCTATCCTTTCAACTCAGTTAGCAATGCAAGACTATGTGACACATACCTGCACAAACAGGTTTCCTTCTGGTCGTTTTGTAAGGGATGAGAGTGAACATCGCGTGACCAGGTGAGTGTCATCTAACACAGTATTGAAGAATCGTCGTGTTGGGAGTAATGCCTCCAAGTCAATCATTAATTCCAAAAACCGTTCACAGTAGTGCAAATATTCTGCTGAAACAACTCCTAAAAACAGAGCATTGTTTTAGTTTCATGATACATTTTTTAAGCACTTGCATGTACCTATATAACTTTCTCTTTGCCTTTTCCATGGTGTAAATTTGATACAAAGGTGAGGGAAAACTAACTGAATTAAAATACATCAAATTAATCTCTTGAGTGTACGACTAAAAATTATAGCACTTAAAGAGAGAGTTAGAATGACTGATTTCTTTTCGTTTGCAGTATGGAAAATGATTTGCAATTTAGTTAGGAAGTAATTTCAAGAAAGGATAGATATTATAAACGACAACAAAATGGTTAAACCTGCTGAGACTTAAGGAATTCAATAGGAAAAAACAAAAACTGTATAAAATCCTTCAGAAGAACCACTTCGAACTTCACTTTTCTGGGAGGGCTCTGCAGAAAAATAATTGAAGGAATACTGCTTACCTTCCTCAGGAATCTGGTCTAAAGTTTCAATAAAACCCAGAATTAATTTATGCAGAAACTTGCGTTCAAATTCTGCTTTTTGAGCTTGTTCAGGAGTTTCTCTTTTCTGGAGAATTTTCCAAAATTTTCTCCACTTGGGAATCAATTTAAACTCATGTTCTCTACGAGCCTGAAAAAAAATAAAAAAAAAAACAAAAATAAAAAGACCAATCGGAGGGATCAAATGAATCTACTAGAATAAGAACATACCAACTCGGCAACATAAAAATGCCCGATTTTCAAGAAAATCAATCAGGGTGGCACATCTATGTCAACTTGGGCCTTTAAAGTATCCCACGGTACTTGTCCTGTGGCACCAAAAAGCTTGTCATTAGACTTTATTCTTCATCAATCGTGCAGCTTTATGTGCCTCACGAACATTTTCATTTTTCCGAGTAGGGGTATTTTCATTCTCATCGGTTCAATTACTGGCAATGTAACTGTTAACCATAGGTGCATTTCTTTCAAGGAACTAAAAAAATGATACATATTAAAACAAAATACATAATATGCATTGAATTTAGGTACTAGAAAGTAAAGGTTTCGGACAGTATTTTCTTACCTCGTGAAGAGAAATCCACATGGATAATGAAACAAGCTTCTTGACCTGCTCTCTAATCAATTCGACTTCCATACTGTTGAAAAAGTGATTTAACAAAACTATCAAAGCTGTTTGTTCTAGGAGCACACGTTTAGGGCCTGTGAGTAAACACACTTCCAATAGCTGGTTGAAAAATCCAGGAAAATGTTCTGGATTCTTTTTGAAAGGCTGAAACATTAAAAAAAACGCAAAACATTGAAATGGAAATGGCAAACAAGAGGATACCTGAAAGTAAAGAGTCTCATGCATTACTGGTTAGGTTTTTTTTTTTTTTTTTTTTTTTTTTTTTTTTGTGTGTGTGTTGGAGCAATGCCTATTTGGAAACATGACCTTCTATTAGCCCACAGTAATTTTTTTCCTCAGAACTGTTTGTCAGTTTTTCGAGGCGGTTTCTCACTGACAAGGTTGTTTCAAAAAGTAACCTTTTTCTTGCAATAACTTATGAACAGTAAAGGGTAAAGCTCTGATTTTGGTTCCATTTAAGAATAAACTAAAAAAATGCAATGGGCTACATACTTATTTTTCAGGCTTCAGGCATTTACTAGTTTTTCCAGAGGTGATTATCTGAGAGTCACAAAGTGGATAGGAATAACCAGCTACCTAGACATGAATTTAATCGACTAAACTACACAGAAAAGTTTTTCTTTTTTGTGAACTTGATTTCATGACAATAGCTTCAACCCTGCTCGAAATCATAATTTGAACTTGCTCAAACTACACTTTATGAATTAGGTTCAGAACTAGTTCCAAAAATCAGCTTAGATTCTAATCCCTGGTGGTGGCCCCCATTGTTAAACTTCTCCTGGTACGTTTGCCTCCCATCATGACGTGCAATCTGAAAAAGGCGACAGCAGTACTTCATTCTTTGACACACATAAATTAACTACTAAAATGAGAACCTCTTGTTCAGGATAAAGAGATCTCAAGTGTGAAATAAAGAGTCAGTAAGAAAGGACGACGAACCTCCCATGCAGGCACTCGTTCTCTGAATTTTTCATTTAAAATAACAACAATAGACATAATATGAGCATGAGATGATGAGCCAGTTTTGTAATTAGGCCATAAATAATTTTCCAAAAACTGACTTAATTCAAGCATCATAACTCTTCTTAGTGAAAACCTGTGAACAGAGAGAAGAGAGTGCATTTAGCAACAAAGCAAGCTCATTAAACAAAGACGGACAAGGGCAAAATTAAATTGACGATGAATGAATTCATAGGATCAGAACTTGCTACTCATCAAACTATTGCATGCTGCCACTGTTATCTTTTTTGTAATAAAGATGTGCATTCCTAAACTTTCAGAATGCGCTACATGTTCTTGATTTGGAATAATAAGTACCTGCAGTTGACTACCTTCTTCTCATAGCCAAAAATGTAACTAACAGCTTTCAAAAAACATTAATGTCTATTATCAAGTACCTTTTCTTTATGCTAAACATTTTTCAACTTGAAAGGTCTTTTCTCTTTTCAAATGTAAACATACATTGACCAACAATCCCTGCACACCTTCATCAAGAGCGGTAAAACATTAATCTTGCTAGAAATATGTATACACTAGTCCTTGAACTTGGGCTATTTACCATTACCTGATCCCATAATATTGACCGTAGAATGTACAATAGTCCATATAGAGAGAAAATATTGGTATGACCTCATCTTTACTTTTCCCTCTCGTTAATAAAATAAAAAGTTTCAAATTCTGATTTTGTGAAGGTTTGTGTGAGTTTAAAAGAAACTATTACTTACTTAGAGCCCAAAATTTCTTTGTAGTAGATATCTTCGATTATTTTGGGATCATACTGTTCCTTATTTTTGGCATTGGGTGCCCAGTATTGATTCGCCAACTGAAAAAATTAAACAAAGTATCAGAATATACTCAAAATATTTCAAAGATGAGAAATTTGATTTAGCATAGGTATTTGTGTTAATGAAGGAGTTGTCATCAAAAACACTATGGTTTAAAAAATAGAATGAATTTTCTTGGTACTAAAGCTCTAAAAAAATCCTTGACCAAGAGTCTTTATTTCCATTTTGGAAACACTTAGAAAACCAGCTACAGTGAGGTAGGTAAAGTGGGTTTTCTATGGAGTGCGATCGATTTTGATCCTGGTCTGGAGTCATGGAGCTCCCAAGCCCTGTGAAAATTACTATCACCCACGGCTCGCAGGAGTTGGCTTTTAGTAGATTGATGTGCTGAAGGGGACATTAAGTACTTGGCCTCTCCATTTTCTTCACTGGCCTTCCTACTTTGAAAACCTCCTTACCCTTGACATTTTCAAAGCTGGGACCTACTTTATCACCTCCATTAGCAAATTTCTGAGAGTTGGCAATGAATAAGCAGCTTTGCCACAAGTATACTAAAAACGCAAGAGCTTCACCGCAATCTTCGGATGAACTTGCGACACTAATGCTATCGTGGGCTACAGTGACGTGGCGTGCTTTGCGATATATCGATTGATTTGCCATTTAAACTCATGGTAAAGAATCGATTATTAAGGTGTTCGCTGCGGACACCCTGTTCATCGGTCCTTTCCCATAGGTTCAAATGGCATAGCAATCGATCTATCGCAATTCACGCCACGCCACTGGTGGGCTAGCCATCCCAGTATTCACAGCCTCCCACTTTTCTTCAGGCGAGCGGCTACACAAAGATGAGGGCATGATCGGGAAGCTTTTACATCACTGCATGTGTTCCCTGATTTGTCCTTCAATTCAGGCTCAACCTATTTTCAGCATTCCCAAGTAATTAGAGATGATAGTCATCCGTCGTAAACTTTCGTGGACAAATCAAAGATAGCTGGAGACCTTGAATTTTGACTTGAAGAGCACTGAGACTTGACGGAGATCAAGTAATTCGGCATCCAAACTCTGAACAATGGAATTCATTCGTGATGATTTTAGAAATAATTTGACTTCTTCTTCAAACTACAGAAGAGTTAGGGAGTTGTTAAGTGACAAAATTAGCAGGATATCTTCCGTTAAAGGTCTTACCTGAGTGATTCTGTCGGCATTGATCTGGTCAATTGTCGGAGCACGACTTTTCGTTTTCGACGTGTCAGGTTGTTTCACCATTTTGGACGAATTAAATGCACATTAAAACAGGTATTAAACGGTAAAATAATCGCAAATAACACTGAAAAAATTACACATGCTCCCTCATGCTCGAAATTTTCGTGCCAAAACGAAAACGCACGCAAGTAGTAAACAAACCGGAATGATGATTGATGCAATTGCGGCAGGTGGATGATGAAAGACACCGGTTTATGCAAGAAGAATAATAGAATAATACTTTTTCAAACAAAAATTGAAACTTGCGTGTTGTCCGTCGTAATTTTTAGAGAATGTGGATTTGTCTTGCTTCTAATTGTGATGATAAGTCTTGTATATCAATTTTCTGCATTAAATGTTCCAGTGTGTGAGCCATAAGCGCTTTTTCAAACAACTTTAACAATGTGACAAATGGGTGCATACATGGAAGGTTCATGAATGAAGGCCGAGTCTTGAACTCTCAAAAGAAGAAGACATGACTGAAGGCAAGTTCATTTTTTCCCTTTAAAAACATTTTCGCGTCCATATTCTCATGAGACGTTCACGCTTGAACGCCTCTAACTCATTTGATCCAATTTCCACAGGAGAACTCCCGCAAACTTGGCATTGCAGTAATAGTCATTTCGAAGGATTTTTCGCATCTTTTTTCTCTCAGAGGCAAAGCACTCCTCAGCCGTTTCATGAAGGAAGTGTAGCCTTAGAAGAAGCAAGGTTTTAAGCGGTGCACTGAAAGATATATAGACCTTTAAGTCAGGATGCTAGTTGGCGTTCCGAAGGTGAGCAATATCGCTGAGCAGAAGGCTTGGTTTCCGCCGCCAAAGTAAATCAACTTTCAGAATTCAGGGAACCTTTGGCACTCCACAGGGTTAATTTAGTGGCAAGCCTCTTAATTCAGTCCATTACATAACATATCTAGTTAGCTGAATCCACTGTTGAATGCTGCTCTTTTCTGAATAAAATTGCCCATTACACTCAGAGTGGACTCATAGGGTGGGTGAGTTCTAGAATTCATCCTTGGATTCAATCCGAAAATCAGAAATGAACGGAGATGATGGAGGTCATGACGAAACGAATGGATCGTCAAACGAGAATCCGAGAGAATGCTTGGATGAACGCAGTTGTTTGATTGATGATGATCAAAGTAACTTTTTTAGTATCTATACCGTAAATAATAAAAAATAAAACTAAAACTTGACAGGTTACTTTAGTATTATCAATATAGATGAAGAAAAAAATGATAAAAACTTACCACAGGGGACAAAATACTGGCTACTTTGGCGGGATTTGCATTTTTTGAGGTTAGTCACCGCGAGTCACGGCTAAATCCGTCTCCCAAGGTGGGTTGATCGAATGCTTTTGAATGAACAAGCAATGACGTCACAAATCACTCACTTCGAGTTCCAAGAACGCTTGGATTCATCACCCTGGATGGAATCACGGAACCTAGGAATGCTTGGATTGATTTGGATTGAATTGCTTCACAAAAAGATGAATTCTAGAACTCACCCTATGTTGAGACAAATGTCAATCTCTAATTACCTCCAAATCAGCACGACTCAACAGGTTAACACATGCATTCAGTTATCACTGCTGATGAGTGGTGACCTAAACAATACTTGACTTTGGTCTCAACGTGCGCTGAGTCTGCTCTAATTCAGGCACCGTAAATGATTTTTCCAGTTTTTTAATGCTGCTGGATTTTCACGACCCAAACAAATATTTCGACGGTGAAAGTCGGCAATCACATAACTCGGTTTGCGACGTTGCAGACTTCCTGTCATACTTTATTTTTTAAACGGAAAACTACTCAACGGTAATTCTTTAAAACTGCCGTATTTTTCTTCTATGTGCGAGGAAAATTCTGCAAAAACTTCAAGGAATTATGTCCATTTGTTTTCCTTTAAAAAAATAACATATTTGCGGAGATTTTCAGACACCGCAAACGAGTTATGTGATTGCCGACTTGCACCGTCGATTTGTCACTTTAGCATTTTTTCATGTCTCCTCTGTGTTTCAGGTGTCAAGAAGGCAAATTCAGCCTCCTCGAGAGATAATGAAGTTTCTTCAGGAGGGAATTCCAAGAAAAAAGCGAAAGGGGAGAAATTTCCAACCAAAGTTAGTAGTAATTTCCTTCTCATAAATGATAATCTTTTTTTCTTTCTCCCTCACTCACCCCAAAGAATGAACCAAAATTGTATTTGAATCCTGCAGTTTTTCTCTACTGAGTTGGCAGTTATCTACTTTTCATTTCCAAGCAGCTGCCTTTCCTCCTACCCTGCTTTCCGAGATTGACCTTAGATTGTTTGACAGGAACCAATGGTTCCTTCGTTTTTCTATGCACATTTGTATGGTTCCGAACCATACAGATGTGCATAGAAAAACGTCACTGGTGCGGCTCAGTCAGTTGCAAAGAACTGCTAATTTATCCTATGAGTTCAAGTAGAATTGTTCATACTCATGTGTTGAAACCTATCCCTAGGTATCCAGGTTCTGTTTAAGCTTGGCAAACGTGAGCTTTCTGCCTCAGAAACATCTGAAATCAGTAATTTTGGATCCACAGATTCTCTCTTTTTTAACTACTTTATTGACCTCTTTTCATCAAGTACCTAATGATCAACTTTTGTTGTTGTTACAGGTTGTTGTCCGGAAATTGCCACCTTCTATGAATTTAGAATCATTTTTAGACAATGTGTCTCCATTACCAGACAATGATTACATTAATTTTGTGCCTGCCGATAATTCACTCTTCCCCCTCAACTATTCTAGAGGATATATCAATTTTTCCAATCAAGAAGACCTACTCATTTTCACTCAGAAATTTGATAACTATGTTTTTGTGGATGCCAAAGGTAAGTAATTTCTCCTCCTCAACAACATGGACCATGGTTGGTCTCTCATGACCAACTCACAGGAATTTTACAAAATCAATTATAAAGATTACTAATTTAAATTCAAAAAGTATCAAAATTACTATACTACCTACATATCATTCCTATGATTTCAATTTCTATCACTTAATCCGACTTCTTCCCAAAAAAAAGAAAACCATCATGTCTCATAAGGACTTGGAGCTAGATTAAAGAAAACCAACAAATGATTTTGCTTCAACAACGATGATCCATGAACGATGGCCCTTTGGACAGTGCAGTATTGATGCATTTTAATCCCCAGGGCAGATGTTGTTTTTATGCCCCCCCCCCCTCCTCCCGTTCCATTCCATTTCCTCAACACTCTCTCTTACTTCTCACAAAAGTTGACGGAGAAAGTAAGATTTTAGACCTAGTTTTCAATTTTAACAATGCCCATGATGTAAAAATAATTTAGTTCAAATGTGATATGTTCTACTGTGGATTGTATATTAAGAATGAAATATCTACCAATACATTTGGATCTGGAAAGAGTTTAAAACAACAGGAAATTGTTTACACCTTTTTTATTGGTTGATAAATGTATGCAGATTCATTCGGAGTTCAAGTGTCCGAGTGCCTCATTTTTTTTTGCGGTCGCTTCTGAACTTACAGCCTCCCAAGGACCCTCTTTGATTTTGAAAGCCTCAATTTCGTTTTTGATAAGCTCAATTCTATCATTAACTGGTACAAGAAGAGGTTGGTCTCTCATATCATTTTCCATTATGTCAGAAAATGACTTAGGCGTTTGGTAACAATTAATTAAATTTTCATAGTTGGAACAAATGTAAAAATGTTGTGGAAAAAAGAACTGTCTGCAAGATGATACCACCCTTGACAAGATACTCAGGGCGAGCTGTCTCTCTGCCCTCTCTTATGCTGCATCATTGAATTTGATTATTAATGTTGCAGGGTATGCTCCTGAAGTAATCTTTGTCTTGTTACTTCAAACTAGATGTTTTTTTCATTTTTCAGGACACGAGTATCCAGCTTTAGTTGAATTTGCACCCTTTCAGAGAATACCTAAGGTGAAAACAAACAAGAAAAAAGACAGTAAATGCAGCACAATAGAAGATGATCCTCACTATATCAAATTCAAAGAACGGTTGCTAGCAGAAGAAGAAGAAAATGAGAGTGGCAAACAAAATGTTTTTGAAACAACTTTGCCTGGTATGATTCTGCTTTTCCTTATATTATGAACTGAAATTTCTTGAGGAAAGAACAGTAAGTACATCTGTAGGATTCTGAAATAAAGGACATTCTCCCTCAGTGCCCTATTTAAGTAATACTTCTTGGCAATTTTTGAAGGGTTGAAAATGCTCTTATGTATGACAAACATTTGAAATAATACATTTCAATGCCTAAAGTGTGAAACTACGTATCTCCATTTATGATGTTGCAAACTTCCTGTCATACTTTATCTTTCTTTGTAACTTGTTTTGTAGTTTATTTTTTCTTGAAAACTTACTTGATTTTTCTTTTTTGTCAGCAACACTTTATAAATTTCAAGTCATAAAGTGGGCTTGGTTCACTTTGGAAAAATAAAAGTAGAGAGTAAATTTTAAAACACTGCAATGAAAATAGGCGCTCTTGCACTTTGGCCAACAATATGCTGTATGTGCAAATCCAAGAATAAAGTCTCAAAGGAATAGAAATATTTCACCAGCCAAGTCAAAGAACTTTCTCAAAATCTCAGAAAAGCTTCAAAGTTTAAACAAGTGATAGCACGATGAGGAACATACTTTCAGCATTTGTTTTAGTGTATTTTCCGAAGGAAAAATACACTATTCTTTCTTGCATTTTCCTTGTTAAAAGAAGCTCTCAGTTCTTGAACCAGAGATTTCTAATACCATCCATATCCCAGCATTCCTTGTCTCCAGCATCATTATCTGTGGGCAATCTGGTTTACAGTGTGGATAAATTTAGAAGCCCCATGTATGGGACTTTTGCGGTGTGTTGATGTGGAAAATTTAGTTTGACTACATATAGAATTGGTTTAAATGAAAAGTCATTTTCAAACTGCAAGTCAAACCAAATTCAAGAACTATTTTCTGATAATTTTCAAAACTGAGGTTTCCGATCGTCTTTCCCACAAAAATAGAAACTTAGCTTCAACCTGATCTCAGAACAAATGATATTTTCATGATTTTGTGAAGTACACCAAAACATTACATAAGTCCTTTTCACGGAGGATCAAACTTAGTTACATCATGAACCAGATTGCAGGTTGATTATATTGAAGTGGAGATGTTGCATGTGTGAGGAATTTGCAGTTTGCCTGTTGATTCTTATGTATAAGTTTGCGAGAAACACGGTGGTGCCACTGGTTTTCTCTGAAATCAACTCCTAAGCTCAAAAAAAGCTCTCAAGTTGAGGCCAAAATGGAGGGGATATCCCACGCTATCCTGAGAGTCCACCTCTGCATCAAGACAAACTCTCCATGCAAAGATAGGGAGCAAATACATTGACAGGGCTGCCACTTCATTTGGAGACTCTAAAACTGAAAAACGGCATCACTGCTAATGTGTTTGCTCCCTATCTTTGCATGGAGAGTTGGTCTTGATGTAGAGGTGGACTCTCAGGATAGCGTGGGATATCCCCTCCATTTTGGCGTCAACTCGAGAGCTTTTTTTTGAGCTTGGGAGTTAATTTCAGAGAAAACCAGTGGCAACATCGTGTTTCTCGCGAACTTTTACATAAGAATTAATAGTCAAATCGCAAGTTCCTCACACATGCAACATCTTAATTGATGCATAAAGCTGTATACAAAAAAGACACAGGGAAAATGGAGCAATCCCATGGGTTGATGCAGGTGGCTGCAATGGACAAAGGAGGTAAGTGGTAGAGTAAATGACGGCAACCTATAAGAGACCCTGTAGTTCATTCATCATTTACCTCTTTCGTCCGTTGCAACCACCCGCTTCAACCCATACGATTGCTCCATTTTCCCTGCATTTGCTTTGTTTATCAATTCTAATAATGCGCCCCCAGGGGCATTATGCACCCCAATTCAGCCACTGCTGCCTCACCCTAACTGTGGCTATGTGGGGTTCAGATGTTATTACAAGTCTTCGTCTGTATCCTGGCCCTCGAACCATCCAAAAATCCCAATATTCTGAGTTGGTAGAAATCACCTCATGTTGCCACAGAAAGAAGGGGGGAGCTGCTGTCCCTTACCATGCACATCACTTTAATAAGTACAAAAAACGAAAATTAAACTTAATGAAACTTTTAATTTCATTTTGATGCATTTGGAGTAGCATTTTCTCAGGGTGTAATGAAATCATGATTCGTCAATCCTCACTTGAACGACTCTATTTACTCCTTTCAGATGATGTCCCTGAGAAAGTCACATCAACGCCCTTACTTGACTATCTCCGCAAGAGACGAGAAGAAAAGAAAAGAATTCGTGAAGAGAAAAAGGAGGAACGCAAGAAACGGGAATTAGAAAGAAGAAAAGTGAAGGATGAACAACGGAAAGCCAAAAAAGTGGCTTCCACGGTTTCAACATCAGTAACTGTTTCTGTTCCGTCTGATACCTATGAACCAGTGGAAACTTCTGCAATGGTAAAAGAATTTCTTTATTTGATTATCATCAGAATAAGTAAGATCATGATAGTTCTGTATTCGTGTGCACATCAGTGTGTAAACTCCTCAAAATTTTGGGTTTTAAATGTTTTGCCAAATAGATGTTTGAACTTGTTTTTTCAAGGTTTTTTCATATGTCGCTTTAAATGCTCTGTTTAAGCAGCCCAATTGTGTATATATTTCATTTGGTGCAGGAAGATTCTTTTTCCATTGATACTAAAGTTTCAGAGTAATTAAAACTCAAATACTCACCAAAAAATAAAAACTTTCAGCTTAGTATAGTTCAGTTTCATAATTTCACATAGCCATGAAAAATGTTAAGTAATTGATGGTTTTTGCATGTTTTCTAGTCAGAAAATTTGTGTCAAGAGCCCCAGTCCCCCTCTCTTCTACCCCTATTGTTTCCTTCAACCACTCCTCCGCCTCTTCTCTCCTACTCTGTCGAAGAACAAACAAACGCATTGAAAAAGCTATTGGGCCTCCCTGTTAAGTTACAAGACCCTCCATCAAATCGCGAAGCTGCGGATCCTGCAAAATCCTCCAGTTTGTTCAACAAGATGTATATTCATCAAAAATTGGAGCTTGAGTTGCTTTCTAACTATTCCAAGTTTAATCAAGCTTGCAGAGAAAGGGAGCCAGAAAAAGCTGCTGAGTCAGACTTGCCTTTTAAGAAATTCCTTATGAATGATCTGAGAATATGTTGTTTCCCAAGTTCAAGTCAATTTGGCTCTCCTTTTAACACAGATACGTCTTGTGCTCATACTGCATCTGCAAGCAGTGGTGATAGTTTGGCAATTCATGGTTATGATTTTGAAAGGGAAAGGCTAAGGGAAAATACTAATCGGTCAGTCGGAGATACTAATTTTTCCTGGCATTTGGACCCAAATCAAGAACCAGATTTCCAAAGAGAGCTGTTTCCCACACATGACTTTTTCACTGGTAGTGAGAATAGGATCAATCTGTACACTCCAAATTATTTCACAAAGCCTGTTTGTAGGAGAGGCCTACAGCAAAAAAGGCGTATTATGTTTATTCCTCATGCAGAATATACACCTTGGCTTCCGCACATTGAGAACACCAGTTTTGTTCACTGCGTGCAATTTAGAAACATGAAGAGAGACCAAACATCATGGAACTCTATTAAGGCTCCAAAATTTAGGTCATCACATACTGAGCTGAGAGAGGCTTGCCATTTTCGACGCTTCCCGGAAAGAAGCTGTTTTAACACGTTCCATGCAATGAGTGGTGATTTTTCACATAAGAAAAGATTTTTCAACATGATAAGATGATGATTTACTCTTTCTGTCCTGTTCAATTTCATTGAAAAACGATCGAATATGACAGTATTGTCAATCTCATCGAAGCTCAAATAACTTTCTAGCATTTTCCTGATTTAGAATATCTGACGTCAGTAATTGCAAGATGATGACTTTCCAAGTAGAAAAATCTAATGAAAGTTTCAAATCAAGTATGAGTAATTGAAAATTCAGCTTGGATAGGCTATAAGCTTCTCATGGAACATCTAGATTTTTCTCCAAATCTATTGCATAAGTAGTTAGTTGCTGTCAATCTCATGTTTTTTCTTAAGAATTCCATTCGGAATTTTTAAATCTGGCATGGTTTTCCGATTGTGATCAGAGGAAAATGAATCATTTTATTATATATTCGCAAGAGTTTTTGTGAAAAAATGCTTGAACAAAACATGTCCCTTGTTTATTGAAATATATTTTATCCCCTTACAATTGCTGGTCGTGTAACAAATTTTGCAGTTCATTCTCATCAACGTCTTTTTCCTACGAAGGTAAACTCTCTGAAATCTTGAAATTCTACGGAATTTAACCTTCTCTCCTTACAAGAGGTTACAAATCTCTAATTTTTTTCAAAAAAAATTTGACAGGCATTCTAGTAAAGTAAAACCTGTTAGTGAAATTTTTGTATGAAACGAAACTTTTGTCGCAAAACATTTTTGAAAACGTCTGAAACATAATACACACAGTAGCAACATGTCATTTTTTGCAGGTATTTAAAATTGAAAAATGACTCTGTATTAATGACTAATCAGGAATGAAATGAGTCAAATAAAGTTTTGGTTTGATGATCTGTTAATATGTATTAATTACACAAGGTATGTTTCCACTTGTGTTCTGCTCCATAATTTTCAACTCAGCAAGTTTTTTCAGTATTCTTATTTGTTCATCATGAAGCCCCCAATCTTGCGATTGGCCAACCAAGCTTATTGATAGTAAACCTGTCCCTAAAAATTACAGAAATAGGGTAAAAAACTTGCTTCAACACCAGCTTCAATGTTCAGTATTACACTTTCTTGTGTGTTTTTTTTAATTTTTTACTTTATTTTTACACCCCAGTGTGAATCTGAACCATTTACTTATGCTTAACTCCAGAACTTTGTTGAATGATGAAAATTATTGACAAATATATTCACTGTATTGTATTTTAGCAATTTAATTTGGCAGCTGTAATTTAATTAAGTTCAGTACTTGCGATCGATAGTGACTCTCATGTTCGTCTAGTTAAAATTTTTGTTTCTTTTCGTGGATTGAATACATTTCCATCCTTTCTCTCTATAAAAACCCTGAAAATAGAATATATACTCTAATTAGTGGTACTTAAGGTTCTCACTAATAATCAACGGTCAATCAATTTCTTTTTTATATTGATGGCACTTTACAAGCAATACCTACTGTAGTAGGCTCTAGTCAAAATTAGGAAATTCATCCACAGAATGCTGAAAACCCACTCTAAATTTTTTACCCAAGGGCTGTTCATTAAATATATGACTCTGAATTCAGGATTTTCCAACCCTTCCCCCCTCCCCCAAATAGTAACGCTTTTGTCATACAGGCCCCTAATCATTAAAACGCAAAAACAAAATGGTGTAATGCTATCCTCAACAAGCTCTCTCTTCTGATGTGTTACATATTTTATGAACAGCCTCTAAGTAAATTTCCTTGATTAACTCTCCAATTCTTTTAGAAGATATTTTAAACAAATTTACAAAATCTCTGCAGTTTCCTTATTTATCCGCATGCGTTGCTGTGTATACTTTTGTAAAATCCTTGCTTCTTATTCATTCCAGAATTCTGCTAGCGCTGGTTTGAAGGAGAAAGACCGAATCAAGGATAAAGATCCTCTTGGAAAAAGAGGAGCCAAAGATTTGTTGAAAGCTATCAAAGTAAAAGAAAAACTAAATTCAATTTCGAAGTAAGTTTTTCATCCAAGTTTTGCAGATTGACTGTATTTACATTATACATTGTGACAGATTGACGTCTATTTTACTAATTTGTTCAAATTGTTTCATCGATCCCTCCTTATGTTCATTTTTTCAAAGAGATCAAACTTTTTTCAAAAAAGAAAAAGAATATGGGAACAGGAACTTTAAAAGTGGAAATACCAATAGTATTCATTCGCTTAGAGAGGAGTGATGTTTAGTGCAACCCTTTTAATACAAAGCTAAGATTCACGTTGCACATTCCAAAAACTAGGTAAAAGAAAATGGCATTTCCTGCAGGCTGATTGTTGAAATTGATGGACAAAGCGATAGACAAAGAAGGCTGATTGTTGAAATTGATGGACAAAGCGATAGACAAAGAAGACATAGGGAGTATGGGGCTATCCTATTGGTTGAAATAGATGGTTCCTATAGACTAAGGGAGAAAATAATGGACAAACTTAAGAGTCTCTTGCGGATTGCCGTTAGTTAGTCTATTACCACCCGCCACCTTTGTCCATTATAACCGCTCGTTTCCACCAATAGGATCCCTGCATACCCTTTTTGTCTTCTTTGTCTATAGCTTTGTCTATCAATTTCAATATTCAACCCACTGAGAACTGAAAGCCTCTCTTAAATGCAGCAAAATTCGTTCACTGCTCTGCTGAAGACAAGCACACCACTTACCTCTTTCTTTGTCGGGTAGCGCATTCTGTCTTGAATATGATTACGTTTTAGTTCTTATTTTCAATAACAGAAAACGTATTTCAAAACGGTTATTCCATCAACATGGAAGAGCCACAGAAAGTGCCCGATTGCTAGATAAACCAACTTATCTGTGACTAAACAGCAAATAACAGATGAGATAGTTTGTACTGTTGTTCATAGTATTGAAAAGTTGAAAGGTAAGAGGGTAGAAGATTAAATATGCTTTCTTTTGTACTTGGTATTTGTTTTAATTTTACTTTTTCTCATCTCTGTCTGCTATAGGGATAAAGAAAAATCTGGGAAAAGCTATAGAGAGGAAAGATTACGCCGAATCGAGCAGCGTGAGGAGCTGCGGAAAAAAAACTCAAAAACTGGTGATTCAAATGAGACCATTAATCAAGAGTCTGGTGATAAGGATAAAAAGATTGATAATTCTTCAACGCACAGTCAACATGATGACAAAGAAGACAAGTACAAAAAGCAAAAACCGAAAATAGACAGTTTCCAAAAACCCAGAAAGAAAGAGTTTGAAAAACGAAGTAGTGAGTATTACAAAGGAAAAAAAGAATTTCAAAGTGATAAGCCCAAGAAAAAAATACTTGTTCATAAACCTCAAGATGGCTCAAGTGTTTCAGAAAATAAAGAAAATAATTCAAACTGTGATAAAGGTAAGGAGGGCGAATCGGAGGAGGCTCCAGAAAAACAGGGAGCTAAATTAAAATCAGGCATTGGGTCCCAGGACTCGGTCGGAAAATCTGGAGAAACCGAAAAAAAAGATAAACCCTCTAAAGACTCAGACTCTATCCAGAAAAAAAGTAAATCTCAAGATACCTCAGTGAAACCAAGTAGTTCTGTCAAAAAGAAAGCAGAAAATGATAAAGAACAATCAAAAAAGACGAGTGAATCCTCCACCTCCTTGACGAATGCTAAAAACTCTGAAGACTCTTCAGTTAAACCACTAGAGCACAAGAAAATCTCTAAAAACCAGTCCTCATCTCTAGGAAATTCCACAGAAGGAGACATTTCTCCTGTGTCGAAACCAGAACGGAGAAGGTCACTTGAGTCACAAGATTCAGTTCAGGATAGTGATTCTCAATCAAGGAAGGATCCCAGAACTGAAAGACGGATCAGAAACAAGGTGTGTATCTTCATAGTATTTTTTCATATGGTCTCAGAACGTTTGAAAGTACAACTTTTAAATCAGTAAATAGTACTAATAATGGGTCTGTTGCACGCAAGAGATACATCCAAATAAATATACTCTTTGTGGGTAAGTCGCACGTATCGTAAAATCGTAATTTGTTAAAATTAAATCTACCATCAAAGTCACGTCAGGGTTCTGTATTGTTGTATCTATTTTTTTATTTAAGAAATTCAGAGTTACCTATATAGAGAAAACAGAAAGAAATTTAGAGATGTATTTTGGGCTTTTTTGTAACATAACACAATGGGCCTGTTGCAAACTTTTGCTAGAGCAAAAATAAGAGTTGTTTCTTGTAGATAATGCCTCAAAAATCACGATGAGCGCATCGGCAAAGTCTGAAATGCACTCATAACTTCACAATCTGCGTAAGAAATTTGCGTTTTTTTAAGCTTCCCGCTTCAAAAACGATACTACGGCACAGGTGAACATTTTGTTAGAGGAGTCGCTCCATCGTCGGCGATATTCATCATGGCCGACGCTTGCGCGCAGTTCCGCGCTTAGTTCGAGGAGAGTTCAAGGTCAATCAATTCGGGCGTGGAAAATATGAACGTTAACACACCGATTGTTATCTGGTCTAATCCAGTTCAGGTGTTATCTCGTCCCATCAAACGTGTTTTGACGGATTGGCGTCGGCTATGATGATTATTGCCGACGATTGAACGACTCCTCTTACAAAATGTTCACCCGTGCCGTAGTATCGTTTTTGAAGCAGGAAGCTCAAAAAACCGCAAATTTCTTACGCAGACTGTGAAGTTATGAGTGCATTACAGACTTTGCCGATGCGCTCATCGTGATTTTTGAGGCATTATCTATAAGAAACAACTCTTATTTTTGCTCTAGCAAAAGTTTGCAACAGGCCCATTGACATAAGTGTTAATTTTTGCATCATTGTATTCCTAACACCATAAACGACCATAATCAGGCAAGTCAGCTGCATAGTATTTGTCATCATCTGTCCGCACAGTTGACTGATTTAGGTCTTTGAACACAGCATTGCCCTCGTTTGCTGTTGTCTATGCTCAGAACATTTAAATCCGTGGTTAGCAGAGACAGAAAGTTAACCACCAACTACTAGCTCTGGCCATCAAATTTTTATTAAAATCATTAGCGCAGGCATAGATTGTTTCAGTACTACTGGATTTATTTTTTTAGTTTTACGTTTAATTAATATCAAACTTTGTTTCATTTTTTTATCAGGACCGACCAGCGCTGGAGATTTATAGACCTGGAATGGGTAGATACAGCAAGCAGAGGTTAGAGAAAGTTTTAGGGAGCAGCACCGAGCGCGATACCCCCTCTCCAAGTCCGTCAATCACATCTAACTAAAATTGATAATAGGCCTCTAAGCTAATAAAATGTTTCTTCAAAGTAACTAATTATGAATGTAAATTTAAGTTTTTAAGATTTTTGTTAAAAATAAAATATTTTTCAGTTTTTTAAGACTTGTTCAAGCAAACAAAATTTTTCCAAGAACTTATATTTCCAGAACCACTGCTTTGTAAATGGATACATGGTAACTTTCAGCTAGTTTACTCAGTTGAAAGACTCATGTTTCCTTTCTAATCAGTAATTTAAGGCAGAAGGGTTGTAACTACATTTTTTTCTATCTCCCGAGAAATTACAAGTAAATTGCCCAGCTGCCCTATTGCCTCCGACATAACTTGAACTATTTTAAGTTTTCTTCTTGCGCCTGGAGTTGGATATGAGGACAAAGTTTTTTCACTTATATAAAACCATCTCTCAGTGAATTGTCCATGATAATGATTTCACCAAATATTTTGTTAGAACCCTTTTGCTCTAAGCAACTGATATCGTCAGTCCCCAGGAAAAGGATCGTAACTTTTCAAAGTTGAGAAATTTTCACTCTCATACCGTGAATTTGCTAGAAAACAGTTGAGCATTACTCTTAGAAACTTTCAAGCAAAAATCAGCAAAATTTTGTGCAGAAATTGCATGGTCATATTCTTGTCAGAAATTGAATTGTTTAAGTCAATTTTGCAACCTTAGAATGAAGTTACGTTCCTTCATGTGAGAAACAATCCTCCCCACAATTTTCGAAAATTTTGGTCTCTTCAAGAGTAGTCAGATTTGTCATGAAAAAGACAAGCTTTCATGCATTGAATGTCCTAACTTCTAAGTTGAATTTCGAAATAAATTGCGCAGGGATCAATGAATCTTGTTGAAAGAAAGTCGGATTTTTCCTTTGATGATCGTAATCAACAGTGGTTTCAAGTTTAATTGCCGAGGAAGGTCACATGCATTTAGCTAGACTCGGCAATAATTTTTTCAACGAATGTCATCTCCAACATGCAGCTTCCACTCTTCATCATGCTCTCTCTCCTTTAAAAACTTGGCACCTCAAGGAAAAACTCTACAATGCAAGAGAAAACTTTAATTGAAATCCAAAAATTGTCCACCCTTGATTGGTATATCCGGATGAGTTGAATTTGTGTGTAATTCAATACTTTCCAAAAACTGAGTATCTTCACTATGTCCCAACAATATCTTAAATGGAATAATTTTACAATTACATTCGTCTTCGAAGAATTTCAAAATTTTATCGTACAATCAAACTTCGGTTGTCAATTTGAGATAAAGACTAACAAAAGATAATTGAGAACTCTCGGAATATGTTCTAAATAATAATAATGAAAAAAAACTGACCTTAGGATTAAAAAATGCCCTTAAAAATGACCAAAATGACCTTAGGATGTTACCAGATAACTGGAGTGCTGGATAATTGAACGCAAGATAACGAAGCACAGCATGACTGGGCGCAGAATAACGTACGCTCGACTGTGCGAGTGAATTTTATTTTCGGTTGTACAATAGGAAGGGAAAAAATTTAAATGAGAGCAACAATTAAGGGAACATGTACAATTTATTAGCTATTTAACAGCTCAATATCACCGATGACGAAAGTCGCCAACAAATTGGGTAAAAACGATTCAACAATAGATACAGATATACATGTTTACAGTTACGTGACTATTCAACGATGATCAAACTGAACGGTGAGTTTAAAACTTACTGCCATGTTTTGAACAAACCTAGGAGTAAATTAGTCCATTTGATGTTGAATGGAAAACTAGAGTTTGGGCTGCCTGTTTTGTTTCTAGTAGCAGTCGCACTTCATTCATCCAATCACTGGCGATCGCTCTTGACCCACCTTGAAGCAGATTCATGTATTTTAATGTTTGAGCTAAATCTCCCCTGTCGAGCCAATACCTGAAATCAACGATAATAAAAATTTAGCTTTGGAAACATTACATCACAGGAGGGGGGAAAATCAAAGCAACAGATAACAACTCAGAGAAAATAATAGTTTTAAAGCAGAAGTAGTTCATTGCCAGTTCGGCAGTGAAGCTGCAGGAGCTTGTGTCTCAGTTTGTGACGTTGCAGACTTCCTGTCATTCTTAGGTCTTTAAATGGAAAAACACTCAATGTCATTTCTTAAAAGCATCCCTAATTTTTCTTCTTTAAGTGAAGAAAATTTTGTGAAAATTCTGAACAATTGCTTCGGTTTGTTCTCCTTTGATAAAATTAAATAGGAGCAGAAATTTTGAAACACGGAAAATAAGGAACGTACTCCTGCAGTTGTACTATCATACTGTCTTTACTTCTTTAAATCGGGTAGATTTGGGGAGACACAGACAAAAGCAGAATGAGTTATGAGCCGCAACTATTATAAAGATGAATTCTAGTTGTTACGGTTCAGATCAGAGGGGAAAATAATAAGATACTGCGGATGGATACTGTTGTATTTAGAGTTTCCACTCACTCCTCTTTTTGTCTTTCATTTGATCTGACAACAAGAATTTGTGACATTCAAGAAAAAATACAAGATTTTCGAATTGAAAATTACCTGGCTCTTTGTAAAATATCATAATTGTCTAGAGCTGAGACATCAATGGGCTGATCAGCTAGCTCGCTAGCAGGAATAGGGTTTGAGGCCCGAATGATAAAGAAACTTTGAAGGAACGATAAGAATAAGTAACTAAGAGAGGCTCCTCCTTCAGGGACGATTGCAACACGATAAGCTGCTTGCTCAACCTTGAAAAACCGTTGCTTCAGAGCATTTTCTGGATAGACACCTCTTGAAAGAGCCTCCTCAGGAATAGCCTTCACAATAGCTTCTACCAACTCATCTTTAGCTACAAAAAACAAAAATATACAGCAAGATTAATAAACTGAAATATCTGAATCTTCACTCATTAAACGAATCAAACCTATTATTAATTACTCAGCATGATCAGTTTAATTTCCAAAGTCATAGAACCAAAGAGTGGCATGTCTCCTGCCTCTGGCGATTGTTAACGTGGACAAAGACTGGTAACTGAGCAGCTCATCTACTGATGTCTCTTTCTCAGTGAAAGTTTACAGACACTTCCTTTTCTGGGCACAAACTTTTCCTGGAGACATCTCTGTGGGACATTTTCTTGCCGAAATCTGATTGCCGGTAGCTGAAAATAAGTGCCCGCAGATGCCGTAAACTTAAAAATGCCTCATATGGATTGCAGAAGGTGCAAATTGTGCATTCAGGAAAGGATTTTAAATATTTTTGATGTGTTTGTGTTCAACATGATTTCATGCAATTTTACCAATATAGTCTTAATCAGTTGGCTATGTCTCTTAAGTACAGCGGTAGACCCATTAGGAGATAATTATTTTATAAGGATAAAACCCAGCATTTCTACCAGTTGCATTGTAACACGTGTTTTATATTAAATTTTAAAATGGTCTTTTATGAGGAGTAAGAGTGATACAGAAAAAATGGTAAAATTATTGAGAGCATTTATAGACACTGTGACGATAGTACTAGTAAAATTTTTTATATCATTTAAGGAATTTTAAAAATCTTGGTTTCAATGGAAAACAAACTCCTAAGATACTACAAACAAAAATGCTTTCCTTATGGATAATTTTACCTCCTGCTTTGACGATGGCTTCAACTTCGGATTTGAGGGGCTTCAGTTGCTCGGACCATGGAACATCTGGGGACCAGGCGTTAACAGCAGTTAACAACGACTGACAGGCACTCCAAAGTGACAAACTCTGACGTGCTAATTTGTCTTGCTCTACTCTCTCTGAAAACATACATGAAATGATAGTTAATAGAAACTCCCTTGTTTAGAAGTTGTTGTGACAGGGTACCAGTTCAAGTGGGTACCAACACAACGATTATCACCTCTGCAACAATGTCTGTAAGAACGCTTTCCTCAATACATCAGGTAAGTCTAAATATTCAATTTTTCAACATCAACAATGAAGGATTTCATGATGAATTTACTGAGAAAAACAATACAACACCACATTTAATCTTTGAAATTATTGAACAATGACTTAAGTCGTTAAGGAATTAAAACAGATCAAGTTGGAAAATTGAGAATTTTTGCTAGGAAATTGTGGTTTGATTTCATTTCAATGTGCGTGACAGTAAAAGAAGGAACCTAAAGTTCAACAAATACTGAAATGTATACCAGCTATAGTATCAATGGCAGAGGTAATAAAAATGTTTTTTTCTATTGCAAAGTTTATGTCTTCTCTTTTCAAGGTTTGAAAACTGAGCAAAACATCTTTAAATTCTCTTGAAATACTTTTGCATGAGGGGAAAACATCCAGAGGTTTCAAGGAAAATTATTTGTTAGTTTTCCTCTCAGAAAATAAAACACGAGCAGAAGTTTGCAACGCCACAATCGGAGATACATTTTTTTTTTTTGTACTTTGACCACCGATAAACTGATAAATAATAAAAAGGAAGATAATGTAATTGATACAGGTGAACCTTTGTGAGTGGACGCCACCAAAGTAATTAAAGACTTACTCACTTAATGGTAATTTCATTTAATCCTGCAGGCCCGTAGGTGAATTACCCAATATGTAATTATTATACCTAAAAAAGTCTATTACTTACTTTCAAAGGCTTCAGTTAGTCCTTTCATGCGACCAACCATTCCTGCCAAAGATGCTTTATATTTCTCTTTCTCAGCGGACACTCTTTCATCAATTTCTCTTGATACCTTCCGGCTCATTTCCTTCTCTTTCAACTCCAATGCTGCTGTTAAGTGATCATGATGAGCTTCCGTCAGATACTGCAGTTGCCTTCGAAGCTCGAGGTCCAATTCTATTTGCCCTTCCAACAACTACGAGGAATAAAATAAAAATTAATTTTTTTTTTTTTTTTTTTGAACACTTTAAATTTAGTACAGAGAAAGGGTAGCTTTTTCCATGCTCTGTAATTCACTGAGAGGGAAAGTTATTCACTGATATAATTTAGTTTTAACCTGACAGGAATTATTTTCCAATCCCTTGGGTGTTGTCTGGAAGCTTTTTTGCTGTAGGGGGTGCTCAATGCAATGTTTCAAATTTACAAATTGTCATTGAACATTTAGAAAATAAAGATCTGTTAGCAAAAATTTTAAAAGTCAAGTCATCAAAAGCTATTGTATATTTCATCAAATTTTTAAATACTTGGATGGAAATCTTCATTCACTGATATTAACTGCAAGAATCAACCGATAATGTGCAAAACAGAAAAATTTGACTAACTAAAATCTACAATTGAATATATTGATTGTAGAGTAATTAGAAATAGACATACTTTATCTTGCAGTTCTTCTTGTAGTCTTCGTCGTTCCAAGTCTACTCCGTATTCAATGGCAGCCCTTATGTCTACAGAATCCCCTGCATTCAAATTTTCAATTGCTTTCCGCAGTTTTTCTGCCCCTATTGTCTGAAAGTAAGCGAAGAGTATATTACGTTATTGCACTTTGTATTCTGTTTAAAGAAGACCGGTGGTCTCACTGACAAGGTCTCACAGTTATGTATGGACTTCCCTGTGTGCTGGATGCAAATGGCTGATGGTCATTTTTAATGCAGTTGTGGCTTTGAATTTCCATTTCAAATATTGGGACAAGATTAGATGTGGAATTTTTTTAAGATACCTGCAAAGTTTATCTCTTCTTTTTGTCTCAACTGTCAAGGAAATCATTGGCTTAGTATTAAGGCGAGTTTTGACGTAACTTCAAAAACATAAAAAGAAATGGCAAAGAAAGGAACTTTTAAACAATTGACAAAAAATTTTTTACACCAATAAGTCATACCAGGGAAAGCCATCATGTCAAAGTAGTTCTTGTAAAGTTATTATCTTTGAGTTGATTGAACGCCAATTGTTTACTGCGATTCGGTGTTTTTGCACCGCAGCCAATGTCTGAATTTACGGAAAAATACCCAATTTTACAGTAAAATGTGGGATTTCCTCCACTTTTTGAGGTATTGAGCAAAGAAAAAAAGGCCACATTTTGAAATTGCTCTGTCACTTAAGATTTGCCTTACATTTGCCACAATCTTGAGATTGCAAGATCAGGCATTTACTGCACCCCTGCATGTGAGCATGCATTGGATGAATGCAGCTAGAATTTTCGGTCCTTCAGCTTGGAATTTATAAAAGTTAAAATACTTATCAAATATTTCATTTTCAATGTTAAATACTTTCTGTGTTATCTGACTAAAGCATAATTTAAATGACTTCTCAGTCATTGATAAAAGTGAATTTGGTGTACAAGCAAACATTTCCAATAAATTCCTGATCCATTTATGCCAATAGTATGATTCCAAACCCATAGGGTTCAAAAGAAGTTCAACAAAAAAGAAAAAAGTTGGAAATACAAACCTCCAATTTCACCAATTCCTTCTGATAATGAAGCACTTTTTGATAAGCACTGAACAAGAAAAGGTCAAATTCATCTTCTTCAAGTACTATTTCATTAGATGATACCTCAATATCGGGAAACAAGGCTCTCAGCTCTTCCTGCAACAAAAAAGTGCAACGAAGACTTTCAAGTATTTTTGTAATTCTAATCACATCTATTGGTAGCAAGGCCTAAAGGCAGCCGCATCCCAATTGTTGAAATCAAAATTTTTTTTAAAAAGTCATTGACATTAAGGTAAAAAAAATTCTGAGAAAGAATGGAGACTGCACAAAAAATTATTTTTCTTTGAGATTTTGTTATAACTTATTTCTTCATTGGAAGCTCACAAGGACAGGAAAAAGGGCTGAAAGTAGATCTTGAAAATTAAGTTAAGTTGTAACTAAAGTATGATTTTCTGAGAAGTTGAATACAGTTCATTTATTACAAAACAAGCGTAATACACAGGGTCAGTTCAAAGAAATTAAAGTAGCTAATAAATGCAAGTTTAGAAAAACTGTGAAAACTTACAGCAAAATAGGTGCGGGCCTCTTCCACTTTTTTCCAGTACTTATCAGAGACAGAGGCAGATTGTAGTTCTTTTTCCGCAAGTTTTTTTGATTTTTCAACTTCTTCTAAAGCTCTCTTAACATTAAGTTTGGCAGCTGCTAAGGCGTCTTTGTTACCATCGATCTTTGATGATTCCGCTAGTTCTTTTAATTTGTTTAGTTTTTGCCTGAAGAATAAAAAAAGAGCAAATATTTATGACCTTCATGGACTGTGATAAATTTGAGCAATTACCATAACAGTCTCCAGAAATTATAGAGGGCAAGATGCAGTTTTTGAGAAAAAAAATTGTAATGTGAGAATCTGTTTACACCTTGCATGACCTTTAAAGGCATAATCAAGCTACTTTTGTAGGATGATCTTGCCAGGCTATTACCTTTTAATGGAATTTGTTTAGCTGAAATAAAAAGTAATTTTCATTAATTGAGTTACTACTTACTAAAAATAAGAAATGAGCCTTACACTTAAATAACGCAACGATGGAAATTGATGTGCTACAGCAGTCAAATTGCTACCTCCTCAATTTTCTACAAATGTTCATTAAAATAAAACGTACTTTAATGTGGAGTTGTTGCTTGTTTGCTACAGATAACATGAATGAGATTTGAGTCTTTGATTCTGCAGATAAAAGTTTTGACTTTCTTATTATTTTCATACATAAGAAGTAGAAAAACATTTGACAGAATTCGTAGAAACTCATGCTTGCCTCTGATGGGTGCCAGATGACATCATTTGGTTCGGCGCAAAACCAGGGCACTTTAAGTTTGCAAAAAAAGTTGCGCTTTTAGAGCTGCATATTTCTCGGTTTCTGAGTTTCTTTATCCAGTTTTTAAAGTGCCCATTGCATTATATGCGTCATTTACCTCTCAAAAAATGTTTTTGTGTTCAAAATTTGTTCATGATTTAGTGACTTCTATCAATTCAGTAATTATTGACTTCTATATTATATGACTTCTATCAATTCAGTAATAATTTATTGGTCAACTGCTGGCTAACCTGGCGGTTTGAGCATTCTCCTGAGCAATCTTTAACTTTCTTTCTTTCTGATCTGTAATCTGCTTTATTGTATTCCAAAGTTTGGGAGAGCTCTCTGAAACGGAGGCTTCAACCAGCTGGTAAACAGCATCGTAGTGTTCTAAAAAACAAAGGGCAAACAAACAAAAAATACAATGTTTCAGAATTTAAAGACTGATTAGACTTAGACTTAGAAAAAAGAAGAGAAAAAATGAGATCAAAAGAGGTTGTTTCAAAAATGACGATTTTAGCTGTTCCCCACCCCCTCCAGTTGTGAAACAAACTTTGCCTCATTGTCGCCTTAAGTGTCTCCAATAGCTGGGCAAAATTTCAACCCTTTTGGATAAAAAGGGATCTAAATTCCCTTTTTAGCAAAAGTTTGAAAAATAAAATCACTAAAACGGGTTGAGTTTGATCGTTGCAAGTTGCACTAAAAAACATTTAAAAATGTCTTCTACCAGATTTATCAATGCTGTGTTCATGGATGCGTAATTTATCGTAGTAATAATTAAATTTTTTCGATTTTTCTGATTTTCACAATTTAACTTTTTGGCATTTTTCATATTTTCCTTATCAAAACTTTTGTAATTGGAACTCATGTAAGAAAATCACAGGTATACAGAAAGCCGCATTTTTCAGATTGGGTTAATCACTTAAATTAGAAGATGCCACAAAATAGACTTAAGATGGGTGTGCTCATGAAGGTAGCGCTGCAGTTGCTGTGAAAATAAACATGTAACAAAATGGCAAGGAGCGTTTTCGCCGTAGCAGAATTTGGTGCTACAGTTAGGACTAAAGATTTGGTGCAATGATCATTAAACTGTAGAACAATGACAAAAAGGAAAAAATCAGCATAGGTGTTTTATATTTAATCATCCCATATTCGGCTAATGTTTCTCCACAAAATTAGAATTACACAGCAGAATCTCCTAGGTCAGATATTTTCTAAAAAATCACAAGCCTCCCCCCCCCCCCCCCCCCCCCCCNGTCACTTACTTAGTAGTTAGATGACTGTATCATTTTTCCTTTACATACCGTGAGTTTAGGTTAAATTAAATTCTTACCTTTGACAGCCTGAACTGAGTCTGCATAGGCTTTGATTGCATCTCTTTTCGATCGATTCAATTCGATTTCAAATGATGTTAAAGTTTGAGGCTGAATATCTGATCGCTTGTCATCTTTGTTTTGCTTGCTGATCGAGTGGTCTTCTGTAATTACAAACATTAAAGAACAAATATTAATGAGCTGATTCCTTAATAAATATCACAGCCCTTGCCCATACATACAGTTTGCACCTGTTTCTGTTTCTTACAGAGGCGCGTTCAAACGTTTTGTCAAACCGCTTGATGAGCTTCACAAGATCAGTGCAATCAGCGGTAGCTACAGGTGACGTTTAGGGGAAACAAGAACATATTTATAATGGGGCTCATCGAGCAGCTTGACAAGATGACTCAATGCGACTTGAAAACCAACTGAGACGCTAGTGTTCAGAATAGTAATGTGGTTATGACTTAAAAATTGAATGTTCATAGTAAGTAGGAGCATCCTGAAAAATACACGCTGTGTACATCGTTTGGCATGGAAAAAATCTTAACTCATCTGGTATCATTTAGGATTATGCATTGATTTGATTTTTTTCCCTAGATTTTTTTTTATAATCCATTAGTAAAGCATGAACTGGAGTATTTTGGACTTTAATTTTGCACAGTTTCGGTAAGATAGATACATTGGTAAATCTTTAGGAATTCACCTTGGAAAATACAAAAATTTCCTTTTACAAGTGTTTTTGCTCAAATTAAAACAGACTTAGCTGCTTTGAAGTCTTTTACGGCCCAAGTACATTTTCTAATTGGACTGCATTTTGCAATTTAGAACTATAAATTCTGGCTCATCTGAAAAAACACTTATGAGCATAGGGAAACTAATGGCACATACGTTGTTTTTAAACCGAGCCGGAATTTATAGTTCCTAATTGCAAAATGCAGTCCAATTGATCAATCACTCTCTGCTGCACACAAGAGAAGGTTATGAGTGCCTATTTTTCATTCTAAGTTACTTCAATCCTACTTAAAAATCATCGGAACCGTTATCATGAATCCTTGGGAGAAGAATATGGTAAAATGTATGAAAAAACTTGAACTTACGGACTTTGGACGGTTTTTCTTGACTCTTGTCAGATACCTTTGAATCTTCTTTTGCAGACAAGAGAGCTAAAAATATTAGAATCAATGATAAGCTATCAATGTTACAACTAAGGCCACAAAAAAGAATCTATCACATAATTTTTGATGCGATACACAAATAAAGTCAGGTTATCAAATAAAGCAAAGATCGAGTGCCAACACATTGGAGAAAAGGTTGAATTTATCTCGTACATGGATAGTAAGGAGCCTCATTTAAAAATGAAAATTCTGAGGAGACTAAAAAAATTTGTGGAGGAAAAATTAAATTTTAGTCACATTACTTTTTAACTCCATCCAGCTGAAAAAATATTTGCGGGGGTGACATTATTTGCCAATCCGCAGGGAAATTGGTGAACAGGCAGCTTTAATGTGATCGGAGTTGTAGAGGACACAATTTTCTCACGCAAAGATTCTTTCAACATTTTTTCACTGAACAATGCACATTCCACTTTTTCATTGCTGAGGTAGCAGGTATTACAATTCTCTAACAATTAGGAACTTTTAGGAATAGCAGTTTTGATACAGCAGAGCAAAATTCTAAAAATTAGAAATCAGAGCAATAGAGGATTTGACTCTTCTTGAAAGTCTTTGTCAAAATTCTTCAATTGCGCAAAACACAATGCATTTTTTCATTAATCAATGAAACAGATATCCAATCAAGTTCAAAACGTGCAAATTAGAGGCAAATTTGGTTTGAAAAAATTATGTTTGGTAGAAACACTCAAAACAGTAAACTACCCGCGTAATTTAAACTTGAGCAAAAAAATGTACTTACGTTTTGAATCTCCACTCCCTTTGGGCGAGCCTGCATCTCCTTTGTTTTCTGAGGACTCTCCAAAGCCAGCCAAATTATAGACACTTGTGATGGTTCTAAGGAAAATCAGAAATTTCGAAGAATCAATCGCTGAAGTTTGCTATTGAGTTCTGAAATCTCACTTCATTTAGTGAGATCTAGCATTATTTCTAAAGTTTTAGTGACTAATTTTTTGTTGATTTAAAAATAAAAAAAAAAAAAAATTCCCATTAGTTGACTTGCACAATTAGTTGGTTATTATTAAGGTGCACTGCCAGATAAATTAAGGCACTATAAACATGAAAAAAAACTGGGGCTTTGCAGCAACAGTTTAATTCAGAGACTGGAACCAACAGCTTAAGTGTAAAACCAAATATCTCCATGGCATTGTTTCAAAATTTCCCCTCCTATTTCATTTATCAAAGAGCGGCAAGCCAACTTTATAGCTTTAAATCTATTAAGAACATTTTGCTGACAGAGAGAATAAATCAAGAAAGTGTTCCAAAAGTTATGCTGACTGATTTTCTAGAGAAAAAGTAAAGAATGATAGGTAGTCTGCAACAAAATGCTGCTAACGATGAAATTTTCCAAAGCTTTTGCTACTTAAGTATACTCAGACTTTTTTTCTTGCAAGTAGGTATTTCATAATTCCTTCATTTATTTTTGGCAATGTAACAACATCATTTAACGGTAGAGGAGGTTGTTTTATCATCAAAAATGTAAAAGTTTGAAATTAAAACATTTAAGTGACAACGTTATAATAACTCCTTCTATAGTGTCGACTGAAGATGGACAATCACCATGAGAGGCCATGACGCTGTTTCCACAATTTTTGCTCCAAGTCAGTGTTGTTCTTTACAAGTCTTGGGATCATGTCTGTGTTTCTTTGGTTGAAGGAGAAATTCGAGAAACCATTGCTTAGGAAGAAAAATAGGATCTCACTTCGACACAACTTCTGAACTACTTACTGGTCTTTGATGTCTGAAAGATAATCTGTGGTAGAATCTATGATAGATTTTTCCTCTTGCATGACAACTTTGATGAACTTATCGCTACCAGGAACATTTCCGTCAAGCCAAGATCGGAATTCAGGATCATACTGGGCATACAAAATTACACCGCCTGTGCCTAAAGTAGCAAGGCTGATTGTGTAGAACAGAAAACGACCACCCCTGTAACAGAGTATCAAAAGCGTAGGTAAATATTTGATGCATCAAATAAGACAATCAGAGCATTTATTCTATTTTAGAAACAGACAATGAGTGACATCAATATCTTAAGAAAAGCTATATTAAGGCAATTTCTATACCACATGCCAGTCTCGGATGTGGTGGTCCAGATCGTTTGCCTGATTAGGGAGATTGCGCATACCTCTGTGACGACGCATTTTTGCGCACACTTCCTTATACATCAATTACATTAAAGGATAAGGAGGTTATGGGTTTTCTGATTTCAGCCCATTCATTTTTACTCCGCGCTCTGCTCATACCATTGCAGATAAATTAAATGGGAGTGCAAAAGATATGATTTTTGTCAAAGGTATGAAACTTTAAAACTTACTTCTTTTGAGGAGCACTGCTCGCAGTGCGAACGGATTGAATGACCAAGTTGCCCTTGCGAGATTGACAAATATTTGCGTGTACTTTAGCAGGAACATGTAAATGTCTTTTGGAGAGCTGAAAAAAAAGGAGAAAAAAATTGATGAATTGATCTAACCTCATTTCAATGATGAGTATCCATTAAACTTATGTTCATATTAAAAAAAGTTAACAGTTTGAAGGAAATTAAGTAATGACCATACCTTCTATTAACAGTGCTTGTCTGCAGAGTTCATTTGAGGAATTGCAGTGAGTGGATGAACAGAAGAATGTGCAACAAAAATTTAAAAAAACTCATGTTTCACTTGATTGAAGGTTCATCTCACACCTAATTGAAATGTCATTCGATGTAGCTGAAAGGCACTTCGAGTATTGAAGCTTGTTCAATGTATGTTTCGACAGAGGTCGAATCTTCCTTGCATCAACACATTAACACTCGCTAATAGTGCATCTTGAGTGAGACGTTTGAGCTGTTCAGTGGTACTGATTGAGAGCTAATGTGACTTGCTCGCTAATCATATGTTGAGGCAAACGTCAAAGTATTGTTTATATCACCACTCATCAGTGGTGCCATCTCATTAACCTGTTGAGGGGTGCTAATTCGGACCTAATCGGAGATTGACATTTGGCTTAACATACGATGCGTGAGCTCTAAGCTTCAACATAGGGATAAAACTCTGTTCAAAGCCGAATCATACTCCCGAGACATCACTCCAAACTTGACAAAATCAGGATATTAGAAAGCAGGCCAGATGGGTTTGGCTCTAAGCGAAATCTTCCAAGTAGAGATGCTCACTTATTTCATACCTGTCATGTTTTGAACTTGATATGGTTGTGCGCGAAGGTTACAATAGGAGGAGCGCAAGAGATGGTGGCAAGGTCTTGGCAGCTGTTCGCATCAACGGCGGATAAGATTTCATATAATTTAAGAGATAAATTTTCGGCAATGTTTTATAGTTAAGAGGAAAACATTAGAAAAGTCAAGTTTGACTCTTACATTGCGCAATTACAATCGAGGTACTGATTGAGGACAACTTCACCAGACAAACCAAGGCTGAACAACAAGCTGTCAGAGAAAGATCAATAGGTCATCGGACGTAGCCTCTACCTTCCTGTAGGACCGTGCACAGTCAGACCTTTGCCACCCTGAATTTGTCGTAAAAGACAGGACATTGATGTAAAGATCAGCTAAGGTTACTGGTTACTCACATGCTCCAATTGATGACTGGAAAGGCAGAGACCCAAACGATACATGTTGACTTGAAAACTAAAGTGGAATGCACTTAATACACAAAGCTTAAATAATTAATAGCTTGAGATGGAAGGAAGGAACAGATAATATTAAATTAGTGATAAGGGGCTCATAGTGCGGTTGTTGGTGGGTTGCGAAGGAAAGCTTATTGCGCACAGTTCACTATGATTTCAGGGTTGGACCACTTAAATACAGCTTCAAAAAACCATAAATAGTTCTGCTAAAGTAGGATTTGTTATCCTGTCACGATTAAAATTATTGAGAGCAAATCACAACAAGGGCTGTCATAGCAAGGTGAGTTTTCGAAGGAAAAGGAGCGAGGGGCGGAAGGGGGGCTCATGCCGGGAGAGGGGCGAAGAGGGGGAATCCAGTCATCAATGCAAACGTTGAGCAAGATTCTCGACGCAAATTGCAATACATATCTGTTATGCTGGTCGTATACTTTCCAGGATGCCACAATAGCAAGATACAACGATTTTGAAAATGACGTCACGTGGTTCCTAAAATCGAAGTCGACCTTCTTCTCTTTATGCCATCCTAATCCTTTGACTCCCGATTTCAGTGGAAGGCGCCATGCGCGCGGTCAAGCTAATCGCGAAAACCAACTTGTGCTTGTTTCGTGGCCTATCCTTGACATTGAAGGCGTTTGTTATGATTTTATTGCGGTCGGTATGTTTATTTTTGCTCGCTTTATCACAACCGCAGCGCAGGGTAATGGTAACATGATCAGCGATCGCCTGCATGTCAGGTCAGCGCTGAACCTCTTGAATTTTCATTATTTAAGTGTTATAAATTAATTCAATGCATCGACACAATTCCTTGCTGCAGTTTCCTCATTATCTCATTTTTGTGCGGTTTTGCAGCTATTTTTATTGGTTTTTTCTGTGATGAAAATCGACTGAAGAAACTCCTTTGTTTCATCTGAGTCAAGACTAAAACAGTCAAGAACAGAGGTAAATAATTATTTTACTCATCTCCGACGTTTTACCCTGACTTAAACTTTTCATCAGAAAAGCATTTTGTGTGTTTTAATGTAAGAAATGGGGGCCTCAATGTTCTGGACAATCGTGTGAGCTGCTCTGTAAACTGGAACCCGGAACAAAGGACACACGCAGTTAATTTATTTTATCCATGAACTCATGCGAAGTGTTATGATTCAGTGTGAACTTGCTTGTTTTTGCATCATGATAATCAATTATTTGTTTTTTCTAGACAATGGAATGACAGCAACGTTTCTGAAAAACTCAAGTCTTCTCCATGAGTTTGGGGAGTGGGGGCAATCCCAACATACCAGACGCAGAACATTTTGTTTTTTTCAACCATGAAGAAGAAAATCCTCCCATACAACAAGCAAAAGTTTGATGAGCTGAAGAAGGATGTAAAACAGAGCGGAATCACTGCTGTATTTTCTGATCCCACTTTCCCGGCAACCAGTAAATCTCTTGGACATGTGCAATTTCCTAGTGAAATTATATGGAAAAGACCAGGGGTGAGTCTATGGGTTCTTTGGTTATTCCGAAGTGCGAACATGTATTCTTAGCCATCTCATTTTTCCAGGTGGCTTTCCCATTTTAAGTACGTAAGTAAGTTAGTAAATGCCGGGTTGACCGACGGAGGCACCTGGCAACTGCCGTCATGCACCCGGAAATTGGTCTGTGCTCCTCAACGTATCTCATGACACCTATCACATTCCTGCAAGGCTCTGCGGCCATCTGACAAGCCAATCAAATTTCGTATAAACGAAGTTGGCGGACGCTACAGAGCATGGACTTTCGGAGCACAACCATACCTCTACTGAGTTTTACTGTGTTTTTTCAATCTCCAGTGATAGGTAGCACATACTACGAGTGATCAACAATTTTTTCACAACTCAGTTGAACATTGCTGTCTGATTACTTACTAGGTGACTATGTCCCTCCCATACCCTGTTACCTCGAAGTCAGGGTATTGGCGGTCACGATTACCGATATTTGAGTGTTCTCAAGCATCAGTCACCTCTGGGGATTGAACCTGGGACCTCAGTGCTGGCAGCGAACTGCTGTGATCACCAAACCAATGAGGCTGCTTTCCCATCTTAAAAAGTCCTTTTTTCTCAACATTTTCAAAGCTATATGACTTGATTTTGTTCTCTTTTCTCAAATTTAAGAGAACACAATTTTAAGAGAAACTCGCAAATTCTTCCACAATTCACTTCTTTTCGGTTCACTCTTTAGGTCTGCCTCTCCTAAAATTGGCATTTAGAAATTTCAATTTTGAAAGCTTTTTGTGCTTGAAAAATCATAAAAATAATCTCAACAAAAAAAAAATTTAGCCAGCACTGAGTCCCTTGGCTCTATGTGCTGGATCCATCAATTCAGCATCTAAATTAAAGTCACCAAGACACCATTTAGATCTGAATTGATCTTCTCTTTTGTGATAAGATTGATCTAAGTTAGTAGGTAAACTTTGGAATCCAGATTTTGGCGGAGCTGCAAAGGACTGACAAAAATAAATCAATACCTACTCTACTAAAGGATATGACGAGCAAAGGAGCTAGGTACCTAAGTAACCTTCTTGTGCTTTTGTGAAAAACAATGTTGAAGGTGAAAAATTCAATCAATGCCTTTGCCACAAATGAATTTTGCACTGGAAGACACGATGAAAAGAGAATTGTACGGTAAAAGTTTTTCACGAAGCATACCTTGAGAAAAATTGGGCTAAAATGACTATCTTCATTACTTATTCTTTTTCAAAAAAGCATCTAACTCTGTGCAATAAGAAATGCCATCAATTTTTTCATGTCTGAATAAATTGTTTCATTTGTTTATGGACTTTCATGCGTTTATTCTTTTGTTTATATTCATTTGTTTATGTCACAGGAGCTTTGTTCTGCCCCTCGGCTTTTTAATAACATAGAAGCTCCATCACGATGCAAACCAGGAGAACTTACTTGTGATTGGATGGTCTCAGCATGTGCAGTCCTCTCAGGAATCAAAGAACTTCTACACAAGGTAATATCTAATTTCAGTTTTGTATTATTTCCGCTACCTTTTAGGCAAAATTTCAACACAATATCCTCAGACATTATCATAAAACTACTCTCGAAAGCTCAGCACTGCATTCCACACCATTATTTTTCTTTTCTTTTTTTTTTTACCAATTTTCAAGTAGCTCACAGGGCTAATCCCATGCTTAATACTCCAGTCTCAGGTGACCATTGTTTGAGACCATCAAACTCTGGTCCCCTGGTTGGGAATCGAACCTGGGACCTCTTGGTTGTAGGGCCAGTGCCACAACCACTACACCACAAGAGGCCATTACGGCCTCAATTTCTGAAGCTTTTTAAGAGCTTGAGATTTTAGAAAAGATTAGTGGCATCTGTGCTCTTTTGCAAATCCTTAACTGAGATCATCTGATTATATTTCAAATCTTCCATGCTTTATGGAATTTTTTTGTGAATGTTTTTTCAAGTTCAAAAATGTTTAACAGGAAGCTTTTTAAATGTGTAAGTCTAGGGCAATTTATCAACAGGGAATTTCTGATGATTAAACGTTTATGTGTTCCAGATTATTCCAGACTACTGGGATCAAGAATGGGATCCCAGCAAACCAGATGAGTATTGCGGTATTTTCCACTTCCGCTTCTGGCAATTTGGAGAATGGGTAGATGTGGTTATCGATGATGCTCTCCCAACATACGATGGTATGTTAATCTCAGTGCAAGGAGAGTCAGAGTCGGAATTTTGGGCAGCCTTATTGGAGAAAGCTTATGCTAAGTAAGAGAAATTTAAATTCCTCTCAACTTTGAATATGAATGTATGTAAGGATTCAGCAAGTTCTCAGCCTTCCCACCTTTCAAAATTCCCCTTTCTTCATTTTTGAGGCCCTCCCATTTTCGCGTGTAACCGTTCACAGGTCAGGCACCTGCAGGTCGCTCGATCAAGTGGTCTCTGCATCCTTGAATAATTTAATAAGTTATTTTAAAGTTTTATTTTTAGAAAATTAATTTTGATGTAAGCGGCAAAACCTTTAAAATATAGAGCTGCGTATCAGTACAATTGTCTCAGGTCCAAGGCAATGAAAGATAACAGAGTTCATCTCTGCCGTTCTAACCCCACCTTGCTCCTTGCACCAAAATATCCCAGAGTTCACTGAAGACTTTTTTTTGGATCCTTTGCATATGTAGTTGAAGCAATAAAGAATGATTTTCCTCTTGTTCACCGCTAACTCTGTTTCCAAAGTATAATTTGCAGGCTAGTCACAGGGGGTCTTGTGTTGGCAAGTTCAAAACTTAATCTCAAGAATGTGAAAAAAAAGAAACATGAAAAATGGCAATTAACAGAAACAATCAGCTGTAAGGAGAAAATTTCAGAAATTTTTCTCCTGTCATCCTTGTTATAAAATCAGATATTGCACTTTTTTATTTTAACCAATGAGTTTTGAGAAGTTGGAATGGAAAAGAGGTTTTAATTTCGTATCGAGTATACTCTATAGTGCTGAAATTGTTAGGGAACCTCTGCTCTCGACCATTTTCATAATACAGCAACATTTTAGTTTCAATGTGTCGTGCGTTATTTTAAAGTTAATCAATAGTGTGTTTAATGAATGTTATTACTCTTTGTTCATATAACATTTTTTTTTCAGATTGCATGGATCTTATGAGGCGCTAAGAGAAAGCTCATTGAGTGATATTTTGGTTGATACAACAGCTGGTGTATCTCAAGTGATCGATTTGAAGGGAGAGGAGTATATGAGCAACGAAGACAAACGATGGGAACTTTTTGAAACCCTCATTTCTGAAAACAACGACCACTCCATAATTTGTTTTACCATCGCTGTAAGTATTAAACAAGTATTCAACCATCTTTGTCAAAAATTTATCATGGTTTTGGATTCTCATATTTTTCTAAGACGAAAAGATACAAATCAGAATTGGCTCATTGATCACCAAGTTAATACTGTCGATGTAGAAACTACTGTTTTTATCATACTAATCTTATTATTTTTTAAAATCATTGAATTTTATTTAATTTTTAATGTAAAGATTCACATGGTGGACTTTCTTATGAAATGTGTAGGCGAGGGAAAGATGTAAGGAACGGCTTGAAGGAATGGATGAACATGAGAATTGAATCAGCGTATGCGAAAACGTCTGATGTCCAATACAGTGTTTAAAATTTGAGTGGACGATTTCGTTGCAACTTAAAGACGCAAGATGGTTTAAGACGTTAGGAATGTAGAATAGTTTTATAAATAATCCCCTAAGTATAATTAAACATTTACAAAAGAGATCAATCTTATTCATCAGTGTCGTCGGGAAAAAGAAACCCTGTATTGGACAATGGACGTTTTTGCATGAGTCGATTCAATTTATGACTATGTGAATCCAAAAAATATTGAAACTTTCTACAATTCTGTTTCAGTCTTTTCTGCTACATCAGGTTTGTTCTGTCGCATTCCCCTAAACAAAAATTCCCTCCACATGGCCCCTCTTTATAGTGCTCACACAACAAGCCTTTAAAGCTATATCACTGATGAACAAATAAGTAAAGCATTATTTCCATATAAGGGAAACTTTAATTGGAATTGCATGTTTATAAATGTTTGCATAGTCCTTTCACTAAAGAATAAGTAATTATTTTTGACAAAAGTAGCAGCATAGTTCTTGACTGTTTAGAATTGTGAGAAGGAGGTCTTTACTTTCAGCAGGAACGGCAATCAAGGTTTTGAAGCCCACTATTGGCATGTCATGGAATCTAGCACTAACTTTGATTGGATCCATCAATTCGAAAACGACCTGTTTTCCTTTTATAATAAGTTATTAAATCAATACAAAGGAACACAGACCACTTTACTTTCAATTTTTCCGGCAAAAAATATTATTTAACCTCTCATAAGTATCTTTTTAAGAAACAAATAATCCAGAACTCTCATTGTTAGGAAAAAATAATGATGTAGAGGAAAGAGACATGTAGGTCATTTTCAAATTAGCTCTTTCAATGCAATTTTACCCTCCCATGGCAATCAGTATAACCGATAATTTCTCAGATTCTTTTTTAAAAGCAAATCCAACACATTAACAGAAAAGTGGAAAAATGTATGCAGGGGTTATGATTTGAAGCTCCCCAAACTGTCTAGGAGAAAGGGGATTTGTTACATAGACCATAAATGTGTCTGTTATTCATTTTTTTAAAGTTTACCAAAGTTTCCCAGAATAAAACAAGTGTAAGTATTATATTTTTTTTTTTTAAAAAAAAAAAAGTTAGCAAACACTAAATATTTTAAAAAAGAAAATTTTTTAGAAAAGTAAAACGGAAAGTCATTGAACAATTTATTCTATCTACATAGTAACATAGGGTTTGAACTTGTTTGTATGAAACACGTCTATACTTGAGTTTAACACTTTCAGTAGGCCCATGGGTCAATTCCAAACCAAGGAGAACCAATAGATGTTACTACCTCTACTGGTTCTCCCTTGAATACTTTACTTAATTTGAATTGTTTCCTTTTTTTATAAATACTTCAATTCAGCTGTGAAAACCTGTAGTGAGAGAGTCATAGTGGTCATGATTTCTTCTGAAAGTATGAAAAGATTATGTACAAGTGATTTGAGCCCCTCCTTTTGAGTGTTCAGACGCGAGTAGGTACACAATGACAAATCATCGATAAACGTAAAGGATTCGGAAATTGAATAAGAACTCGATCTCTCTAATAAAAATACTGATTTAACAGAAACTCTGACCTCACAATATTCTCTTGCAGTGCAGTTTCAAACGTAACTTGCATCATGGATTTCTCAAGCACTTAAAGTAAAGTATCATTAACAACGGACCAACTATCAAGAAAACATAATTCATGATGAAAACCTGGTACAAAATATTTGATTTCCACTTTCCGTAGTTATACCACAAGTAATTCAACAGTATATCCTCTACAATAACCAGGCCATAAAATAAAAAGTGGTAAGCAACAGCTCTGTTAATTTTTATGCCCACCTCAATCACACCAAAAATGTGTACGTAGCCCAAGAAAAGAATATAATGGAGCCTCTTGAAAAAATCATCCCGAATAGTCAAGAGAACTGTGATTAAAATGTAATGTGCAAGAAAGGTGATTATTGCAAAAGTGGGAATGTACTTGAACGCTGGCACTATTGCAAATATACGCTGAATGATGAAAAGAAGCCAAGCTATGTATAACACTGTTCGACCAATATGATCATCGTTATTTTGATAGTAGTGAAGGGGTCTGTTGGGGCTTGGGTCATCAGAGAATGTCCTTTTAAGTCGTTCATTCCGTAGGAGGTCTTGAGTCGTGTGTTCATCTTGCGGCTGTTCACCCTGCGGCTCTTGGCGCTCTGCGTTTTCGCCGTCTTGTTGGTTGTTATTGTGAGCATTGTCTGCATCAGGGCTGTTGATTGGATTTGAGCCAGTTGTACTAATAGTAACCCGCTGACTTTCGTAACGATGGTACATTTGAACACCGGATGTTGTAATGAGGATCGATGTGGAGAGACTGCAAATTTGAAAAAATCCTGAAAAAAATGTACAAATGTGATCGTCATTAGTCAGACAAAGTTAATCAGTCAATAAACATCGACAGCATACTTACAGAACATGAAAAACTTTATGGCTGAACACTGCATATCTTGTTTTTCAAAAGAATGTTTTTTCAGGAACAGTGTTCAATTTTTCAAGTCTCAGCCAGTCGTTTCTTGGTACATCGTTTTGTTAAATACCATTTTTCCGGAAACATTTTTTTACTTTCAATTCCCCTTTAAAAATGTTAAAACAAGATACGACTGTGTAACAGTAAAAACTCTTGACTTGGTATCACTTATGAACACTTAAGGATTGATCTTAATAACTTTCCCATGTTTATCTGAAGCCATCTTTCTACAACATTTACATCATTATTAACCTTTACTCTTATTTCTTTCTCTGTATTAAGTATTACCTAAAACACTAGTTGATAATTATTTTGACGGAAGATCACACTTAACTTGTTTATTGCGAAAGGCCTGAAGCGCCAAAATCTCTTGAACCTTGGCATTCATCGCGTATCATGACTTTGAAGCTTTATGAATTATTGGTCCTCAGACCCTTTCAACATTGAATGATTTATCATTCACTAGAATAAGTTTTACACAGTTTTCAAAATATACCGTACTTCTTGACCTAGTTTGAATGAAAGGATATTATTCAAGGGGAGTTTTGTGCTAAACCAGAACATATTTGGCTCATATTGGCTTATTCAAATTTTTTGAATTTGCAGAAAATACAAGAAAGTTACGATAAGCTTGTAACTCCCTACATGATAGTTGCGTCTCTCGTCTCTTGGTAGGGCTTTTCAGGCATGAAAAATTTTGCATTTTTGAATGCTCTCTTTCTGAAAGGGTTTTGTATGATAATGGTCTATTTATGCATTGTCCTTACTTGTCCATGCGCTTTTGCTGGTTGGTTTGTCCAGAAGGAGGTAAAGTTGCAGGAGGGCTTGTGGTAGAGTGTGCAGGAAAGCATGTAGAAACTGGTATACTTGGATTTCTTTCTTGATGCGTATAAGTTTTTGCAGTTTCTCTTCTCTTGCAGGGTCCTCTGAACTCATTGCTCCTATTGTTAGATAGATTTCTTGGATTAAGCTATGAAAAGAAAACCAAAAAAATCGGAGTTCATTAAATCATTCAAGATTCTTGGATTGTAAGGTTTAAACCTTACTTATACCTAGATTAAGATGGTAAATAAGGCAGTGCTTTTAATTCCTGCCATGCTGTACTGCTGCTCCTTGACTGCAGATTGTTACTTTTTGATGCATTAAATTCATGAACGTTTTACTGAACAGATGTTAACATCTCACAATTTACATCAACTTTAGGAAGAGAAAGATAAACTTGAAGACTCTTTTAAGTAGTGGTCATTTTGACCGTTGTAGTGTCTATACCAGTCCTCTTGTGCTTTTGCGAGTTGAAAGTTGGAGAGTGTTCTAGCCTTCACTTACATTTTAATGGTTATTCTATGATTATTCGGAAGGTTGGATTTTTGGCTGGTTTCTAGTGTAATATCTAGGAGGGGTTATTCAAACTAATTTTGTCTTCAATCACTACTCACCATATTACAATATGAAATGGAAACAGAAGAGTATCAATGAAATGGCAAACATTCCAGTTTATTTGGCGTTTCGTCCCAACAATTTTCCTCGTGTAACTGATTTGGTATATGTAATCAAGGACTGCAGGCACTGCAATTATCAAAAGTGTTATCACTCCAAGAGCAACTTTTTTTTCTAGGATGAGTCTCACACCAACCACAGTATCAAACACAACGCTGAGGATGTAGAGTGTAAGAGTTATTAATGTAGGGATTAAAAAGTAAAATAAAATCTGTTGATTAATTTTCAGCGGAAAACCATTTATCCTGGTTGGGAGAATGTCTATTACAGATATTTTTAAACTCATTTTGGAAAAAAAGTAATCAGAGTCTTTAAAATTTAGTTGTGCGATCTTCAAATGACAACCTTATAGCTAAACTCATTTTAAATTATCAAAAAGCTCTGCGTCGAAAGTACAATTTCATACACTAAAATCAGGAGCCAAAAGCACAAAAGTCAGCATCCACACAAATTAAAACTTCCAATTGAAATTCACGTCAACTTGTTTTACTTATATAAAAAAGTAAGTCATCAACTTAACACATTATGTCACAAAAGTAGTCCGTTCCAGGAGTAGAGAACTCTCTCCTTTTTTTGGAAAAAAAGCACTGATGCTAAAAGAAAAAAAAAACAAAAAAAGGATAACAGTAATGATTGATCCAGCAAAGATATGAAGTAATTCTGTAGCTTTTTCACAGATGATTTTGAAACTTTTCACTTTTCGGACGGAATAAAACTTATTCTAGATCAGATAGACCTAAATTAATAATACTAATTTTCTATGTGTAGATGTTACTTAAGTTTATTTTCTCTACTTTGCCTGGCTTTACAGGCCCAAAAATTACTCAGTCTTGACAAGAGTGTCGGCAGAATATTAATCTGCACCATAAACATGCTGCTATGTGAAGCCCTCCTATCTTGCTGATAAACATGAGACTCATTGAACGGTTTTGTTTACTTGTTGGCACACCTTTCCTCTCTCACTCGATTTCGAAAGAGCCAAGATAAAATTCTACAACTCCTGCAACACTAAATTGTGTGCTCCCCATGGATTGGTCTTCTTTGTCCTCCTTTCCTTACTCACAAAGGTTTAAATTCCTGGATGCAGTAAGTGTTGCCAAATGTAGCAATCCAGACTTGAACATGGATTTTTTTTAACAATATTTCAATGTTAAAAAAGAGATGAATAAATAAATGAATGCTTGACGAAATCAAAATAATATTTATCAGTAGTGTTATACTAAGTATACTTAAATAGAATAGTTAAATTTACAAATTCTAATGTTTCCTATCTCAATCTGACTTTAGATAAAATATTAGAGGCGCCTCATTTTCCTGTCATTGACTCTTTCAATTTTATATTATTTTCTCCTATTTTCATTTTATTTTTCATGAGTTTCTTTCCACTTTAACTGTTAGAAAGCTCAACACAAAAGAAAACTATTCTGAATAGTAAGTGATCATGCAAATTTCCTGTATTTCTAATTTTTAAATGGAGAACTGGTGATAATTGCCATCTATTTGAAGCCTCTGTGATTCTTGTTCTCCTTATTCAGAATCCTATGTGAGAATATCAATCTTAAAAGTTGACCTGTTTTTCCTTTAGGGAATAAAATAAGGAGAGAAATTTTTAAATGATTTTAGTTTTTTGAGTTTTTTCATTTTCATATTATTTAACAATGAATTTTAAAATTTTACTGAACAAATAAAAGAGAATGTAGGTATCTCTTCAAATTTATCTTTTTTTTCTTGTACTTTTTTTTTGTTTCCTCAAAGATTTGATCGGTATGCATTTGTGACACATATTGACTGGTGCACTGTATGACGAAATCGTGAAGAAAGAGGGAGGGGTGGGGTGGGGGGCCTCAAGAGGGGACTGAGGAGGAGTGAATATCAGAGATAAGTTGGGCATGTCTTGTACTCATAAAATTTGAGCTTCCCTCCTAGTTGAAACTACCTGTTGAGTTGTCTTCATTTGACCTGCTTCCTCGACATTTTATTAGAGTTGCCCAATTTAATCAGCCTATTCCCTTCCTCCAGCCTTCGATCCTCTAGGGGAATAATTCACTCCTCTGCAGGTATTTTTGAACGAATCCTATTTTGGTCAGCACCAAGATTTTGCCAATTTATGTATGACAATCTCTCCAATTGTACTCTCAATTTTTTTTCTTTCTTCTTTTTTTAATGTTTTCAATATCTCTAAAATGTGGCAAATAACTAAATTTTTTAATTGAATTTTTAGCTTTTTCAGTTGGGGTTTTCTTTTATTTCAGGTGATTTCCTGTAATTCATGATCAACTGTTTTATTTAGTCTGTTTTATTTATCTTCTGTCGAAATCATTTATTCTATTTGACCAACACTCAGTCGAATGTGCTGAAGTATTTTTTAAATATTTGACTCATTAAAATTTCTTGTAGAATAGGTGAGCAGATCAAAAGTTTAAAAATTCAACTCGTAAGTGAAAAAGTAACGTTTTCTGCATTTGTCAATTCAGATCCTCCCTTGTCCTTTTAGAACTAAGGTTGACTTCAGTCAAATTGGTTTCAAAATGAATGGCAGTGTTTTCAACACACCGAACATCATCTTAATAATCTAAGAATACAGATTAGAAGATTTTGGTGTTTTCAAACTCTATTTATTTGCCAAACGTCTTTGTTCTTAACAGCCATAGTGACCCACGTTGATATTGAGCCTTTCATGGGAAGCTTGAATATACTGAATTTCATGTGAACTTAAAAGCTAATTCCTTGCTTGCAAGTTGATTTTGGAATGTCTACTTATATTTAAAATGTGCCATGAGAAATTTTGAAAAGAGTACCTATGTTGCAATTCTTTCATTTCCATCTATTATGTCGGTCCTTTCTACACGTTGGAATGATTTTCTGTTCCAGAGCTCAGAGGAAGAAGAAATAGGACTTCGTACTGATCTTGGATTGAAAATTGGATTGGCATATCATGTGACTGATGTAAGAAAAGTCTACCTTGGAGAATCTGGCCTCAGAACTTTATTCAAGTAAGCATTTCATATACATAATATATCAATGAAAGTGGGTCTTGGGTCATCTGGAGATGAGTATTCACTTTCAACCAAGCAAAAAAATTGACTAAGTAGTCTAAGGTATATTATCAGATTTAAAACTTCAATGAAACCTACAAGAACTCCATCCTCTAGCACCCTTTAATTGCTCGAATGTTTCCCCTTCTACAATTTAAAATAGCTGGTGTTGTAAGAAATAATACATTTCTAAAGATTTAAATGTTTTGTTTTATTTCAGGGGTCGAGAAAAAGTAGCCATGGTTCGACTGCGAGATGCAAGTGATAATCAGTGGAAAGCTGGGTCCAGAAGAAGGTGAGTACAAAATCCCTCAGTAAAATTTCAAAACAAGGTTTTTAACAAGTTTTACTATTGAATCATTGGAATAATACTTCTTTTTAGGTTTTTTGAACCTCTGTGTAGCTATCATCAATTTCAGTAAAGCTGAATATTTTGTGACATCATCTTCACTAGCTTATTGTTGATACCTGCAGCCATGATCTGCACCTATTATACTCTATACTGTCCAGCATTGCTCACTCTACTTTTGTCGAGCAGACGAGCCTTACAACTTCCTTGCTGGTATCATTACTGCCAGCCAGCTCACCCTTTGAATGACCCCTCCTAGGACCACACCAGTGAGCAGAGCACTTCCCACAGCGTCATCTTACCATGAATTTGAAACTTTATGTATTTAGAACCACAGAAAAGAAAGAAAAGGGTAAAACATCCATAATTCCTGTGGATTTTTCAGTTTTTGTGTTTCATTGTTCTCAAAAGTGAACCATATTTGATTTGCCTATTTCCAATCAAAACCCTTTCACAGCAAATTCTCTAGTAACGGACTAAAAAAATATTTAGATTTTTTTATTGAAATCTGAAAAGCACCAGTCAAATATTAAATATTTAGCCAGAGTAAATTGCTAGATAATCAATATAATCTCATGAAACATTGTTTTTAAAACAAAGTATCAACAGTAATAATTCATGGAAGAAGTCAGCTAAGTTTAGTTTTTTCAATAAAAAAAATAAATAAGTTTTCAGCCCTCCAATATCTTGCTCATTTCCTCTGCTTTTTTGCTGTCCATTAGTTCTGCCAAGGGCGCTCCGACAGAATACGCCTATTCCACAGCTCAATTGACTCGATTACGCTCAAAAAATGCTAGCTGGGCACAGGTGAAGAATGACGAATTTCAGCGAATTGGTCTAGCAGTTCAGAGTAAAAATGAATTTTGGTAAGAACGGTGTCTTTTCTCAATTTTGTTTTTTGTCTTGGGAAAAGTTCACCGACTTCACAGAGAGAAGGAAAATGTTTGCGGTTGTCTTGGTGAACAGATCATGGAATTACAGTAACGCACATCTCCATTTGCAAAGTTGCAGACTTCCTGTCATATTTTGTTTTTTCAATTAAAAAAATACTCTAGTAATTTTTTGAAAATTTTCCTAATTTCTCTTTTCCATGTAGAAAACATTCAGTGAAAATTTTAAGGAATAGCGGTGCCAGGTGGTAATGACCAGTTTATGATTTTTTTTTTATTTTCTTCTCAAGGGGAAGTTAGTACATAGTTTTTCAAGTATTTAGCAATGCAAACTCCTGAGACGTCACTGCACCGATCCTTGGCTAAATGTGTCAAATTTTATTCATGTCACATGATTAATAGATATCACATAAAAATTGCCAAAAGCTGACAATTGCTAGAAATGTTCATCAATGTGCTTCAAAAATATGAATTTTGCAACAAAATGAAATGTTCTCCCGTATCAACAATGATAAATCAGTTTCCAATTAAGTATTAATTGCATTATGCCGTTCAAATTTTTCATTTAAAACAAGAATCATACTTGTTTCTGTCAATTTTTTATCAATTCTAATTACCAAAACTGAAATATGGACCAATCTCCTTTTAAAATTTCTTCATCAAATAGCTGCAGAGTAGCGTGGTATTTGCTTATCAGCTCATAATAACCTATTCTCATTTCATTTTTTTCCATTTCAGGATTCCTTTTGAAGATTTGATGAGTCAGTTCACTCAACTGACTATTTGTCGTCTCTTTGCTAATAATTTATTTGCCGCACCGATTCATCAATGGTTCGAGGCATCAGCTCGTGGAGAGTGGACAACAGGAGTGAAATGGACTTCAGCAGATAAAGCTGGCGGCAGCCTAGATCCAGAGACGCTTTTCAGAAACCCGCAAGTAAGTTTGATTTAAAGTTAGCATATACTTAATTTTTCCAAAGTGGATGAATCCAAGGGTCAAAATATTGTAGACAATTGAACTGTTGGTATTTGCCTCTGGCAACGAACCTTTGTTTGTGACTTTGATTAAGCTTATTATCCAAAGTAATGACTAAATTGGTTTTTTAAAGCTTAATAAATACAACATCTATGAGAGCATGACATACTCTAGTGAAGCCTCTTGCAAAAAGTATTGATTTTTATTGGAATTTTTTTTCTTTCCCCCAGTATTTGTTCATTTTAAAAGAAGAGACGGATATAGTGGTACAATTAATGCAATGGAGTCCTGACATACCTCCTGGAGAAGCATTGAAACACCTCATTGGATTCATCATAGTTAAGGTATTTTTTAACAAAGTTTTTGTTTATTTGTTCATTTTTAAGTGTGCCAGTAGGGCTCACTTTTTTTTATAGCTCATGGCAAAGCTCAAGTTTTGTTGAAGTGATTCGTAGGAAACTCACTAAGTTGTATTCCCAAAAAAATGAGTTGGGAGTAGTTTTGAATTCATCTAGTCCTGTCAGCAATTCTAAATTAGGAGAGAATATTCTGAATGTGAAAAAAGTTGTCGAACTTTTTCTTTACAATACATAGTCATAAGCCGATGAAGTTATGCAGAGGAAAAACAACCTGAAAATATCGGACTGAAACAAGTGAGAATTTTATTTCAAAGATCCTTTTTATTGATCCTCCTTTAAGAGAGAAAACTTGAGAGGTGTCAATTCATTCCAAGTTTTTTGTCTTAGTATTTACATATTTTTACCGGCCATTATTTTTCTTGTGAGTAGATCTTCAAGTGTTATTATTTAGGGCCATTAACTTCATTTAATTAGTGCAATTTACCCAGTGTATTTCAAGTGTAGTAATGTGCGTTTGTCTTTGAAGGTTGAGGACAACAGGACAACGAGAATGCATAAACAATGGAGTCATTGTCCAACGGTGATTATGCATGACCATCAACGGAAAAGAGACATTAACTACATGGGCCATCTCTGTGCAGGCAGATATGTGATCATACCTTCAACATACAAACAGGGTGAAACTGCGGCCTACTTTTTACGCTTATTCACCTCGCACAATATCAAACTGAGGTTGGTGCCCATGCAAATCTAAACTTGTTTCCATGTATTTGTGAAAACTAAATGACTCGTGAAATTATTCAATTAGGGAAATAGAGAGGTAATTAATTGCATTGTCGGAGTTAGTATCCAACCTAGAATAATGCAGTGCAACTTTGAGAGGAGAGCAAGACTAAACATTTTCAAAAACTAGAAAAGTGTAATTCAACATTTTCTAAAATGCAGTTATGAAACTCTGGCCTCTTGCGTCATTTTTATCTGTTTGTTTTTATTGGTTCTATTTCCCCTACCAAAATACGTTTGATAAGTCATGTGACTGAAAGTGAAGCAAATGTATTTGAGAAAGAAGTACAAATTCGCGCCTTAGATTTTGTTCCCTGATTTCTAAACTAATCTATTTTCCAGCTTACTAGAAGATGAATTATCAATAAAATGATGGCAAATGATGTATGATGATGGCTGAAGAACCATCAAAAAGGCTAGCTAGCCAGCTAGGATACCGTTCGCTATGAGAATTGTCCTGTCTGACCATCAGGAGTAGAGTATGTGATGGCGATGAGCATGTAACTTGTCTAGCTACATTTACCACAAGATGTGCAGATTCCTGCCTGAAGCAGTCTTGATAGGTTGGAAGCGGCTCCCTGCCACCAAGCCAAGGAAGCTTTTATCTTCAAACAAAAATCTTTCATCAATTACAGTTGTTCCTCCTTGCAAAAGGATACGTGGATACTCTCAGCACTGCAAAAATAGCAAGTCCTTTAACCTCTCTGCATCAATCATAAGTCAATTTTCCTGCATTCGGTACCATTCGGCAGCCCGCCATTCAGAGTGACCCATCAGAGGTAACAAATTCGGCTGAAAGAAGTAGAGTTCTAAAATATCAACAATTTGAGAAACTTCTGTAATCGAGCAGTAATTAATTCCTTTTCCTTTCAGAGAGCTGAAGACAGATCTGACAACATCGTTGATCAAGTGTCCTTGCATTCACACGGAGCCTGAATGGGTCACAGTGATCTCGATTCTCAAAGCTGAGAATCTCTCGTTAGATTTTTCTTTTCGTGGAAAAGATAGTAAGTACTACCTCCTCTCTCTTTCAATTCTTTCAGTTTTCAAGATGAATCGTGTTTCTCTTATAAGTCTTCCACATTCTTCTCACCTTCACTGTCACCAGGGAGGTCCTTATATACAGGATAAATGCCTGAATTCATTCTAATTTTTTCTCTTTTCTTATCAGATGCTCTGTAGATATACTTGTTGCACATCCTGTAGTGAAAAAGATTCCTGTTGAACAACTTTATAGTTTATCTTATTGTCATCATCGTGCTTCTTTATCAGATTTGTTCTGGTGCTTGAATTTTTATTGTATTCTCATAGAAGTAGCTACCATTAATTACCATTAAACGCACAATCATCACCAGCGAAAATTTTTACTTTTCAGGGCTCAATCCTTTTTGTGTCGTTATATGCGAAGGTGCCAAAGGGACTACAAAAGTCATAAAAAATAGTCAGAATCCTGAATGGAATACCTCATTTTTATTTTACCGCAGAAAGACTGATGTTCCTCTTAAACTTCAGGTAATGATCATTCAATTTTTTGTTATCTTTACTAGTACACGCAGGGGATAAATGTTTGAAGGATGAAGGAGGAGGAAAGGTCCTTTCTCTAAAGAGAAGAAATTTTTGCTTACAACGATCCTCTCAAAAAGTGAAATGAAATACATCAACGATTATTGTGATGTGTCTGTGACCATACTTTTTTTTAGGCCACGTTACGAAAATTGGCACAACAGGATTGGAATCAGTGAGTGGCTTGGGATAATGTTTAAGGATTGAAATGTATGACCCGAGCTAGTCAACCCTTAATCAAGAGGTTGAGCTGCTCTTGTGAATCCTTTATATTTTTTTGTGAACATGTCATTAGCCAAAGTTTTAACAGCATTAAGCGTTAGCACTCCCTTCACAAAAATTCACAAACTGTAACCAGTAATGGAATCAGATAGTGTTTTAAGTGCCTAGTAACCCATTGATTTCAACCATTTATAGAAACGATGAATGTAGGCCAATGTCCTTGTTTTTTGAAGAGCTATTCACCTATTTTGTTTTAAAAATTGAGATCAAAACTTTGATAAGTCAAACCATTGATGAGATATTCATGAATGCTTCAGGTACTATCACACAATATTCTAATCCCAAACCAGCTGATTGGTGAAGCTGAGGTTCCTGCTCTAGTCACGCGAAGTTTCACACCATTACAAGTTAAGCTAATTCAGAAACAGAAAGATTTGGAAGCAACGCCAAAAGCTTGTGGTTCTTTGTTCCTACAGGTATTGACTGAAGATAATTTGATGGCAATATAGAGGTTGTTTCTTGATAATAAGTGCCTTACAAATATTTTATTCCCTCCTCATAAGTTTGTCTTTATTTCCAGAATTTTTAATTATTTTTAGGGCTTGCTTGTCTGGTGGGTAGTGAATGTACCCAAGTGTATATGTATATTCCCTCATCAAAAAGATGTGATTAAGCCACTTTTTATGATGTAATCGTAATTGAATCACTTCTAATGGTCGCTATCTATGTAAGGTGCTCTTTTAATCATGAGATCCACAGCAATCAACTTTCATAAAGCCCAAACCAAGACAAGAATTAAAGTTTTTTTTTTGTACTTTCTTGTTTCTCTAGTATACAGATTCAACGATCCTTTCGCTAAGGAGAAAATTTTGTACTCAATTAAATTTACCATTAATCTAAAATTAATAATTGTTGATCTCGTGATTAAAAAACCACCACAAGAAAATGGAATGTGTAGACATCTTGCATTTCATAAATTATATAGTCTCTAGTTGAAATGATTTTATTTTCTTGTGATAATTCAATAGTCATTCTTTTAATACTCAACTGTTCACTTTCATGTGAAAATCATCGATTTGTTTATTTTAGAATTTGAAAGCTATTCTCCTTATCCTTTAAATGCTCTCCGTGAAGGAACTTAGATGAATTTTTTCGTTTTATCGTAATTTCATGGAAAATTGCTCTTCTTGTCTCTCTCAATTGAACTTAATTTTGTTGAATTTTTCATTTTTCTTCTCTTTGTAATGTTATATTCTGGTGCTGCAAACGTAATTAAAATGTGTGTAAGTAATTTCCATGGTTGTGTATTTAACACAACTTAGAAATTATGTACTTAAACCAATAAACTGACACATTTCTACGCCTAGTTTGAGATTTTACCCGTAGAACATACCCAAAAAGGTGAAGTTCTCTAGTAGTAGGAGCTTTGATAGAAATATAATTCAATTAGGAATTAATTTAATTGGGATTTTTTTCCTTTTGAGTTTGTATCCGTCTTAATTGTTTAGTATTAAATACTAAGTCTGTGTTCATGGAGCGAAGTCCTTTTTTGAGGCAGTAAAATATTCAGTGGCAGGAGGACTGTTTAGAGAACTGTCAAGTTAAATGATAATAATTCATCATTCCATGTTGATAAATAGGTTAATATCACTAAATGCTCACAAAATTATAAAGAAGAAGAATGGGGGTATTGTCTTGTTTTTTGCTCTAAGTAATATTTAACTTCAAAATTTGTTGTCTCTTCTGCCTCAATTTGTATCCATGACCTTGAAATTCGTGTATATTTCATTACACTTGTTTATTTGTGCCTCAATGCAATACTATGATTTTTCTCGTTTTGGAGTAAAAAATATTTTTTGAAGACTTTTTGTGTAATGGCCCGGAAAAACTTTTTTTCCATTTAGGATTTATGATATTTTGTGTTTGTGTATCATTGTCAGATTGAATGTTATTTAACACAACTTACTTAAAGACAATACTGTGATACTATAACAATGAAAAATATTCTTGCCAGGTTTATTAACCTATTTTTATGTGGCCTATTTTTTTGTAAAGTTTGGGTCACTAACAGATCTAGACTTTTAAATGCTTGCACATTGTAGGGCATATCGCTCTTTCTTATCAATTATTTACTCCTAGCAACATAGATTTTAAGGCTTGAATGGAGACATTTTACTGTGGAAAATTTTGATTAATTTTTTGCACCAATAAGAAATGTACCTTACTTCATCACCGACTTTATAAAAGAGAGCTCATTTCCTCTAACATATTTCAGTAAAATTTGAAACAATAGAACAGAGATTTTATTAATAGATCTGATTTTTTAAATTATCTCTTGCATACCTATAATGCTCGGTCTCTTACTCACAGGCACTTAGCCGTTTATTTTTGTAGTCACTATTTCCAAAATCAAACTCTTATATTAAATAAAGCGGTGTGCAATCATTTGTAATGTATGGATATACGTTCTTTTTTTGAAAACTTTTAGTCCAAAGAAGCTGGTAACTTTATTGAAATATCTTTAATTATGCCTTGCCAACTAAGTTTAGATTATTTTTGTCATTGCTTGTAGCAATTCTACCTCATACATTAAGATTTCGGGTAATACAGTAACAGTTTCTTAAGTCAAATTTCAGTGGATTAAAACGATTACTCAGAATTCTTTCAAGCTCCAGATTTCACCACTAAAACTAAAGTGCAACTGATCATTTGAGATTTAATTACCTGTCATTTTATTTTTCTATTTGATTGAAAAAAATTGTAGTCTATTACTCTCGCAATCAGAAAAAAGAGGTAATTTTAATTGAAATTTTTGGGGTTATAATACACACAGAATAAATGGACTGAATTTGAGGGGAAGACACCAAGTTGCATTTCAGAAAAAAATGAATTATCGGAAGTTTTAAGCTCAACTAGCCACCTATTTTTTCCCGTCAAAAATTCAAAGCGGAGAAATGTATTTTGAATGGGAAAGTAGGTGTTGACCTTAATCTCTAAAATTGAGTCTGGTGAAGTTTAATCATTTCAAACGGCTTTCTTGGTTTGATTTTAATGTGACTCGGTTTCCGCCTGTTAAACTGAATCCAAGTACACTAGCAGGCGAAACAAGCATACATTCCCATGAATTTTCTTTGGATATTTCCAGGGGAACTTCAGTGTCAATGGGCAGGAATGGATCAGTATTGTCATGAACTCGGTCAGTTAATTCAAAATTTTCTGTCACTTCTGTTTTACGAATTAGGCATTGAGGGAAGAATCAGCAAATGTAAGGGGTCAATTTGGTCAAAAAAATATTCAATTCCTTACTTTTCCGACTTAAAAATCTAAACTGTAAATGTTTTTTGAAATTTTCGGTTCAGAAAAACAAAACTTTTAAGATATTTTAAGTTTCTTCTAATTTTGTTCATACTGTGAACGTATTTTTTTTAAAAAATTGGAATTTTGATATTTTGTTTTCTTAGATAATTGTGACTTTTATGTAAAATGTTGTGAACTGTGTTGTGCACCCATCCACTTTGATCATCATTAATACATATGCACTTTTAGCCTTCATTTTTAAACAAACATATAGATGGCACAAAAGGCCATGTAGCCTGTGCCATTCTAGTGCTGTAGCCTTTTCTAGCTATATTTATGAATTCACTATATTGATTGAATTTTTAAAATTCTGCCGCTCAAAGGAAATGGTCCTCGTGGGTTGGCATTTTGCACAGCTTTTTTATGTGATCTTACAAATGTAAGAAATTTACCTAAGGACTTCTAGGGTAATTTAGTGTAATACTCAAGAGTAATTTTCATGTATGTGATAAAAAAAACTCGATGCAATACATTTTTTTATTCTATTTTTGTGCTATTTTTTTTTTTTAACAGATTTCCCATCCAGCAAAAACTGATTGCAGAAAAGTCATGATGATACCGTTTAAATTACCAAAGCAGCGATGTGTTTGCGACATTTTCGTAAAGGTAGTTTCGAAAGTTTACGGGTGGGTTCTTTCTTTCAAAAAATAAGGTTAAAACAATATTTTAAGCGTAATTAAATTAATTTATATTTTGAACAGGAAAAGAAAAATATCTTAAAAAAACAGGAATGACTAAATAAAGTAAGAATACATAACAATAGTGATAAGTTTCTACCAACAGTTAGGTAAACTTTGTTGAACACAATTTTTAACTCACAAAAATACATGATTAAAGAACGTAAGCCCAAACCAAAAGACTCTTCTCACAATTCATGGGTCCATTGATATATCCATGTAATCAAGCTAGAATGGACATACTACACACAGAGGACAATTAAATTTGTCTCAGTGCCAAATTTCAATGCCCCGCAGTTGAGAAGATATTACCTTCAAAAAACAAGATTATTGATGTTATTTGCCATAATACTGTATACCACAGTTTCCTCCACTGATACACTGCATTACCTGATGATTTGATTGTTGATTGCAGGTAAAAAATAAAACGAAGGTAGAAGAAATTATGGTATGCACTTCCTTTTGCAGTAGATGACTCGATTACCTCATGTTTTCAAACCAAAAATAGCGAACGTAAAAGCTCGACGTTTACAGAATTTCTTCTTGGGATTGAAAAGTCAAAACTCATTTCTTCAAACATAGGTTCTATTTCTTTCGAATTCTCTCAGGAGAAAAGAAAAGTGAACTAATAATTTAACCCCCTTGCATATTTCACAGTCATCCAGGAAATGAAGAGTTATTAGAAATATTTTTACAAAAACATATTTTTTATACTCTTGAGGCTTCAATGACATAATTTTCATTGTGTATTTTAACATACTTTCAATTTTGCTGGGCGGGAATCAAACTTTTTTCCACCCTTCAGTTTAAGAGGGTGTTGGGATACTTTTTTTATCTGGTGATTGATGCAGTTTATTTTTTAAACTACTTACTTGTTAGCCTGATGGAACTTCTTGACGATTTTGTTGCAACAGAAAAATCTTTTTCCATCTTCAAAGAAAATTTTGCAGCACCAACTATGACTGTTCTCATATTTCAGCGAACTTCCACTCTACTAGAAGCGTCAGACCAGCTTTAAACCCTTTGCCGATGATAGCTAAAGTACACGTGTAATCACCCTCTTCAAGATTCGAAAAAGAAAATCATGCAAAAAAGTAGATTTTATTCCAAAAATTTGGAAAATATACTGCACTAATCACAAATGTATACAGGGTGATCCATGGGTAAGCGGCCAGACTGCAGAAGTCAAAAAAACCCCAAACCCCTCTTTAAAATGAGATTTCGATTTTTTTTTGGATCATTTATGAATTCAGGGCATAAAAGTACAGGAAAGTACACATTTTCATGAGATTTGGTTCACAACCATTGCCAAAATTCAGGGAAAACGATTTACTTTCCGAAATTTTGGGGGATCGTAGCTCCGACTGGGAGCACTTTTGGAAAAAAAAAACTTTATACAGCAAAAAAGTCTTATTTTGAACCATAGAAGTCTGGCTGTTTAACTCTAGATCACCCTGTATATTCGTTTTGAGAGAGCACTTCTGCTCAACGAAAGATATCTCACAATGATGTGTAAACACGTCTTTAGCTGGCATGGGGTTAAAGTGAGGGTGCTCTAGTGCAGGTTTTTTGGTCTTCATGCTACTGTACAAGTAGATCAAATTGAGCTAACCAAGATAAAATGATTTTTTCCTGAATTCTCTTACAATGGTGATAATTTTCTGACCTTTGAATGTAATTATTTTCGCATTATTAATAGCCTCAACAAATAGTGGTATAAATCGCTGTCAAGGGAATGCTATTGGTGTCCACTTTGACTTGGTAAATAAGATGAGCGTAGATAAATTGAATCATTGAACATTCCACTATTCACTGATTCTCCTTCCTTGCTTGAGGTTGGCAATCGAAGGTACCAATTTTCTCATTCTGCGTTCACAAACAACAGAACAAACCACTTCAAAGCAATATCCAAATAGAAAGAAGACAGCATTAGTTGTGGTGCCATACAGGAAGAAACAGGTTCAAGAGTATTCACGAGAGTTCAGGATATGTTGGCTGCATTTTCAAGAAGGTCTAAGAGCCTTTTGATTTCTTTTCTGCAGAAGAGGATTATGGAATTAAGGGAAATACCATAAATGCTTAAAAAGCTGAAAGCAAACTGTAAAATGCAATATGATAATGGGACATGTTGCCAGCATATGTTTAACTGAAGCATCTATTGTATAAATCGACGGCGTAAGTCCGCAATCACATATTTTGTTAGCGGTGTCTGAAAATCTCCGCATCTATGTTATTTTTTTAAAGGAGAACAAATTGGCATCATTCCTTGAAGTTTATGCAGAATTTTCTTTGCACAGAGAAAAAAATCACGGCAGTTTTAAGGAATTGCTGTCGAGTAGTTTTCTGTTTAAAAAATAAAGTATGACAGGAAGTCTGCGACGTCTCAAGCCGAGTTATGTGATTGCTGACTTACACCGTCGAAATGCTGTAAGAAGATATTCAAAACCTTTTGGGTATGTTACAAACGGAAAATGATAGCCACCTCTTTGGCCTCCTTTGCCCAGCAAGTTGCCCCTGGCATTCATTTTTAGCTGTGCTCTGAAATATTTTCGAATATTTCTATCTCAGAAGGACTACAAGCTAAATATTGAAATGGATTGGTCTTTCAGGCTGGACACAGACAACATGAAGCAAGTTGTTCCAGCTTGGGTTGTCTGTAATAAAATAGCATACTTATAATATTGGAGAAATATTGGCAGAGGAAAAAAAGGATACATTTGATTGGCTAGGGCATAAACTGGTTCCATCTCCTTTCCTAATTCCTCACATTTTGCCATCAATTGATAGGTCGACTGGAACAGACAGAGAAAACAAGTGTAAAAATTGGTCTAAAACTAATACAAATACTACACCTCAAACATAACTTTTCATGATTGTGATAACCGGTAAAATGATGGTGAAACTACTATATCAAACGTTGTGGTTTGGAATATTGTCTTGGAAAGATGTGCCATATCACCTACGGTCCTATGTCCGCTTTTCATGATGTATCCGTTGCTTTGAGATGAGAGCCATTGCTTTCGGAGCGCAAGCTCAGGCATTTTGGCATCTCCGAGCATTTATCTTGGAGCACCGGGCTTTGTACTGACATCTCTGACGTCATTGCTCTTCCGGATGCTACTGAGGTATATACTCTGAGAGGTCCGCGGCACAGGGTCGTATCTTCGGGCAGCAATTAGAGGATCATCTTAGAGTGTATCAAGTGTCTATCATGTCATATCGATTATACTATTGATCAGCTCTACCACTTGACTACGTGCGTTGGACCTTTTCATCCCTCCCACTACAATATTGCAGCTTTCTGGTCTCATAATTTTTGCCAGTGAAACTGATGATCATGCTAGGACAATATTTTGTGTGATTTTTCTTCGCCTTTTCCAGAATAGTTTCTGAAATTTTGTGCAAAAATTACTAGTCCATCTATAAAAGTCAAGAGAATGCAAGGATTTTAAAATACCATCTACGAATGTTTGTGTACTTTCAACGTTGAAAAGCTCCGAAAAATTTTAAATATCCATATCCTTTGTGCTGGAATTTTTTTTTTACTTTTCAATTTAGGTGTAAGCATAGGGTGAGGTAAGACTTACTTTGATATTTAGATCAACGGCGTCACAGGTTTTGCAAACAACATCTCTATAGGTGTCTAAACAATCAACAGTTAAGGCTGAAACCTGAAAACAGAAAAAAAAGTGTGAGAATTACTGTTGGCAAGCTTTAATTTTGAATAAATATTTTAACTGAGGCTTTCATTTTTATTTTCTTCATTATGTGTGAATCATGGAAAAAGTTGGTCATTGCAACATCTTCTAAAAAGAAAAATTAATCAAGCACTGAAGACTTAAAGTAACAAGAATTTTAATATCCACCAGTAAACAAATAAAAAAACAGTGTGCACCAACTGCATAAACCTCGATTTCAGGTGTATGCTTGATTTAAAATTACAGAGTTAATGAATGAAAAAAAAAAAAAAAAAAAAAAAAAAAGTGAATCCAAAAAAAATTTCTAATACTAAAGACGGAAACATTCTTAAATTAATTTCCATCATTACAAGATTGCGTGATTAGGTACCCTAAAATATTCAGAAAAAATAATTTTAATTTATAAGAAGAGTAAGATCTAAATAGGGTAGTAAATCATTTCCATACTTACACTGTGTAGAATACCAGCAAGGTTTTCAGTCAGTGTGTCTACAGAAGACGCAATGCGACTTGCCTCCAATTCTAGCTCGTTCAAGATAGGGTTATCTAGCAGAGGTTTGAGAGGCCAGCCTCTCGGAACAGGACCTGAGAAAAATCCAAGTCCACTCAATTTAAAAGTCAATCTTAAAGACTTCTAAGTCAATCTTAGAGTTATTTTCTCCCTTCTTGTCTCTGTGATTCTGCTTGGGATGGGTAGAGGTAAAAGAACTTTGTTCATCTTAAACTATCATTGAGTGAACTGAGTATCTAGTCGCACTCAGGATGGGTTGGAGCCCGAAACACGTCTGCCAAAACATTTTAATCATTGATATGCGGGCGAGTCTTTGATATTTTGATTTACATGCTGAAAAATTGCTCTCCCAAAAAAATTGTTTTTCATGCACTAAGGTCTCTTTTCTCATAGAGAGTCTTCCATCAAAATTTAAAATCAGCACTAGGTACCTTCTTTCCTGGCTGGCGGGCTAGAAAGCTTGATTTTGGTTTCTAGGTCTTCGGCAACAAATGTTACCATATCTCCTTCCTGACGGACTACACCTTCAAGTTGGTCAAGATATTCCAATACTTTCAGTTTTTCAGACATTACTTCACATTTCAGATTCAACTGACTTGGTCGTCTGGCAGGGCTAATAGATGAACTTTGACTGATTTCAGTGTAGGATTCGGTCATTGCATGCTCCTGAAAAAAAAAAGTATATTTATAAAGGTACATTCATAAACAAATGACAGATTAAAAGGTCACATATAAGTAATTCCATAACAGCGAAACCGCAAAAACGCATATCTCATCAGCATTGTTTCAGAATCTCTGCTACCATTTTGATGATTCAACAAGGAATGAACCATCGTTACTGCTTGAAATTACAAAGAATCTTCTTAAAATAGATAAGGAAAATCAGGGAAGTTTTCAAGAAATGACAAGGAGTAGGTATCTCCCAATTTAAAAAATAAGTTAGGTATGAAAGAAAGTTCATGATGTTACAAACCGAAATGCAGTGCGAAGAAAGACAATTGGGTCTGTTTTAGGATTCACTTTAATTTTTTTTATTTACTTTAGGTACACCCTAGGAGGTAGTCCTATGCTTGTAGTGAAAGCCCCATACCACCTCAGCCCCTAATCAGCAACCAGCTCCAGGCAAACATTGGTCAAGACTACTTATCGAACTCATGATGCTGGAAATCGAACCCAAGACCTCCTAATCATGAGCAATTGCTACAACCAGTAAGTAAACCTCAGCAGGCTGACAATCTGATCACCTAGAACTAGATCGATTTTGCGCTAAGTCAGTGCTTACTCAAGCATGTTGATTCTTTTGAGGTCAGCCCTATGCTATATAACAAGGGTCGATAAAGTTCCCTGCTTTCCACAATTTTGAGCGAGCCAAAGAGGAGCTTCCACAATAAGTGATTACCTTTTCATTTTAAGTCGTCAGGTTGTTTAGTCGACTGGTGGGAGGAAAATTTTGAAAAGGTAGTGAGAAGGGTTTAACCAAAGCTTATCTTACTCTTCTATGCCGAACCGGCCGAACGTTGCCACAAAAAAGCGGGCTTGGCTTGCGTGATCCAGAATATTATCGACCCCTGCTTTAAGACTTAGACTATGCCTGAGTATTGGGAATCGTTTAAAGTAAAAAGAGTGTGAATTATATTGATGATTGAATACTTAGGAAGAATATAATGCAATCAGAGGGCTGAAGTATTGACAAAAGTTCTTACATCGTCTTTGATATCTCCAAAATCATGCATGGTGGCACTTGCTTCGTCCGGATTTGAAGACATTGTTGAGAGTCCAGTAACAACTTTGGTATGAGTGAAAATATACTTTGAAAAACACACTTGTACGTAAGTTTCGACTCCAAATGTTTCGTGATTTGAAAAGCTCGCTTATCTTATCAGTTCCATTTTGTTGTTGTCACAGAAAAAGGTGATTGTTGTCCGACGACCAACAATCAAACGTTGACTGATAAGAATGAGAGAGAATTCGTTGTTTACATTGTAGCGGCATGGGCATGACGATTTGTACAATGTCTTGGATTTAATAATTACTCGTTTCTCAAATTTTGAGCAGTTCCCCATAAAAATTTAATACTATCATTGTGCTTTATTACGAAGAATGTTTTAATTATATCTGACAATGCTTAGTTCCAGACTGACATCTATCAGTGAGAACCCGGTCGGTGAACCGGAGCAGGATGCAAATTCTGCGTTGACAGAACTCGATAAAGGTAAAATATGCCATGGATACCCTCTTTCTACCTCCAGCCTTCTAAAAAAATGTGTACATTAAGCACCTAAGGTGATTCGACAAGCTCAAGTAACCTGGTCGAACTGGCATGCTATATGTCGCATCGATTAGGTCAAAAATCTCGGCAGATTTTGAATGTTTAGCAATGAAAAGGATGATATCCCCTGCGCTTAAGCCTAAAGAATCATTCGAAACCCAAAGTTCAGAGGAATGAAAGCAGAATAGTGTTAGGAAGAAAATCTTGCATTCGATATAGAAATCGATAGTTGAATCGAATGCGAGGTTTTTTTATCCTAATACTATTCTGCTTTCATTTCTCTGAATTTTGTCAATATTTGGGTTTAGAATGATTCTCTAGGCTCATTAGCAGGGGCTTTCATCCTTTTTTTGCTAAAGATTCAAAGTCTGCTGAGATTTTTGACCTACCTATTTGATGCGATATATCGCCTGCCAGTTTGACCACATCACTTGAGCTTGACGAATTACTTCAATTAGCGTCCTCTCCAATAGAATGCAAACATATCTGACTTACCAGATTGGTTACATCTTGCTCTTTTGCGAGCACACGAATTGATCAGGGGCATTTGAGCATTTTATTTAATCACTTGAAAATTGGAACATCGGAACACGGTCAGAAAGAGCGGAATTTTAAAATGTAATGTGGCAGTATTTATATGAAATCTCTATCATAGTCTGCGTAGTCTGTGATCACAAGTTGAGGATCTCGTGCGAGAATGAGGAAATTATCATCCAAAGCAGTGCCCAGATAATTTTTAGAAAGATTCCGCTTATTTAAAGACCTTTGAGAAGAGTCGATGTGTGGACAAATCTCTCAGCATATGTACTGATCACTGCAAAGTAGAGAAAATTTTTCAGAAGTAAAGAGGATGAAAGCCATAATTTTCTGGAATAAAAATGTAGGAAAATGTAGCATGTGGAAAACATTTTCGAGAGGGTGAGTGAGAAGGAAACCTGTAAATCATATGAAATCTTCCTCGACTATTCATTCCTCTTTCTAGGTTTGCCACTCAGAACTAATTTTTTGTCAAGGACTTGAAAATTTTGCTTATGAACTTCTAGTTCACACATGCAAACTTGCTTCTCTTTACGTTTATCGAGTTTGGGTTCTTGAAAGAATTTTCAATTATGGATTGTATTTTAGTTACGCTTATTTCTGTTTCTAGGTTTACGATCTCAAAAAATTGGAGAACAGTGCGAAGCCATCGTAAGATTTCCGAAGCTGTTTGAAAAATATCCATTCCCCATCCTAATCAATTCTTCATTTTTAAAATTAGCGGATGTTTTTAGGGTCGGGTAAGTTAACTCACTCCTAAAAAAACTTGCACTCTTTAACAAGCTCGTATGATTTAGAGAAGTAAATCCACAACTGCTGATTAATTATGTCCTCTTATTCAAGCTTTTGTATTTTCAACTTCGTATTTGTGTATCATTAATTATTTTGAATAAAAATAACTATCTAATCATCCGTCTAAGCTTGAACAAATCAATGTTTTGGAATCTCCTTCAAATAATTTACAACAAAAAAATAGCAAAAACTTGCTGAACCCTGCTTATTCTGTTCAATAATATAGGATGTGGATAAGAATATGCGGATTTAAAAGTAGATTACCTCCAACAATCCAACTGTAACTTCATCACATTTTGAATTAAAATTTTATTTCACAAATAGACAACAGGTAGGTTGCAGGGGTGGAAAATGTTGAAAATATTATACTTTGTAGCATCAGATAGAGGTTTCAGAGATACTAGCAGAAGCCACTCTAAATTTCAGTTCATTTAGTTTTCTTTACGCTTGTGGAGGAAACACGCAAAAGCTTGAAATTAAAATTTTTTGAATGTAAAGAGTGCAATATCTGGATAAATGATATTTTAATTTTGATATTACTCTTATTCATGTTCTCTCATTTTCCAGTAATAATTTTCTTCGCATTTGGGTGCTTCGTGTTTGTCAACAAAGTGAAAAGCATCTGGATAAAATCTTGAATGTTGATGAATTTGTCCGCCGAATCTACAGTGTCATCCACTCCAATGATCCGGTAGGTTTTGTTAGATGATTAAATTGTTCATGTAAATGTTGAGTATTGCCCCTTTAACATTGAATCAATTCGTAAAATGTTAGGCTATATTTTATCAGGAAACAGGGTGTCTAGTTCAAATCTGGAAAAACCAGGAGTCAACAGGATTTATCGGAGAGAGAAAATTCCTCTTGAAACCCAGATAATTCATTGATAAACTGGGTTCAAAACTAGGAAATCCTCCTCTCCGTAACTTTGGTAAGATGCATTGCTTCAGCATCATTCCATTTTGTCTAGTGGTCAATGGACGACATCTGTCATTTTTCTGTGTCTACATTTACTTTAAAGAAAACGGCCAACTTTAGTTTTTATTTTTTGTTCCTGGCAGAGTAGTCTAACATTCCTCAGCAGATTCTACAGAAGATTCTTAGAAAATTCCAAAATTTCATGGAAGAATATGCCCCTGGCAATTGGGGAAATATTACTGAATTGAAATAACAGAGTAACTCTAAACTCTGTACCAAAAAACTGTCTCCCTCTGATCGGCAATTTATTATACATTTATTTTTGCAATATACCAATAAAAATTGACTTCTTTTCTAGGTTGCCAGAGCATTTACCTTAAGAACATTGGGAAGTGTCGCCGCTATCATTCCAGAAAGAGAACAAGTTCACCATAGCATTCGTAGTAGTCTAGACTCTCATGACTCAGTCGAAATTGAAGCTGCTATCTATGCTGCTATGCAGTTTGCAGCACAGTCAAAGTGAGTAACTATTCTTATCTATGACAGTCTTGTTTTACAGTTCGTTCAGTTCTCTCAGCTCTTGATTCTTGAATGGTTTTGTTTGCTAGATTATTTAATGTACCTAATTATATTCATTTGATTACTTTTTTAGGCTTTTTGCTGTGAGTATGTGCAACAAAATTTGGGATATGATTCAAGGCCTCAACACGCCAGCCAGTATGAAACTCAAGTTGATTCCGATTCTCCAACACATGCACCATGATACAGCAACAGCAGCAATGGTATTGAAATTTCCCCGATCAGTAGATACCCGTTGAAGGTTCTTTTTTGTGTGTCTGTAAGAAAGAAAAAAAAGGAAGAACAGCATGTTTTGTCTCTCCCAATGAAAAAACAACCTGAGAATGGAACAGAACGTCACAAAACAGCTAATCAATTTTTTTTAAATTTTACAATCTGTTACTTCTGCCAACATTTTTACCAACTAGTAGCTGTTAAGTCTATCAGTTGAGACGTGTCTAAAAATTAAATGAGCAATGAATGCCATTTTTATCTTTTCCTTCTCTGTCCTGAACATTTTTTTCTCATTTCATTCTGAAAAAATTCTTCATTGCATCCATGCCGTGTTCTGAACTGTCTACTTATCTAATCTATTGATTTTTCTCCACATCAAAGCAAAAAATTGACGTTTGATTTTCTCTGTTGTAAAATCTGCTTTTCTGATGTTTGATAGGTCCGATCGGTTTGCACAGACTTACTCCCGAAGTACCCGGCCCAAGATTTTGTGATTGTAACACTGAAAACACTAACACAGTTGGCAACTGCTACTCTTGTTGATATTGCTCCTCAGGTACAACGACATAAATTTTAAAAAAAAATTTAATTTTAATTCTTAATTGCATTTTCAAAAAATATCCTACTCAAAGATTCTCAAGCCAAAACAAGAAGACAAAAAGGACAAGAAGGCTACTCAAAGAAAGGTCAGAGTTTTTGCTGAATGTGTAGTTTGTCACGGTTTGTTTAATGGGCATGTAAATAAGACCGTTACCATCTAAACAATGTTGCTTCTCCCTAAATAACGGTCTCCATACCCAGATCCCTGTGGACGTCCCTATTTCTCTCAAACCATCGAGCAGAGACAATTGAGGACACTGCACCAAGAACAGCCTATAACTGGAAACCGCGTTTTGAGAAAAACGTATTTAAAGTTTTGTTTTTAATGTATTGCGCAGTCTTTGCGCAGACAGGTACCCTGTTTTGGTGTTTTTGGGTGACCTAACCCTTCTATTGAAGGATGCTGGGTAGATTTTGCGATACATTTTGGGTTTACACTCTAGTATATTTAATTCAAAGGAACGGTTTATAGGCCATTATTACGCCCAACAGTCATTTTGGTGGCAATATGAAGTATAAATCATTTTAATCACGCATGATTAACGGAAAATGAAAGAATATCGATAGTGAGTAAAGAAAGGGGTAACTAGCACCTTAGGCCCTTAAGTTTATAGGCCCGTTTATAGGTCGTTCTTGCACCCATCGATCCAGAGGCCTGACTCAACTCGAAAAAAACAGGTTTTTCGACCTCGAGCCGTTACCTATCTATATTCTATCGCTACCACAGCATAGTCCAGGGTAAGTAGAATCCGAAAAGCAGATGGGCGTAATAACGACCTATACGCCTAAAGGCTGTTCTTGGTGCGGTGTCCTCAATTGTTCTAAGAATTTTATTCTGCATCTTTTCAGAGACAGTTGTTCTAAGAATTTTTATTCTGCATCATAGTAGAGACAACTGTTCTAAGAATTTTATTCTGCATCTTATCAGAGACAGTTGCTCTAAGAATTTTATTCTGCACTTTAACTCCTATTATACCTCCATGAAAAAATTAAATATCATAGCCTCTCTGTATCCAATAAGTTCAATACTCTCTTGTACTTTTTTTGTTTGTAATAACTTTAATTCTTGGGATATTTTAGGTGAAACTATTACTCAGTTACCTCCACGATCCACGCTCAAGTGTACGTTATTCAGCATTGAGTTGCTTGCATGTCCTAGCCAAGAAAGGTGCTCACTACTGGCCAGAAGAAGCAGTATTGATGTTAATTGAAGCAACACGTGAAATCCAAAACAAGAAGCTAACATCGTATGTCCTAGATGTTTTGATTGTTTTGTCGCAGTCATCTGCAATATGCCATGCCCATCATCATCAAGGTGACCAATTTCTCACTCTGTCTCTCTCTTTCTCCTAGAATATTCACTTCCTTTTATTACTACTTGTGGAAACATTCTCCTGCAGTTTTACTGGTCATAACTGCGAGTCCTTCAACAGCCATGGTTTGGCAGTGTTTTACTGATGTTAATGTTAAGTGACCATTGCTGACGCACCAATGTTGATGTTTTTTCTTTTATGCAAGCAGTCATGATAAAAATTAATCGGTTTCAGACTCCACCTTGATGCAGCTTTGCCATGAAGTCTGTTACTACCAAGAAACAACCATAACTGCAAAAGCTGTGAAAATCATCAGTCAAATTTATTGTTATTGGTAAGTACAATTCCAACACATATGGTATTTATGTTGGTTGGTTGGTAAGTTCAAAGCAATACCACCAATTTTTACCATGAACGTCTCACGTTTTCCCCAACTTGATCTCATTAACAAATGAGAAATACACTTTTTCTCTATAATTTTTCACACATCATCGATATACCAAAGTGGAAGAAGCCATAATATGTACCAATGCAGTCAAAGATGTTATCTTTTTTTTTTTTTTTTTTTTTTTTTTTTTTAACATGAAACATTTCTTTTTTACATTTTCAAGGTAAAACTTCATTTCTTAGAAATACTCCATTTTTTTGTATCATTAAATACTGGCTAAAACGACTCTATGACCCGATTTCACCCAAGGTTCCGTTTTATAATTTAGCCCTTGTGAACTTGATATTCTATTTCACATTAAATTTGTTTGAAACATTTTGCTTTTCAGTTACGAGCAAGGTTTACCTGTTGGTGAGGAAGACATTGATCATGTGGAGTCGTTATTATTGCTTACCTGTTGCGATCCAACCAGTGAGAAGGGCCTAGTATCATGCTTGGAAAGTGTTGTCCTCCTTTGCCGCAAAGTTCCTCACACTAGAATCAAGTTTGCTGAGTTAATTTTGTCGCAAATAGTTCATGAAGAAGGTAATATTATCAATCAATCCTAGTTTAAAGTCATATTATATGCTTAAAAATTAAGTAAACACAGTAAGAAAATGGTCCCATTTAACAAATAAATTGCTTTTCTGGTCAATCTAATGATTCAAGAGGAAATTTGCGGGTGAATTTAATGATGTTTGTTCCATCTTTCCTCTAAAGAATTTTTGACTGGTAAGCCAAACTCACAAGAGCTAATATAAATTTTGAAAAAAGTTAGAACAAACAACAACTTGTGATGCCTCAATTTTTAAGCGGCACATAGTTATTTTCAAGTGTCTCTCTTATGAAGTATCAGTCGTTCAAGGTGTTATTTGCAGGGCTCAGATCAATGCAAGGAATTTTTCCTTTTTTGCATATTATTCCATTTTGGTCAGTTTACCATTTTAATATTCTATTATTTTTTTCTTCCAATCATAACTCATTAGGCAACTTGAATCCCCATCTATGTAAGGCCCTTGTTTCCATCGGTGGTCTCCAGTCTGGTATTTTGTGCAACTTTTTGACGGATATACTAAATCTCCTTCGAAAGCCTAACTTGCAGCCACACATCAAAGTAAGTTTTCTTCCTGTCTTTACTCATCATACAGCATTTAAAAACTAAAAAATTATTCTAAACTTTTTAGCTTCTCAAAAGGTCAGTAATTGAATTCAAATTAGAAACACTTTTTTGCAAAATTCTGACGCAGTACTTTGAACATCAAACATTTTTGCTTGAGCTGCTTTAATAAATAGCTTACTTCTTTATTGAAGCATTTACACAGTGCACAGCCATCTATCGGCAATCGATTTGTTCGTAAAGACCTTTAAACTATCTGCTCTAGTCTCAGTTATTGCGTCAACCGTAAAAATAAAACCAGTATCCAACAATCTCTAGGCCTAATCTTGAAAAGTGGACACTGTGCCGCTTATTTCTGAGAAAACTTAACCATTTTTTTTAAAATCCAACTTTTCTGCAGATCATTAGAGAAATTTGAATTTACTGTCAGTATCATGCTTATTTTGTAATTCCTTTCCACCTTTGTTTCCAGACAATGTTATGCACTCTAATATTTCAAACCAAAGCAGGGCAGCCGATTGAGGAGGGTATCGAATTTGAGACGGTTGCTTGGGAAGCCTACAGAGTTGCTAGATCTGCAGCAAAGTGAGTTCATGAAGTACCATTTATCTTTTATTTTTCTAATTCCTCTTTAGTCGCACAATTAAGCATTCCATAGGCATCTATAACTAACAGGATTTATTTAATTTGAAACGATTATTGTTTATCTTTATCCTCATAAGCTCCAATGTTATCGCTAATAATTATATGTCATTGGTCAGACTAGAGATACAGATAATGCCGGATTGCAAGTCATGTTCAGAAAGAAAGAAAATTTGGAAAAAAGCCTTCCAAAATGTTGAACTTCTGTTTGGTTTTTCAGATGTTTTCTCCACTTTCTCTCAGGAGTTATCTGAAGTTCTGGATCATCTGTTGTAACTTTTTGGTCAGGGAAGTTCAGAAGCTTTCGTCTGGGTTCTGGAATGATCGAATTCAAACAAATTCTTAACTCTTGCTTTAGACTAGCAAACACTAAAATCAAAGAAAGATCGGAAACTTTCTTCTCATTTATTCTTTGTAGGAAGTTTCACACGAGAGGATGCATGTCCAAAGAAGATTTTTCTTTAAGAATACGATAAATCAAAAGAGAATAATAATTCTGCCTATCATATTATACATGTGTCTGAACTAAATTTGTCAAAAAATATCTGGAAGCTCATTTTACTCTTTGGCATGATATTTTCTATTGGTTTTTAAGTTCACGTTGAAAGTGGTGTTTTTTCTAGGTATGGTCATTTTGATGTCAGTGCAAAAATTTTCAAAGCACAACGAGACATCATTTCTTCAGAACACGTGCACTTTTGGCTAGCCAGCTTGGAACAATTGAGCCTTGGGGAGGCTGTTTTGAAAGCAGATTCTGAAAACATTAAAACTCTCGACAGATTTGGAGCTGCTGTCGCTCATTATTGCAAAGCAATGGCAGCGTTTAAGGTCAGTTTAATTCTCTAGAGATTAAAACACGAAAGTTCTTACCAGTGTTCCAACTTCACTGGGCGCAATGTATAAAAAGCGTCTAAAATGAGGATCTCCGGCCATACAGGGCACCCAGGGGAATGATGATTATTCCACCCATTTTTAAATGGATAGAATACTCATTTTCACTGCATCCTTGTCTCTTGAAAATATTTTTGACTTCCAAGAATTTGTAGATTGTTTTTGAACCCAAGCCTTGTGGACAAATGGCTGCAGAAATTTTACAGTGAGATTAGAACAATAGTTTTCAGGCTTCCCTTACAAAATTGCTAAATTCATCCTTTTTTTATCGGCGTCGTCAAAATAGAGATAAAACCAGGTCATCGATTGCATCCTTACCAAAGTAAGCGAGCTACTGTTACTAAAGATGGTGTTGCTTGACTCATCCTTACCAGTTGACCATCTCTTGAAAGGAGTTGAGCACATAATTTGTTTCTTTACTTTTTAACCCTTAATCGGGGACAGCATTTCGACATCTTGAATTGTGAACATAAGGATGAATTGCTTGTGCTGTTCTTCAAAATTTAACAATTTTTTTTTTTTTTTTTGTGTGTGTACTTGTAAACAATATTAACATCAAGCGTATCGTGTTTTTGCCTCTATTAATTTCCTTGCATCGTTCGTAATCCTTATCAATATCTTTTCGTATAATGTTCCTTGATTTTGCAGGCTGCAAGCACCCCAGCTCAAACATTGACCTTCCAGTCAGAATATGTTGCTCTCCGTTGTGAAATGTTGCAAAACTTGTCTCAATTATACGCCACCTGCAATACCATTCAGACTGTTCCTCCACCTGCAATTGCACAGACTTTGATCCAAAATAACCGCGAGGATCTTCTCAGATTTGGACATATCGTGAACCAGGTAAATAGTTGTATTTACTTTGTTACATCTCAAAGTGATTACTTACAATTGAAAAATAATTTGATCTTGTATTTAAAGCCATAAAATTCGCAAGAAAAATGTCAATATATTTCTGATTACTACCTGAATGATTTTACTATGGGTAGCAAAAGAAGTTACAACCAAAGTAAAAAATTAGAATTAATAATTCCAGAAATTATTTGCTAAGATGAGGAAAAGAGTTGTCTTTTTGATTGGTAGAAAATATGTAGTTTTGTAATGTATTGAAGTGTTCTTTTTAAAAATTGATACTTACACAAAAATAGGCATAAAGAAGTTAGAATGAAATAATAAAAGGAAAAGAAAGTAAGTAAAGGTGAAATTTGAAAGAAACTACCAAGAACAAAAACCAAGTTCAGACTTACATCCAATGCAAAAATTATTGATTCATTTTTATGTCTCAAATACTCAATTAGAGAGTGCCTGGTCATGAAATCCTCACTCCTTTGAGGGGAAAAAAAATTAAATAGTGATGAATCCTGCTCGGAGAAAAATCATGGAATTTTGCTATTTTAACTTATTTTTTTTTCTAATATCCATTTTTTACTATAATGTCAAACACATAATCATGAAGTTCTATGTTGTAATTTTTTTCTTTTAAAATTTCAGCTGAGGAAACGAGCAAAGGAACTACGATCATGTGGTGAAAATTACTGGAAGCTCTATCAGACTGCCTTTGATGCTGATCCAATTTCTTTACTAAATATTCAATTGTATCCTTTTCACACAGAGTGTTCTAGGCCGTTCTCAACAGCATTTATTTGTCAAAACTGACAAGTGACTGTGATGTATGAAACTAACATCGGTCAACACAGGTTGATTTATTAAAAAGTTAATAATAAATTGAGCTTAACGGTGATTGCAAAAATGACCATTGTTTTTCTGGACCAGTTAGGTTTTATCCATAAAAATCTAATTTTTTTCGAAAGTTAAGATTTTTTAGAAAATCTGTACTTGATAAAGAGAAACAAAGGTCATTATCATGATCGGCAGTCAAGAATCAATTGGAATTCCCAAACTTCTTTGGGAATTTGATTCTCATCTACCCATGGTTTTTTTTCTTCTTCTTTCTTTCTTTTTTTAAAATCAAATTCTACTGAAATTTGTATTTAAAATAAGATTTATTCATCCGCAAGCTTTTTCAAAAAGTTGTGACAATTTCATGTGTTGGTAAGATACCTGGCAAAAAATTGAATGTTCCAGAAGAGTCCAGTAAGTTTTCTGCTTCTAGCTCCTTTTTTCGAGTTGATTGGATATTCTTTTTACAATAGCAAGCATTCATCCGCAAGCTTTTTCAAAAAGTTGTGACAATTTCATGTGTTGGTAAGATACCTGGCAAAAAATTGAATGTTCCAAAAGAGTCCAGTAAGTTTTCTGCTTCTAGCTCCTTTTTTCGAGTTGATTGGATATTCTTTTTACAATAGCTAATGCATGTGCCATCCCTTTGTCCCTCCTTTGTTTCTGAAAAGGAGAGTTGTATACATGGGTTCACTTTTGTCCACACCATTCATAAGAAATGGAAGACATTGTGCAGGGAATTTCTTCTGAGCATCGTTAAGCGGACCATTCTGGGACGTCCAATTCTTTACCTGGAGCTGAATGGGAGTTCTAACATTATGTATTCACGATTTATCAGCATGCTTTTTATCCCTAAGTATCTATGCTCTAATTTTTTCTCTACCGTATGTATGTGTACGATTTGATTTTTTAAATCATTGTTCAAGATATTTTTCCTTATCAAAAATTTTACAGATGTCAGCATTTTTGTGTGCTTCTAGCTCATAATGTGGAAGCTGCTGTCTTACCCAATCAGCAAAGTGATGATCCAGTTTTAGATCCTTCGTAAGTTCTCTTCTTTCGTCGTCGGCGATTTTTCTGTAGATCCCTTCTTCAGGATGGATAGCTTATTTTTAATCACTTGAAGGGTCTAACGGATGAAGGATTCAAGTGTTAATTTGAAGAAATTGACATATTAGTCATTTTTTTGGGTGAAAAGTTTGATCACAGGAATTTACTTTTTCATCAAATTATTCAAGTTTGAAGCTCAATTAAGTCTCAAATTTTCAAGTAATTTTTTCAATACGGAGGTTTTTTTAAAATGATAAACTTCGATATCCTCCTTATTTTTCGCATATTTGTCCTTTTGTAAAAAAAAGGACCTTAGTTCAGAGGAACTTAATATTTTACTGATACTCAAGTGTGGTGGCACTGATATTAAAGCATGCATGAGATGACAAATGCCGATAAGTTTCAAATTAAATTGAATTAATAGCCTTTTGAAATTTGCAGTTCCTGAAATACAGTTTAGATAAACAGCTGTTTAAAATTCAAATCTTTATCTCTTAGGGCATAAAAGTGTCGGCTAATAATGGAAACTTATGTTTGGCAACATATTATTGGCACTAAAATGAACTTAATCGTTCACCAATCGTTATCCTTCACGATAAAAGAGGTGTTTTTCCATCATAATCTCATAATCCAATTTCTTTACGCAGTTTGTCCAAAGCTGCTCCGCTGAAAATTTTACCTCTGCAGGCCAATGTCCCTTTTTCGATAGATGTTTGCATTTGCTGGAACATATTCATGTGTTTACATATTGTTTTTACGATCTGGCTCTGTTTCACTGTGTATGACAATTTTTTCAATTTGTTTTAGGTTACTGAAAGAAAAAAATAATAATTTAGGAGTTCAAATGATGGCCCAGGCCTGCCATCAAATTTCTAGTATTGCCAAAAGTGTTCCTACCAAACCATTAACTTTTGAAGTAAGTTTTTCTTCCCCCTCTCAACTCTCTAAAATGTTGCTTTGAGCAACTAGTTATTTGTTTTTATTCTGGAGTTACATCACAAGTATAATTTTAATTCATTCAGTGCTAAATGGACATGACATGATTAATCATTATTTTTTGTCAATCAACTTATACTTCTATTCCAAGACGACCCGAAGTTATCACCGCAACGACAAGGTGGATCAACAAGCTTTTTTTGCTCCGAAGATTTGAAAAATTTTGATTGAAATTTTATGCTGATCAATCTCAAGACCTGTGCAGAGTTATTGCATAAATATTACCAATTCAATTTGCTCTCAAATCGTAATTTTTTTCAAATGGTACATGTATTTAACCATGATTTAAGCGTATCTTGGGTTTGAAAGATTCTCTAATTCCTAATAATTTGTGTGCCAATGGAAGACATTTTTCATTTACGTTTTTTTCTGATTTTCAGTATATCTTGTGCCTGCAGAGACAAGTAGAACATTTGATTAGCTCACCCTTCTGCTACCCAAGGTTTTTCTTCCAAGTCCTGCAGTCAACGAGTGTGAAAGTAAGTCCCTTAATTTAACATGCTACAATTGTATACTGTACACTTTAATTTTAACTGTTGATACACGAAGTAGGGGATCTAGAAACTATGAGGAAATTTGACCGAAGACAGTGGTGGACTCCTGTCTAATAATGAGCTGTCTAAAAATTTGGCAATAATTTTAAATCTGTTATAAAGAGTCTCTATTTACCTCCTCTCTCAAAAATGTTCTACATTTTAATGAGTAAATTATGACAGTATTTTACATGCGTTGTCTTATCGATTGCTCCTTTTGAAAAATTGAAACATCTACCAAATTTTTGGACGTCGGATGGAGATTGCAGCTTTTAATCTGCACCACTTCAATTCTTGTAAAATGTGTTACCAAACGATTCTGGTAGGTCTGAAGGCACTTCTCATATAAGGAAAAGCTATGGTTGATGGAAATTTCTTAAAAAGTTACTCCAGTCAAGTTTCTACTTACCAGGTATACTATCCAATTTGACTGATATGATGATTAACGTGAAAAATCTCCAAAAACTCTGACGATGCATGCATGTCTATTAACTCTATGCTTTGATGATCTCTAGAATTCTTCAGAATTGGTTGCTTTGCGACGTTATCCTGTCATCATGTCAGGCAGTGTCAGTGCAAGGTACACTCTACTACAGGTATGGACAAACGGGGTGCCGAAGTGGCAGCGCTGAGAAAATCGGCGATCGAGTGACGTATGAAGTCGTACCGTCCATTTGCCGCGCAGGTCTTCGCAGTCGTACTCTCGATGCTGTCAAATCTACGCGTTTTGACGACTTTCTAAAATTCCATTTGTCCATACCTGTAGTAGAGTGTACCTTGGTGTCAGTGGTTTCAGCCTGTCATTTTTGTGTTGGTATATCTATGCCTGTTTTAACATTTTCAATTTTTTCCCCAGTTGGCAGTTTCACCTCAGCCTCGAGTAAGTGGAGAGTGGTTAACAGTCGTGAACGGATCACAACTGACGATAAAAGTAGAAGGTGTCATTCAACACGGACGCATTCCAAGCTTATTTAGGTCTATTCAAAATATTAGTATCACCGTTACATCACAGTTGACATCGAGAAATCCATCTGCTGCAGACTCCAAGGTTAGTGTTTATTTCACTCCTGCCGTTTTCTATTGCTGAATTGGTACGCCTATTCCTATAGGGGCTTCAGCTACTGAGATCAAATTTTTTAGGAGAGGTGCTTTTGTGAAGTTGGATTGGGAAAACTAGCGTTAAGCGTTTTTGACGGTTAAGACTCTTTTGTATTCTATAGATTACGTTGCCAGTGATTTGGTACATTTTCGTGCCAGTACAGGACCTAAAAATGACCAATCCGCAGAGAGCTGTCATTTCTTTGGGCAAGTTTGAGAGCCTGTATAGCAATGGTGAGGAGGTTAAAATACTATGCATTCCTTTTAGGATCATTTTGGGTTGAGACAATTCTACATTGCACAGGCCCTGGTCAGGCAGGAGAGTGGATCTCCAAAGATGCTCAGTGAATGACCTGAGTTGATAAGTCTTGACCTGAAGGTACATTCCCAAAAATGTTGAGCCTTGTGTGCAGTTCAAAATTTGTTATGAATTTTTCTAAGAGCCACATTTTTTAGTATGCCAATGTTTAAATACCCTAACTTTGTGTGATTTGACATTTTCGATCATTTATTTTTTTTTTTTTTTTTTGTCCAGATGTACTTACACGAGACTTTCCTCTCATCTAGTTACAATATCTCAATTTTAATTTTCTCTGCACCCTAGGCCTTTTCTTGAGAAAGATATTTTTCATTAATTTCAATTTCATTTTTTGCCATTAATTTGGTCATCGTAGCATTAGAACATGAAACGCAAAGCCGCAATTTCTGTTGGAAATTAAATGTATTGCATGCTCTTCATGTGCTTCAAAGCATGATCTAACATTTGAATAATAGGGCATCCATGAAGGTGAAACTAATATGTATATTTTAGCCTGTTAGGTAAAACAATACTAGAAATGTTGATGAGCTAAAAAACAAACTCAACCCTGCTTTCTCTTTATTTTCTGACTGTCTTAACATAGAACACTTTATTTTCATTCCAGGTTCATGACACAGGCTCAACCCTAAACCAAATTCTGACGCCCCATCACGATTTCTTCACTGGTGAATTTCTTCTTGGGTTCCCATGTGGAGGCCAGTTCACTGTCACTGCTGAGGCAGCAGTCATTGACCAGCTGGGTGGACTATGGCACACGGGACCTAAATCAACCTTCAATGTTAAAGTTCATGAAGACAACGTTCCATCCAGACCCAGGACGGCATTATAGTTAGGACGTTCCAGGTCTAAGCATAGATAGACAATGCTGATTCTTGTGATCGTTCCTGTTTCTTCTTTTATCCGTTGAGAGTGTTCATCTTTTAATTAAGTTGTGGTTTTTGGTGCCTGAATATCCTAGAATTATGCTTATGATGATCAGATGAAACTTTTGCCTTGTGGTTGCTTCACTATATCAATTTATCATGTACACTAATGGCTAAGTCGAAAAATGGGGAGCTAAAATTGCATTGTTACAAATCTTTGTTGATGTTGTATTTTTCTAAAGGTGAATTAATCTACCGTTTCCATTGAAAATTTCTATGAATTTTTCTCATTTATCCATAAAATAACTACTCAAAATTGCAGGGAACTATTCTTAGTTTTCCTTAAAGAAAATTGCACATAATAGAAAATTTTTATTGACACTATCTTAATAAGGTATTTTTCGACTTAATCCACTTTCTATCCTCCAGGCGGAACAATTATCAGTTTGTCTATACTTAACATTTCATGAAGATGTTAGTAATTTTGTAAATTTTGTACATTTGTTTTGTAAATATTAGGTTGTTTATTGTGAAGAGTGTTTGTAAAAACAAAAATAAAAATTTAAATGCAGTTGTTAGTTGCAATTATTTTAGAGTTTTAACTTATTTAAAACAAATTTTGAAAAATATTAATGTTTTTGATTCTGAGTTTTACTGAAGACAAGAGGTTTTTTTAATTCCTTTAACGGGGAAGGGGAGAGGGTCGAATTCAGTATTACATTATGCAAACATCATGAGAGGCTGCTTTATCTGAGATTCTTTCACAGTTTCGGTAAAATTATCGAGAGTAAAAATTTAATTAAAAACGTAGAAATTGGAGGAAGCAATTCCAGCCGGAATATGTTTGTAAAACTATGAAAACAAGAAATCGAATGCTACATAAAATAACAATCCATCTGCTATAACTTCCAGCAGTTAAAGATAGGGTTCTGTTTTGATGATATTCAAAATTAGATGCAAAAATATATGGGCAGTTTTTTCTTTAGCATTCACCAGAGATAAATAAATGGTTCAGAAAAGCTATTCCTTTTCTCACTATCCCTGACTATGGGAACCCTATAGCTTCATTCCTTAAAATTCTTGTTTCAGTTTCGTTTTAAAGTCCAAGAGAAGGGGAAAAATCAATAAAAAAAAAAAAGAGGGGGGCGGGGGATTGTCAGCATTCTTATTTATATGCATCATGTAAAACGATTGAGAGGGGACATTACCCCTGATTTCGGAATGAAAAGAAAAACAAACAAGAGCTACAAATAAGAAACATTTTAATATTCGTCAGTAACAGAAATAAAAAATTACACAGCGCCTTTAGCGAGTTGTTCAAGGAAGTTCTCTTTCTCTTTGACAACACGTTCCTTACGTTGTTCCAAGGACAGTTTGGCAGCGTTCCACCTCTTCTTCTTGACGTCCTTCTTCTCTTTCGGTTTCTGAGACGGATCAGCGCGAATCAGCTCATGGGCCTTCTTGTAGATGGTTTCAATCTGAAACAGAACGTAAATCAATAAAATGTCATATCCTGCTCAAAGAATAGATGCAAATTTTCAGTTCTGAATTCCTCCGTAAAGATGATTTCATTACATATGCATGAGCATTTTTGCATTGCTCCTAATTCAGCAGGAGGCATTTGCAAATTTGAAACATGGATTGATCTTGCAGAAGGGTCATAATTGAATTACACTAATTTAAAAACAAATTTTAGGGGCAGCATCGATTTCGAAAATGAGGCCATCATAGATAAGTCTTATAAATTCATCTTTTCTTGTTGGTGGAGATGAAAATCAGGTAAAAAACTGAGGTGTCTTGGACTGTCGTAAGACTGCAGAGAACTCTGTACACCTTGTCCCTCCTGTGACGTAAGGGCGTATTTTGACTTCTACGCGAGCCCTGTTTTACATATAAATTTATGCTTGTTGGGTCTCACGCCCAAATCGAGATACAACCTTACGCCAGAGGAGCGACAACCTGTGAGAGCTCAATGGCTTCCAGTACATTTTGATGTAACTTAAATTGGTTGACAGGGAGTTCATCAAAAACCCAAGGTCAAAAAATATGACAACTTCACAATGGAGGAGCTGAGATGCACATGATTGAAAACCAGACTTTTTACTATGAAACAAAGGTGATCAAAGCACTACGTGCTGCTTTTCCTTGCCTCTGAAGTACACTTTCGATTGCACTCTGTGATCTAAGATGCACAATTCTATCAATGTAAGTATGAGATGGACATGTCTTAAACCAGAATATAAAAGTACTATGAGAATAATCAGATTAATTTAAATCTGTAATCAGTACGAAAACAAAAAGAAGGGAGGAAAGTCGTGTCAAAGAAAAAAAGACGAACTTCAGCAAAACCAAATCATCAGGAAGTGATCAGAAGGCCCAATACACCGGATAATTTTTGGTCATGTCATCATTCAGTCGTCTATTTAGGGCTGAACTACTAGCCTAAATTATCAGAAGTCTGAAAAGACCACATATGGATGAGAAGGTAGTTAAAGTTCAGTGAAAAATAAAAGCCTCACCTGTTCGCTGGAAATATTATTTTTGATGTACTGAGAGAATTGCTTCTGGTAGGCATCCTCATCTTCTTCTTGGAGCTGTTTCATGTATTCAGCAACGTGAAGACCAAAGATATGCTTCCTATGAACGTCAGCGTTGAACTCCTTCGCTTCAGCGTCATAACCAGGGAATCTCTTGGACCTGTACAAAGATGACAATAAGTTATTACTTGGTCTAAGAATTTCATTTAATTATTCTATGGGCCTACTAAGACGCTTAAAACATGAAGCACAGGAAAAATAAGTCACAACTACAACTCAATCAGTGTAATAAACAGTGTATCTCGTGCCAGTTAGTCAACAATTTAGGATTACACTGGTCACAGAAAATGCGCTCGAGTGAAACCCCAACTTGGTAAGAAACCACTGTTGAAATCAGAAATGTGCCTTATGCAAATTTTACAGTTTGTTTAAGTACACCAGTAGCAACAAAATATTGATACATCAGTGAGAGAGATGGGGCAATCTAACCTACCAAGTCCCCAGTAACCATAGATTGAATAAGATCTTCTGAAAGAAAATGAAGGAATAATTTTATTCCCTTCAATTTCTCATATGTCTTTTGATGAATCAACATTAGGAGGAATGTTACGGTGAGTAAATTTTACTGTTGATTTATTCTTCCATTCGACCATTAACCCACTTCCAGAGTTTAAATATCACCCAAAAATTTCAGGAGCCATTTGGTCAATAGGTCTAAGACAGGTGTAACTCGTAAGAGCAATCCATAATTTTTTTAGAGCTAGATTAATAATTTTGTAGTGTGTGGTTTCCTAAGGACCATGAACACAACAGCAACAGGGATAGTGCCAATTTCATAAGTGCCAAAACCTGATTTTTAAGTGTATTTCAAACTCAGAGAAATTGGAAAGGATTCTCAAAGCATGAATAGAACTCAATTCAAGTATTCATAATTCGTTACCTGTAAGGGATGTTGAGTCCACCGTCAATAGCACCTTTCATGGCGCCGAATACTCGGGCTCCAGTAGATGTACGGACGAGACCGATGTCCAAGTAACACCTGAAAGGTCGAGGACCTTTTTCTGCAGCTTCAATGATGTATTCATCTCCGTTGACTTCCTTGCAACCTTCGTAAAGGGTGTCTAGTTGCAACTTTTGTAAAAGCTGGACAAAATAACACATACCCATTAGTAACCAGAAAATTTCTATTCATCAAGTGAGTTGCGCAGTCAAAAAATTGAATAAAAATAAATAATGAACATGTTCGAGCTTAAGAATCTTTCTATTAAATTAAAACCTTTACAATACTAATTTAAGTTTTGCCTTGCATATCCCATAAACCAGGTCAGAAACAAGAATGGTGCCTCAGCAAGGATTTCAAGCCCTCCCTTTGACTTAAGGACGGACCATGCTTCCTATCTGTCATATATACTCAGGTTGTATTTTATTACAGATGTCGTCAGCTAAGTTGGGACTTGTTTACATTTTGTTTGCAAGCAACACTGATGCAATTGTCCAATAGCGATTGGGGACCGACCTTGGCCCGATCATGAGCATAGGTAGTCAATTTTCGTTCTCTATTAGACAGATGTATCGCTATTGCTTGCAAATGGAATGTTAACAAGTGTCAACTTGGATAAAGACACTTCTATCCTTAATGACAGACAGCAAGTCTAAAAGTAAAATTCCATCTACATGAAGACACATGTGGTTACCTCATTTGAGTTAATGAAGGTTTCATGAAACTATTTCTAGCATTTCTGATTCATTTATTTTCTTTCTATCAAATCAATTACAGCTTAATGATACTTGGAAAGGTAGAAATAAAATACTAAAATTATGATACTTTGGAGGAGGTGCAGAATAAAAAGGTCATTACTCGTAAAAATTTTGAATGCATGAAGCATGACTGCATTATTGCAGAAATTTAGTCCAGATCACAGTTATCGAGACACAAGTCTGGGATATTGATTTTTTGTACTTTCAAAAATCATTACCTTTAAGCAAAGGAGCCTTCACCGCAGACAACTTTGGAGAGGAATCATTTCTATATAATTTGGACCTTCTCAAGGAAGAGTCACCAAAATTTCAATCTTTATAAAGTAGAGTCTCCATAATTGAAAAGAACGGAGGAAAAAAGATCCCAAATTTCATAATTTTAAGGATCGATTGGTTCTGTTGATCCTATATCAACTACAACCATGCATGATTTAGAAGATGGGTAAATTGTTCAGAAATACTACTTACTCTTCGTGCTAAGAGAAGGCCAGTGGCGTAGGCAGCGGCATAGTTGGTGAGACCAACTTTAACTCCATAGCGAGGGAGTTCATGACTGTAGGCTGCACATACTACCATGTCTCCTACAATTCTTGAGTACACGATCTGTAAAATCATGAGTTATAAATCATTATTTAATGCATTGCCATGAAAAATTTGGATTTGCTATTCCGTTAGAAAAAGAACAGTAAAAAATAATTTTTCGATAGACTACTATGCAAGATACAAATTTGAGCATTCTGATCTATGTTTCCTCCTTAAAATTTCAGGGAGAATTTCACAGAACAAACATTTCTCACTGGAATCATACTCTGACCAAGATGTTAAAATTTAACTTACTTTGATGGCAGATTTACTGTAGGTTGAAACAAATGTGAATTATACATTAGGATGGCTAAACTGACGAATGATGCAGTACTTAAACAAAATTTAACTTGAATCTCAGCATTAAATGAGTATGCTCTAGGGTAGCATAGTTAGTAACTTTAAAATTAAGTGCTAAGAGGAAGTAAATTGAGAAAATGTATTCATTTGAAACTAGGGGGCTCCGCTCCCTAGACGCTTCGCAGCCCAGCCCATCAACTGTCTTACTCCCCTTCCTTACCCCATCTATGAAGCATCTTGAAAATGATTTTATTGAAATAGAGAGGGTAAAACATGAATGGTAAGAATGTATCTCAAAAGAGAAAATAAGAACACGCACCTGACAGATGACATCTTTGTTAGTGATCCTAACTACAAGCCGGTACTTAGGGGTGTTGTATTTATTTTTCGGTTGGAAGGTCAACTTCTTGCGGTTCCTGTAGTTGGTTTTACCTTCACGGCGTCTCCTGTACTGTACTTGATACCGCTTAAAGTACTGTTTATTTTTGACAACTTTTACGAAACCCTAGAAGAACAAAAAAAAAGAAATTTATCATTTTACCATGGCAAGAATAAAAAGAAGTAAACAGAAGGAAAAAACATAAAATTCCAGATCTGAACTGATATGGAACAGAAAAGGCCTGTTTTAAGTTGAGCCAAAGGCATAAAACTGAATTCTATTGGAGCAAGTAAATAAAATGCATCAATCCAATCAATGAGGCAATATTCAGTTGACCAAGTAAATGAATTGAGATACCTATCTTTACTTGCTGTGATAGAATAGTCTAACATATGCAAGTTGGCAGTGACATCATTTAATAATATCCCCCTTCACTTTTAAATGCATAATAGGGTCTATCGTCCCATGAATTACTAAATGTAGCAACTCATTCAAGATCATAGAGACAGTAGTCAGTTTACTATATCTTTTCATTCGTTTCAGATGTTATTGACCCGCTTCCAGACATAATTGAAATTGGTACTTCAGACCTGGCTAGGGAGGATCATGTTGTTATGGAAATTGGATGCCTTTGAAAAGACACATGCAACTATCACTCAATTTCAGTCTAGGTCAAAGAATAAATAAATACTAGTGTGAGATCTATCATAGAAAATAGGGCAGAAAAAACTGTGGGAAATGAAAAGATCTAAGTACTTATGTACTAGAATATGAGAAGCTGGGAAGTTTTCTACATCCATGGCATTTTGGGAAAAAGCTACTTACAAAGAAACTGGCCAAGCTCTGCAATTACAAGTCTAATAAATTAAACTTGCAACCAAATTTCATATGAAAAAATATGGATGGCAAAATTCAAATAGTGGTGAAAATCAGGAAACAGTGGAGAATAGCAACATCGGCTCACTAATCATAGTGACTATACAGGTTGCTTGAGTAGCAAAAATCATTGGGAGTGTACATGACAAGATGTGACTGAATAGAATAGCTGATTCAATTCTTCTACTGCATTCAGTACCTAATCCTAACAACTGACTCGTGAACTTGTGAAGAAGCCCTCGGCTTGGCTCTGAAAGCCTATTGGTGGGAAATGACACTTCGGGGCGATAACTGAAATTAATGGCTGAATGAATATGGTTGCTGATAGCTGGCCGTTTGGGTTGAAGAACATGTAATAGGGAACAGATTTACGACCGGGAATCAAGTTTCACACATAAAAATTAGCATCAAAGACGGTAAGTAAATGTCAACAATGGCGCAGTGGAGTACCTACTAAGTAAAGCCCAGACTGCCCTTATCAATGCTTAATCAGGAAAGACTGTGCTCCACATACATAATATAAGCCCTTACATCAAAATAGAACGGGAGAAGTTCATAAGTTTGAGTTTTACAGAAATTGAGTGTGTAGAATAACGACAGTAGCCGCATTTCCCGTTTTTTCTAACCTATAACTTGATGGCAGCTGCGCCGCCAGGCCATGGGGACTCGAGATTTATCCATTGAGGAAAAATTAATCCTTTGACTTTGAAAAGTATTGGATAGGGAAATGGGTGAAGATTTACGAAATGAACGTGTTGAAAAAATTTGAAAATACTTACCATGATGAAAAAGAATTACGTGGAACACTTTTCACACCACAACACTACGCCGTCATGGCCGACCAGAAGATGAACGACGTCGCACGTCGATGAATCGAACATCGACACCACATCAATAGATCGTATCGAATCTGTCCGATACTCCAATCGATAGCTTTGGTTTACGAGGGAGGGGAGGGGATGGTATGGGCAAGAGTAGAGAAATGAGGGGCTTGGAGGAGAAGGCCCATAAGTGCAGTTTTTAAAAAAATTGAGATATTCATGAACTCAATTAAAACTAGTTTGAAAGTATATTCTGTAAAAAATTCAGGACTAAAATTCAACTTTAAAGTATTAACAAGCGAGTTTAAACTTCCTTTCAACCATAAGATTTCATGTAATTTTGAAACTTTAAACCTAATTCTTGAAATAGCAAAAACTGCACTTATGCGCCTTGTCCTCCCCTTACATGGACAATCTCCACCCTGGAAAATTTAGGCGCCCGTACTTGAAGGACCAATGGCCCCTTACAAAATTTTCTAGCTACAACTGAAGGGCTCACAGGGACAGAAGTCCTTATTTGCAAACAAAAAAAAAAAAAAAAAGGCACCAGCCCTCCGAAATATTTTTTATATACAGCCACAAGACTAAAAATTCACAGAAAAATTGGTCCTCACGTTTTCAATGAATTCGAGCAAGTTTTAGCCCCCTCCCCCTGACCACTTTCTCACCGACATATGTCCATTTTTGGTAGACTAATGCGGGTAAATAACTATGACACACAGAATATTCCAATATTTATCCACAGATCTTATTTCCTGAGTTTTTTGTAGGTAGCAATTGTTAGACTAACTATGATTTTGCTGAAATGTTCCTAAAAATTGAAAAATTTCACTTCTTGGTTTTTATGAAATACATACCATACACTTGAAAGTGGGACCTTTGACATTGTGTATTGAGAGTGAAGGCAGATCTAACCCAGCGTAGAACATTACAATTTTTAAGTGAATTTTTGAGTATTTTTTCTCCCTTTCGCTTGCTTTATTTTTTTGCTACTAGACATTCTCAAATGTTCCCCCCAACCACTCATAGAGTTTGCCATTTTTGGTGTTTCCATTCAGAAACAAGATTCTATCAGTATGAAGTTATTAATCTACTTTATTTTATAGGAGGGGGGGGGGTAAAGAAAGACAACAATACGTATTTTATTATTACCTACATCAAAATTTGGGGGAGACCTTGTACTGGCTTACCTCTTGGCTTTTCTTCCAACATTTCAAACAAACTCATTCTGTTGCAAAAGCTTTCGATTTTCCTTCTAACATTTTAAGAAAATTTTTAATTTCTTGACAATACTGCTATATCAAAAATTTGCCCAAATATGCAAATTTAAATAATTTTATTTCTGTCTCAGCTGCCTAAAGTTCAATTTTATGATTCTGTTTTGAAATAAGATGGTAGAACTTCTCAAAATTTTCAGACACTTGTTAGTTTCAAGAGACCTATATACATTTGTACAAACCAATTTTCCAAGAAAGCACAATTCAGAATTTTCAAAACAACTTATGTTCAATAGCTATGGAGGATTCTTTCAATCTTTTTATACAGAAAAAATAACGCATGAAGATGTTTTCAAGGATGTTTTTAATATAAATAATATAAAAATAGAGAAAAACTTAACTAGTTAATGGTAAATTTCAGTTTCAAATCAAAAATACTAATTTTAACCAGAAGAGATCTTAATTCTTTGGGGTGCCTCCTGCAAACCAACGTTCCTTCAATAATTTGTCCTGCAACATACATTCCATTATTAAATTAATTTTTTTTTTCCAAAATGAATTTCCTATTTTTCAATAAATTGGCAATTTTATTGATGTTTCTATGATAACAAGGAGCAAAATGATTTATTTGAATAAAGCCATTTTGAACTTCAAACATAATATGTTGATTTGAACCATTACATATCAGGTTTTTGAATTACAAACTTCAAACTATTAAGACTTCAATTCAAATTCATATTTTCAGGTATTTGATATCTCAAAATTTTCAATAAACGCTCCTCTAAGCAGAGATACCAATATCTCAATTCTGAAATGTTTGGCAGTAAGGTGCCCCTTTTCAAGAACTGTCACTTGTAGGTAGGCAAATTCTCCTGACAGCTTCCAAAATAGTAAGAGAGCAAATTGAATATGTAGACCTCTTATATTATTCTCATAAGCTCATGTTGCATGCTTCCATTCAGTAAAATCTGAGAGGTCCCCTCAGCAACTTTTTACCCTCTCATTCGCAAAGGGTGCAATTTCAGTTCCAGATAATCTTCTCACTAATTTGATGTGCAATGACAGTCTTTAAATTTTGTATGAGCACCCATTTGTAGGTTATCATCTTTTCAACAGTCCAATAAATGGTCTCTAAATGAGCTGGGGAAAACCACCTTGACAGAAAATCTGACCTCGTTACTTTTTCTTTATTAGAAAAAGTGCATAAAACATGATCACTCACCTTCAGAGACATTGACAGGTTCTGGGAGTAAGAATACAGTCTGCTTCCAATGCGTAGGAGTAGATTTTGGTCCAGTAGAAAAAGAAACTACATCCTGCATCTCAAAGAACGTATCAAAGTATCCAACTAAACACGTTAACTGGGCCTTCCGTAAAACATTCAGCTTAAAGGTGGATGAGAAGTTGACGCTATTTGTATCACAGGTATAAACATCGAGGTTTAGTAGAACTGAACTGGAGGTAATAATCTTGTCTGGTTCGATGGTTCTGACAATAGGTTTCTCGAGGTACTCTTCTCTCAGAAAACTAAGATTATAACCATAACAATTGTCCCACGCTTTCAGAGATTCTTCATGAAGTACTGGAGGGAAAGAAAAAAAGAATTTTTAGCATTAAAGAAAATTAATTTCTCAGTTAATTATTAAAGCATGGTTTTGTTTCATTCTGTAGTTTTTAAAGTTTCACTGATTGGAGAAGAAAACATGCTGGATCATTAGAAACTGTAATGCAGTACATATTACGAGAGTACATTTCCTCGTTTCTTACGATACATACAAATTTTTGGGTTTGGAACAGAAAAAGCTGATTTCAAGTATGTACATACTCTTTACTCCTTGGTTATAAAGCCATAAGATTTCCAGGTGCTAGTATTTACATGAGTAAACTGCGTGTAAGTTAATTAAAATTAAATTAAGTACCAAAATGGTTTTTCCCATATATGCGTTGATAACATGCTTTAATTTAGCGAAAAAAAATATATTTTTTCTCAGTCCCTTAAGAAAGCATGTACTTTTTTATGGAACTATTGCTATCAACTCCCCTGTAGCCGCTGTAATAATCTTTATAGAAAAGATATCGATAATATACGGGTTAATAATATCGGGTTAAACCCTTACAAAGAGATTTTCTTTAATTGTAGCCAAAAAAAACCCTAACGACGTAATTCCCTAAGATTTTTGCGGATGTCCCTTAAACGTCGATTTTTGAAAAAGTTTTTTTTTTACTATGAGCTTATCATCTAACTAAAACCAAACCAGGGTTAAAATGTGTCTTAAAGCTTCCTTGATAACATATCAAAAGCTCGTTTCAGTCAGACGATGCGCTTGGTGTCAAAAAAGCCTCGGAGTGATAGAAAAACACGAATTTTTGCTAAAATACACTTGCAGACCTATGTTTAGGCAATCGTTTAACACGTATCCAGTGGACTATGGACTGAATCATGATTATTTCCGTAAACTACATTGAGTCAACTTGGAAAACCCGCATACATTCCCAGATTCTAGGAGGGGGCCAAAAAAGGCCCTTACTGATACCCCTCCTTTAAAGCATTCAAGATCCTCTCTTGAAAGTTTTTTTTAGGATGATTATTTTATTAATGATGTGCATAAATGCATCTGTTTCATTACTTTCCCGCTTTTTCCACAAGATGAACGCCCTAGTAAATGCTGTGTGTTTGATGATTTTCAAATTAAAAAATTAATTATGAAAAAAAATCTAGAATTTTGATGAATTTTACAGTTTTGATCAATTGAAATTCTACTACTGTTCAATAGCAAAATTCTTTAAAAAAAACAGAAAAATTGGAAAAACACAGTGACAATAGAAAGCAACTTACACATATCACTTGCTCCGAGGAGCTCCAATGAAAATCTATTGGGCATGATTATTCCTCCAGGCTGTTTCAAATGATGATCTCGTGCGTACACTATGCTGTCCAACATGTTCTCAAAAAGCAGAAAGTAGCCCATCCATTCTGAGATTATTATGTCCACCTTGTCGACAGGTAACTCTGTATCTTCAATTTTACCTTTCACCAGTTCTATTTTTTCACCATTTTTAAATCCATTGACTCTGAAAATTTCAAAAATAACTTCGTCAGATGATGTGTCTCGTAGTTCCACAAGAAATATAGAAGCAATCACTTGGTTGCACAGTGAAAAAATAAAAAATGTTACTGCTTACAGGAAAGTCAAAAATTCACCTATTATTGCCAGCCTCGTTAATTTCTCTACATTGAGAATATGATTGATTTCAGGGTAAGTCGGAATCTTGGATTTTGCAAAGGTTCAAAATTCCCATAACTCGGACTGATTTTCCAGTCCTGTCATACCCTTTTCTCAAGATAAGAAGAAGGTGTGGGATTGCCGACAACCAGTGAGATAGCCATGTAGGAGGGGAGTCAAGAGGGCCTGGACGCTCCCTTGACAGAACAATTTTTCCCCAAAAAGTTATTTTTTAAAATCTTTAAGAATTTTTAACCCAGGGGCCCTCCCAAACAGAGATTTTAGACCGCAGAAGCTCCCCCCCCCCTCCCTTTCAAAATTTCTGGCTCTGCCTCTGACAACAAAATTTTGTATGGCGCATATGTGAACGCAAACTGTGTTCAAACATGAAAAAATGGGGCATTTATGTATGGCAACCTTTGGTAGGTCAAATTCCTGGGAGTAAAAATCAGACTCATGTTGCGATCAGCCAAGCTGTTGGAGTCAAATAAAACCGTTGGTTCTGAGATTTCCCTTTTTTCTCTAGACTACACTGTGCTGCGATATGTATTTACAGACCCTGCTTGATACAGAAAGAAAACTGACAAATTCCAAATCTACACTGAATGCCAAATCCAGGTTGAGTCCTGCAATAGTTGTGACATGAGAGTCAAAATTACCGTTATGTACCTTGAGACTCTGCCGAATAATTAAGACATTAAATACTGGGCTTTGGAAGGTACACTTGAAATTGTGAGCAAAGCTGTTGACTATAAGTAAATTTGATGTAAAATGGTCTTAAAAAAGAAAATGATGTGAAAATAGGGCTTAAAGGACACAAGAATTCACCTGATAACATCCATTGCATTGTAAATAATATTTGACATGTCAATTCCGATCACTTTCTCAGCACCAGCATCAGCAGCAAACATTGATAGAATCCCTGTGCCACAACCTACGTCTAGGACTGTTTTGCCTCGGAAAGTCTCCGAGTTTTTCATTATGGCGTTCTTGTAAGAACTTGTTCTTACACGATCCTAAAAATACAAGCAAACTTGATTGGAGCAGCAACTTGATGACTGTTTAAGAGGAGTTTGTCAAAAAAGAACATGCACAATGAGTTCACAAATATTCATGCGAGTTCGATTTTTGCTGATTTAACTGTTTGGCATATTAAAGCCTCTTCCTGATGTGTTTCAAAAGCTGTTGCCTCATTTTCAGTTAGTCTGGGCTCCCTAAAAACGAACGTAGGAGACCTCTGAAATAATTCTGGGGGTAAGTTCTAAAATATAATGTAATTAAGTTAACTGTACATTTTTGTGTAACTGAGAACTGCAATTCTAGTGATGAATGAATCTTCATGCAAATTAAAATATGTAACATTCATTCGCAGATTTTTTGACACCCTCTCCGCCCTCATAATGCTCTTGTGATGTAAATCCTTATCTTTAAGACATGACACAAATTGGCGTAACGTTTTCTTTGATCTCCTCCTCTCCTGTAAATATGATGCTAAAGAAGCGTCCCAAAAACAGAATATCGATCAAACGTTGCCTTGACTGAAAATTGTCCATACGAATTTGGTATTTACTCAACGATAAGAGGCATTGGCTAAACATGGAACTCGAAAAATATGAGCAGCCCTGATTTCTATTGAAACCTTGATCCTTGTAAAATTCTATGATTCCCTTCTCTTCAGCTCCATCATAAAAAAAATCGTACAGCTCCTTAAAATTAGGATTACCATTCAAGATGGCTCCATAAATTTTGGGTGGAGTTACTGTACACTGAAGAATCTTCCAGTAGCATACTGCAAGTCTACATATGTAATTTTAAAACCCATGAGAATAATCAAGTACTAAAAAAATGATTCTAAATGCTGGGCTCTGTAAACTTCCATTTTGAAATTGTTGGGATATAATATTTGCAACACCTTAAGTATATCCTTTCAATATCTTACATTAGGGAGGAATCTTTTAATTGTTGCTGTAAGAGAGAAAAAAACCCCCACAATTCACTATGATTATCATAATCTGAGAAGTTCTAAGGAAGTTCTTTGCAAGGATAGTGCAGTATTATTAAGATATTTTTTCTTGCACATAATGAGCATAGATAATATATTCTATCGAAATCTAGGAAAGACTGGGATTTTTTGCCAATGATTGAAAGATGCAGAAATGATGAAGATTAAGAAATCCATAAAAGAGGATGACATAACTCAATTTTTCTTAAATTCTTTCAACATGAACGTCATTACACATACCATCAACATCTCTCGGTGAATATCAAAATCAGCGTAGGAATCGAAATAGGAATAATCTGCAGGAGCAGAGATGGCTTTGACACTCAAAGGAACTGACTTTTTATCCTCTTGCTCATCATCCAGAACAACAGACTGGAGAAGTTGTTTCATTTTTTTGAACTCTTCTGCTGCTGTTACCAGGCGAGATTCTTTATCTTGCAACTTAAAAAAGTAAAATACCATTAGAAAATGATGTAAAAATTAAACAAGAAAATAGCAAGTGTGCAAATGCCACTGAAAGAACAAGAGATGAAAGAGATTCCAACTTTTATTTTCAATACATGAAAATGCAGTGGGGGCTACCTCTGACCGCATTTGCAATCCACCCCCCCCCCTCCCACAAGTGCTTTGGACCTTAGGCGTTACTTTTATAATTTTATATTGTGGAGTACAATGTGTGCCTGGCCTCGGGAAAATTCATCTCATTCATTCATTTTTGTTTTTAATGAGTAACCTGGGGCAAAAATACTCTCTTTTAAAAAAGTTTATGTAAACATTTATAATTATTTTGCTGAACACAAAAAACCTTTAAAGTTTTTGAGTGCTTGAAAAGATTATCCTAACCGACTGGATTTGACGCTCTAGAGGAGCTTTGCAATTAAGAAATGATCAACTGCTAATAAGTGAGATGAATTACCTCAAGTTTCAATTGAGAAATGGTAGATTCTAGTTCATTCACTGACTCTGAACTTAAGTTTCCATTCGAACTAGCAGGACTTGCAGCACACACATTGACAGTGTCCTGTGAATCTGAAATCTTTGTTATTTCTGACACTGCCAAATCTTCTATATCTGATGGAAAGCAGAGAAGAATATCAATCAATAATAATGATAAGAGAGAAATTCTACATAAGTCAAAACGAGAGACAATAATTGCTGTACAAATGACAAAGGACAGTTCAAATCAGAAAATAAAGTACAGATAAAATAAATTAGAAATCAATTAAGTTCATGGACAAAACATGGACTAAAAATTAAAAAATAGATCAATGAATGGTCTCTAAAATCAATTGCTCACAGATACAAGTTTAAAATTTCCTCCAAGCAACAAAGAAAAACTAGAAAATTTTGTAGAAACCTGAGAAGATATTCACAGAAAAATAGTGATAACAAGCTCTTTCCTACTAAAAAGGAACAAAAAATCTATACACTTTTCTCTGATTAATTATTTTACACCCCTTAATGAAGATAGCAACGAAAAATGTACAGCTTGATCTCATTTTACAGCTAACTACGTACCTTTTAATAATAATTTAAACCAATTTCAGTGACTGTGTTAAGACATTTCAAACCGTAAAAATTTCCAAAAGCAGAAATCGTCCACTGATTAAAGTAAGGTATTTATTGATGCAATTTTTCCCCCTTTGGGAGGGGGGGGGGAAATAGACTAAAAAACAAAATATATGAAAATATACCCATCACAATGTCAGGGAGTGAATTGCTCCAAACAACCTTCGTTGATTTAAATGCAAGTTGGATGCAAATAAAAAAATCAACTACTTCAATTCATGGATTTAAATAACTTAGTGAGAAATTTTAACTGACCGAAACATATCCATGGATCATTCGGGACTACCATTTGTAAATTTTCATCCGTGTTCCACTTGGATGAATTGGAAAGGTCAGTCTTTGGATCCAGTTTGTTTCTCCTGATGTAATTAATCAATTTAATGTATGAATAATCGTCAAGATTCAGGCTAACTTTTAGCCTGGCAAGGTCAAACTGATGAGCGGCGGCACAATGAGGAAGAGCACTTTCCACATCTTTGAAAATTTGATCGCAAAAAAGGCAATCGACTTCAGTGGGCTCGCAGTCCATTTCTTCCCACTCTTCACCAGAACTTGCACCACTCGAGTCTTCATTATCGAAGACCCGTCCGCTTTGTCCATTGGTGTTCATCTGAAAACTGAAGAGAAATTTGTTGTTTTAATTTCTTGCATACATTACTTATAATTTACGCTAATTGTATATATTCCTGTATTGGAAGCTTACAATAAAATAAAGCTTAAAAAAAAAAAATTCTTGAGAATAATACTACTGAACAACTGAACAAACCTGCAATATCTTTCGTTCAACTTTAAGTTACAGCAAAAATTCATAAGACCATATCAAGGGATGCAAAACGTGCTGGATTAGGTATATGTCACATTTGGAAAGCTTCGGTGTGTTTTCGGTTTTGTTTGGTTGGGACATTTTTTGGAAAATTCCAATCATGTTCCTAAAGACTTCGTAATCCCTCCAATGATCTATGAATTTTCAACAAAAGAAAGTCTTTTGACTCTACCTAAGTATATGTGTTGAGAAATTTGAAGATTCTCAGCTTGGGCACTGATTGAATTTTCATGCAAAATTGAAGTAGGCTGAACTGCTTTTTGCTTAAGTATCAGTCCAGCATCGTTCCCAGAGTAAATGAAAACTTCCGGAAAACAAGATTTCTTTCGAGAAGATCGATGTCATGGTGACATTCAAACAAACATTATTCCACATCACCGACTGACGCCTGTCAGGAGACCCATTCTCAGACAAAACTCACCTTAAACAGCAAGACTATGTGCGAGGACTTCAAACACCTGCTACAGAATTAAGAGGCTACATAAATAATATCTTTTAGACTCGAATTCACCAGTCTTTTATGGGTGTTCATTACTCATAATATTAAGGCATCAGCTAATAAAATTGAAAATAGGAGCGTTACTCACCTACTACTACCACCAGAGGCCATGTCTTGATTATGCTGTGTTTCAGTTGCTTTTTTGAATGAAACAAGATTTCTTGAATAAATTATGAGGAGGAATAGCGCCGAAAAGATGCAATTTTATACTGATTGGGGATAAATAATGCTGAGAATACAAGAATTCCTGCTTATCACTGATAACAACATGCACGGGCCCACATTGTAACGATGAATTCACTTTCGCTGGGAATTTGTTGGCTGTTTGGTACACTCCAGAAGGGAATAATTGTCCTCGTTATGAAGATTTTAAATAATCCGGAAAATAGTTTGGGCTTAAAATCTGAAAGCTTGAAAAATTAAAATCTCTCCCACTATCCATCACCATCCACGTGCTAACCTCAAACTTCAAGATACAGGAGGGGAGAGGGGAGCAGGGGGTAGGTTGGAGGGGAATGGGGATTGTTTACTTGTTCAAGGCCAATCGATCGCACCTGTGTGCTGCGCATGCGCGATCATCTATCACCCGGGATTTTTAAATATGCGCTCTGACATTATTGTTTTCATACAACATGTCCTTAATTTATTAATTATTCTTTGAAGGAAGGAATGGATAGCATGCATTTGAAGATACCGTCCTAAGGTATGAACCGTCATGAATAGTTCTAAAATAATATGTGAGTATAAAAAAAAATAAAATGTATACATAAAGTGTTCCTCATTTTTCAAGTCAGTTATCACCTCGCAGGGTTTGTGACTCTTTCACTCAGTTTTTTTTTTACCCAAATGTAAGTTCACCCTTGGCCCACATTTCGTCACCTTCCAGGCAAAGTATCACAAGCGCCATTCGGCGTTTAAAAATTTCCGCCGCCATTTTATTTTTTTACTGAGAAATTGTAGGTTGAATCTGTTCGAAAATTTCACTAAATTTCATCGGCAGCACAAAGAAAATTCGGTGTAATTTTATGACAGCTTCGTTGAACAATTTCTCTGTAAAAAATGTAATGGCGGCGGAAATTTTTAAACGTCGCATGGCGCTTGTGATACTTTGCCTGGAAGGTGACGATTTACTGTCACATTTTACCCAGCGGCAATGGAGATGTTGCATGTGTGAGGAATTTATGATTTGACTATTGATTCTTATGTAAAAGTTCGCGAAAACCAGTGGCACCATCGTGTTTCTCGCGAGCTTTTACCTAAAAATCTATTGACAAATCGCAAATTCCTCACACATGCAACATCCCTATTGTACATTACACCCATTTGCCCAGCGACCGCATGTTTGGCGCAATGTGTAAAGTATTCATGCAGTCAGGGCCGGATTAAGGGGGTGGCCACATGGACCGCGGCCCGCCATGGCGGCAAAATTAGGGGGCGGCAAATTTTGCAATTTTTTTAAATGCAGGTACAAAAAAATCGGATTCAGGAAAAAAAAACGCTTTCCAGCCACAGTGGAAACGGAAGGTAGATTTCGACTAATCATTTCTATGAAAACAATTGCGCCTAATGAGCCTGACAGGTCGGAAAATCGTCCCCCTTGAACTTGAGATTTTCCGGATATGGATGGGGTGGTTATAGAGGGTAGGTGAATATAGGTTGTTTTGAAGGCCACGACGAGACGAGTTTTTTGACGTATCACCGACCAAGATCGGACGAGTTTGAAAAATCATCCCCCTTGGGATTTGAGATTTTCCGGATAAGGGGTGGGCCGATTTTCACGAAAAAGGAAACTTGATGTGAACCTCATAGCAGTGAAGAACCATGCTTAGTTTCGTTTTGATCGTATTGATAGTTCCGAAAAAAAAACGGTCGCAAAGTTTCGTTAGATCCCTACATTTTTCAACTCAGGGTTTCAGGATCGATGCTCTTTGAGCGAAAATTCCCGAAAATTACGAGGTCGTACCGTCTGCAATAGGTAGATATTTCTTCGAAATCTACCTAATTACAAACATGAAAAGGTGACAAAATCTCTCATTTCCTGAGAGTTCATTAATTTCTAATTTTGTCGTATTTCGGTGATACAAAAGACTGCGCACCTTTAGTCGAGTTAAGAGAGAAACCAAACACGTAATTTGGCCTGGAGCGGCGCGGCGCAAAGAGAAATGATGACGAAGACTTGAGGTGAAAAGGAGAAGCCCTCGACGCGGCGGTCGGCATGTAACACAATAACACATATTAGCGCCCACGAGACTGCATGAATACTTCACGCATTGCGTCAAACACAGTACGGTCAACAGCGGTCGGCGCGGCGTGATGAAACGCACAGTGCCTACAAGACTACATGAATACTTCACGCATTGCGCCAAACACAGTGTGGTCAGCGCGGCACGGCGGCGGAAGTTAAAATTATTAAACCACTTTTATGTTTGTTCTTTCTTAATTTTTTAGTTCATTTCTTACAAGTGAGAGACCTTGTCCCCACAGAGATAGGTTTACGGAACTGAACTTTCGCGCAAAGTTCCTTGAACTTTTGCCGGTAGTGTTGACAGGGCTTACGCAAAAAATGTGTCCAACACGAGTGAACGCGTCTTATGCACCCTTCTCCCTCCGGCACGTTCACTTGATGGTTTTTATTGATGTTTCAAAATGAATGAGAAGAGGGCGGCGAAATAGAGGCGGCCCATGGGCGGCAAGTAGATAAATCCGGCCGTGCATGCAGTCTTGTCTTGTTTGTAGGCGCTAATATGCGTTACGCGCCGACCGGCGACCGCACTGTGCTTGGCGCAGTGCGTGAAGTATTCTTGCAGTCTTGTAGGCGGTAGAGTGGCGGTCTTGTAAGTCATGAAGCACGGTGCCATGAAAATCAAACAACTTTCTTCATGACAAGTTGAGTCATGTATGAATAAAGCTATCATTATGATATCAATGTGTGGCAAACAAAAACGGGTCATTGGGCTTTTGGCGAACCGCTCATCGGGCCAAAGAGATAGGGTGAAAGCACCGTGGGTGAAAATTCCAGCGAGCGAATGAAATTTGGTGAAACGGCATACAATCGCCTCGCAGAGCTGGGGAAGGCTCTTTTGGAATAAGGAGCATAACCAGTTATTTAGGGAGGCAGCAAATTTATAAAAGTGAGGGGGCAAATTTCACAACCGAGTTTTCCAAAAACTTCGACTTTTTCCGAAATTTCAAAAATTGATCATCATAGCATCATTATCTAAGATAATTACCGGAATGATTTTACCGTTTTTCGGCGTTTCATGGCATACTGACTCCACGGTTTGGAGCATCTTACAAGTTCCTGGAAATTTGCATCTCAACCTACCCCTTACACTTCATTTTTTTTCTCTTTTTTGTTGCACTAGGTGCTTCTAAAATTTCTAAGGAGATACACAGGTCCGTCGAAACATTTCGCTTAACAGCAAAACTGCACTAGAAAAATTTGGAGGATCGTGAATTTTTCGCGGATCAGACCTCCCCCCCCCCCCCCCCCCCCCCCCCCNCTGATAAGGCGAGAGACAAAATCGAAACAATCCAGTATGTAATTGCACCGAATTGCTCGAGATCGTGAAACAGTGTAGGTAAGCGGACCGATAAGGAAACGATCGCTTCCGATCTCGCACGAGTCCTCATCGGCCTTTAGCTTCCTTTTGCTTCTTCTTCCATTTTGAAATTTTGATCAAGTCAAGTCAGTTTTTTATCAGCTGTCAGCGGTGTCGTGCGTGTTCGTGCGCGTTTGTGATTAATCCGTGTTCGCGGCACCACATGGCCTTAGCGCCTTGCTCTCTGTCTGTCACCCTTGAAACTTATTTTTGTTTTTGATTGTGTCAAATTCGTCAACCCCAGTTTTGTACGGAAGGTGAATTAAAAGTGCGCCGCGGTTTTTTGTTATCGTATCCTCAATCATGTCCGATAGACCCGTCCGAGTGTGGTGTGATGGATGGTAAGACCACTTATCAATTATTGCACGAATAAGAAAACACGAAACCACTTCATCTTGTGTCTTTATGATATTTTAATTTGATGATGATCGCTATACCATAGGAATGCGTGCGCTCTCAAAGCGACGGTTGCAAGAAATCGTGTAATCTAACCTCACAGTTATCACCTTATCACCTTGATTTTGAAAAGATCTAATGAATTAAATATCGCTGTTTGGTTTTACTTTTAAACTCTAGGTAGAGTTTAACTACCTTTAGCCGTTTGAAAGGACGTAAATTGTTCTGATACTTGCGCGAGCCAAGTTACTGAGGAAACTTTGATAATCATAACCTTACTTTCTTGTTTATAAACAGAAGCGCTCGCAGTGTAAATATTCATTCTTATCTTCCTGCCTAATTTTAGACCGTGATGTAACAAAAAATATCTTTTGACCTTAATTTTTTTAATCTTCGATGTACAATGCCCCAGTTCTATACCCGGTTGAATCTTACAAGAAACTAACGTTACCAAGTATTGATTATGTGAAGGGTGCCACCGCCCTGATATTGGACGCTCCTCTGTCTTAATGAGCGCCAGATTAATGATCATCAATTCTTTAATTCGTTGACAAATGCAAATGCAGGAGTGAGTCAATGTTTTGCTACCAAAGCAAGATTCACATCTCAAAATATTCGCTGTGTCATTGTAGTCGTTCTGTTTTGTACTTAGATGGGTAACGGTCTTGGGGTGAGTTTCATATTCTGAACCAGATCATTTTCATGGATTTGCTCAGCCACTCCTAGAATATCTCATGCGCAGATATCTTCTTAAGAATATTCCTAGGGTGAAATGAGACAATTTGAAAGAATCGGCAGAATAATTTAAGAATAGCAATGAAATTTAATGGTTAATTTTTCAGCTAAAATTGGTTGGAGGTTGTATGTTAAGCTCCACCAATAATATTTTAAAAAATCCCTTCTCCACTGAATTGCTTACAATTTCGGCTTTTTAGTGAAGAATTGAAAGAAGAGAGGTGAAAGGCAGACTACTTCCCTTTATCTGTGAAAAAATTAATTAAAATTTGAGTGAGTGGTAGAAAATATATAAATCTTTTAGACTCGTAGTCTTGGGTGTAGATTGAATGGGCCTCAATTTTGTCAAGTTTTTTCATCCGTCTGATTAGATTTAGAACGGCCTGAATGAAAGAAATCCATGTGACTTGACTTCTTATCTTATCAAAAAGTACCTAATTTCAAATTGTAAAAGTTTGAATGGAAGCATCACCATTTGAGACATACGATCAAGGGCTACATTCTAAATAGGTAAGTAACTGCCAACACTCCTCCCCCTTCTTCCATGTATGAGCCGGTTGATCACACCGTTTTTGGTGGAATTTCTGATGATCATCATACTTTGAACCTCTCACTAACTTTTGAGATCTAGCTGGGAATGATAACCGATTTTAGTGCAAAAAAACCTCCAATTTAATCAAATTAAATTTTTCTGTAAGTGAAAAATCAGGTCAATGTGAAAGGAACCCTGAAATTTGGTGTCAAGTGGATGTTTTTAAGAACTTTCATTTGCACCCCTAAGTCTCAGTTAAAGGTTTCCTAAAGAAGCCAATGTGCTCCTCTCGAACTTTTTTCAAACTTGAATCATTCGGTTTTCATAACATGAAGCTCTTAGAGACTCTAGTTTCTGAGAGTAGGTGTAACAATCGAAGTAAAATGCTGTTTTTCCATCACTTGAACAACATCATTAGATTCCTACCAATCTATTCTATCTCTCTTATCTCTATCTCTGATTCTATTCAGTACTTAATCCTAATGGCTGTTTTCCTAAAATTTTTGTTTCAGTTATGACATGGTCCATTTTGGTCATGCCAACTCCTTGAGACAAGCCAAAGCTCTCGGTGATTACCTAATAGTTGGAGTTCACACCGATGAAGAAATCACAAAGCACAAAGGACCTCCTGTCTTTACTGAACAAGAGAGGTAAGTTCACTGAAGATATTTCAGAGTCTTTATGGTCTAGGCACTGGATTGCCTTGTGTCATTCAGGGAGAGTAGGCTCAAAGCTTCTTCCTTTGCATATTTTTTGAAGCTCAGTTTTTTGTTGGAAAACATTTATGGTACGGTAACACCACCCCCCCCCCTGATTTTATTTGAACACAAGGAAATAAAGAATTGTCGTAAAAAAGTACTTTTTTACTTTTCTGAATTAAATTTCATGAAGTAAGTGAGGGGATAGACTTTTTCGAAAAATTTCCTTTTGCATCTTAGTGTATGACTTGGTCCTTATTCTCGGTAGTTGAAATTAGGGGCAGGGCTTTTTCGAGTGAACTCAAAATGTTTCAGGCACAAGAAGGTTGTAGGAAGGAATTTAGAAATTGTCTCTTTTTTTTCGTAAATATATGAAGCTAGTGTAACTGTGCTGTTTGCTTCCTCCTATAATTAATTTCAAAGCGATTTGTATCCTGAACCCCCCTTTCAGGCTTGACTTTCTGTGTATCTCAGAAAAAAAGGATTATTGCCTACCTTGCTTGAGACTACCTTGTTTCTCAGATGGTTTCCTCATCTTAAAAAATTAAAAAATATTCAGGATACAACATTAAGTAACTATACCAAGGTTGCGGTTAATTTTGAAGTAATTACCAAGGTACTTAAGGAGCTGCCCATAAACGACCTCCAGCTTTTTTATTGACTTTTACCCTCCTCCCCCCCCCTTTCAGTCACATGTCAGACAGTGTTGTAACCCCCCTTAAAAATCACGCCAGGTCAGGTCTGAGTCGATTGCCTTCCTACATTTAGCACAAAAGATTGGAGCCTTGCACCGCTTTCAACTGGAATTTTCTGTTAAAGCTATATGACTGCTACAGTATGATCAGGAAACGGGGGAAAACCCCGCGAAACTGCAGAAATCAACGAAGACACGTGTGCGCGCTGTGTGCTATGCGGTGACGCAACCGAGAAAATTCGCGGATAGCCGCGAACTTACGGGCGACTGCGAAAATTCGGTAAAAGCCACGATCACTCATGAGAATCTGCGAGTGGTAGAAACTCGCATGATTTCCGTCGCAGCTAGCAGCGGGTGAGTTGCCACGAATTGCGATCACCTATGAGTGAGCGTGGAATTAATAATAATCGCGAAATTAAAAAAAAATACGTGACTATAGTAGGGCCCACGAAGGATGGTCCCTGAAAAATCGGGCGAAAAAACGCACGGACCATGTAAATGACAACGCTGCGAGGTCGAGCCGATGGAACGCGAAAAGCTATTGTATGCGAACCGCTGCTGTTCCTACTCCTATCTTCAGGTCAAAATTCTTTAAAGGAAGCCTTTTCGTAAAAAAAAAAAAAAAAAATCAATTTCTTGTAATTTTGCTCCAATCTCTTCGTTCATTAGATGGTTGAATTGCTTGTAAAATTCTGAACTAAATGATGTATAATTGTAATTTACATTTTTTATTTTTTCCTTGTTGTAGCGAAGTCCAATTATTATTTATCTCATCGTATCTCGAATTGTAACTTCTCTGCTATTTGACCGATTTTTATATTTTGAAGCCTCTTTTTAATCTTGTTTTAACAGATAGTAAGGAAACACTTGCTAAATCCGTCTTTAAAAAGTTTCAAAAAATGTTGGTTCATTTGGGTTGGACGGAGAGTCTGGAAAATACGCATGAAAGTAATTGAGGTTTTCGAGTGGCTCAGCCCAGCATTGATTGATGCACGCGTCGAAGACTGGGCCCGGGCCACGGCAATTCCTACTTAGCATTCCTGGCCATTGGAGAATACGTGTGAGAGTGTGTGAGTAATATCTCCCAAGAACAAAGGGAAGCCGCCGGGCTACGTTTGGCGGGTTGCATACGTTTCCCGGTTATCTCCCATACATTTAGTACAGTGACATACATTTAATACTTTTTTCCATAATTTAAAATGTGATTCTGCCGAACAAATTTGTTTCTTTCGATAAAACTAGCCGAAATATTTAACTGAAAATTCCATGCCCGGAATACATTCACTTTCTCAAGTAAAAAATCAACTTTTATAAGTCCTCCGCTATACGATCCCATGTGTTTTCGGGAGTTACGAACATTTAACCTCAAACCCATGGCCAGGTATGGGTAGATGGTATTGGCCACGGCCGGGGCGGATAGCCGCTGCCCGCTAGGCGCCGGCGATCGCAGGAGCTGCCCGCGGCGCTGGACCCAAGCCTCGCGGGTCAAAGTCAGACCGATCAAGCCGAAACGATTAAACGATATATCGTACCGCGATTATTCGCTAGCTAGATCTAGAGTCCCTTTATACCCAGAGTTAAGACAACTCGATTATCAGCTGACTGGCAGCCGGCCTTGGCTGGCCATGGAGGCCGAAACGAGTGCACCCAAACGAACGATATTGAGGGATAAGGATCAGGAATCCTGCGATGTCTGTCACACAAAAACAACTACATCAACAAATTGATCAATTAAAAATAAAATGAGATTGGTTTGTGAATAATTTCTTATTCTCTTTTCATTTTGGACCGATGGAAATGACAATTTACTCTTGATAAACCATAATTAGGTGATATTTTCATTATTCTTGTTCACATTCGAGGTACCGCCATCTTGGTGCACTCGTTTCGGCCTCCATGAGCGAGAACCAATCAGAATTGGATTTTTTTTAGGCCACTTTCAGCCGAACCAAAAGTGAGTTGTCTTAACTCTGGGTATAAAGGGACTCTAGCTAGATCGATTTTACCATGATACTGCAATGCATTGGAGTGTTATTGCGATAGTATTTTCGTCCGGGCCAGGAAGTGAACGCTTTTAGCAGATTAGGAGTTCCATGAGATCGCGCACGGAACGTATGAATCACCCGATTCCACGGGCGCGCAACTTGGGCACTTTCCCCGGGGGAACGGGACTGACGATACGAAAATGACATTAAACACCCACTAATGCGCTTTGGTTTTTGGGGTGCGCTAAGCCTTTGAGTTGAACTGAAGATCTAAAGTAATGAAACAGCAAGAATCTTAATTAAATCATTTAAATAAATTATTTAATTGATGCAAGTGAAGAAGATGCGCGGAGCGCACTCTGGTGGTGCCGCTTTGAACTAAGCCCCGTACCGCGGGCCGCGGCAGACTCGGCGCCAGGCGCCAGCGGGCGCGCGGTGGCCGCTGTGCGAGGGAAGAGCGCCGCATGAACCATCAGATTCAAACTGAGATATTTACGTTCAAAGTCTACGGCATGCCTTTCTGCGAGATTTGTAATGCGAATTGTAAGTTTGCGTTTTATCCTATTGACAGCTTGATCCCTTGGCTGTTCATTAGCGCTTAGATCATTTGCGATAAGATAATGACTTTCCGGAAAATCACAAAAGAATGAGGCTATGTCGGACTCACGGCAAACTGCCCGTGCAGGTAGGGTAAGGGTTTCACCTCTTTCGTTTTTTTGAGGTTTATTTTTGCAGGAATCATTTCACATGGAACCGAACTCATTAACCTTGCGTGTTTTTAAGGTAGAGCTATTTTAAAAATTAAAATAAAAATTAAAAAAGAAAAATAATAATCATGAATGTAACTGCAACTGAACCGGAAACTTCATATTTTTCTGTTTTATTTGTATGTTTCTTATTTGAATAAGGGGGATGTTAAATTGAAAGTTGGCCTTAAATGAAGAAGGTAAGGTCTGGCGGAACAAATAAAGTTACTTAGGGGTTAGTAGTCTCCTGATTCTAGTAAAAAATGAAATCCTTTTTTCCCCTCTGCAACCTTTGTTTTTCTCCCTTTCTTCACTTACTATCTTGAGGAGACTATTCCATATTCATCAAATTATTTTTTTCATTACTATGCTAGCGAGTCTCGTGAGTGTCGCAAGCCGCATGTCCGCAAAACATATGGAAAAACTCCGTGAGTGCCACTCGCGTCCCGAGTTTCCTGGGCATACGCTGCCGGCTGCCGTGCTAAGGAAGAACGCCGTATGAACATTCGAATGTTGCCAAAATTCCCTTGATAAAGCTAGCATAGTAATAAAAAAAATGATTTGATGAATATGGAATAGTCTCCTCAAGATAGTAAGTGAAGAAAGGGAGAAAAACAAAGGTTGCAGAGGGGAAAAAAGGATTCCATTTTTTACTAGAATCAGGAGACTACTAACCCCTAACTTTATTTGTTCCGCCAGACCTTTCCTTCTTCAATTAAGGCCAACTTTCAATTTAACATCCCCCTTATTCAAGTAAGAAACATACAAATAAAACAGAAAAATATGAAGTCTCCGGTTCAGTTGCAGTTACATTCATGATTATTATCTTTCTGTTTTAATTTGTATTTGAATTTTTAAAATAGCTCTACCTTAAAAACACGCAAGGTTAATGAGTTCGGTTCCAGGTGAAATGATTCCTGCAAAAATAAACCTTAAAGAAGCGAAAGATGTGAAACCCTTACCCTGCCTGCACGGGCAGTTTGCCGTGAGTCCGACATAGCCTCAATCCTTTGTGATTCTCCGGGAGTCATCATCTCATCGCAAATGATCTAAGCGCTAATGAACAGCCAAGGGATCAAGCTGTGAAAAGGATAAAACGCAAACTTTAAATTCGCAAATCTCGCAGAAAGGCATGCCGTAGACTTTGAACGTAAATATCTCAGTTTGAATCTGATGGTTCATGCGGCGTTCTTCCCTCGCACAGCGGCCACCGCGCGCCCGCTGGCGCCTGGCGCCGAGTCTGCCGCGGCCCGCGGTACGGGGCTTAGTTCAAAGCGGCACCACCAGAGTGCGCTCCGCGCATCTTCTTCACTTGCATCACTTAAATAGTTTAAATAAATTATTTAATTGAGATTCTTGCTGTTTCATGACTTTAGATCTTCAGTTAAACTCAAAGGCTAAGCGCACCCCAAAAACCAAAGCGCATTAGTGGGTGTTTTATGTCATTTTCGTATCGTCAGTTCCGTTCCCCCGGGGAAAGCGCCCAAGTTGCGCGCCCGTGGAATTGGGTGATTCAAACATCACTAG